AAACTAATACCCGACTCCGAGTCTGAAAATGATATCAAAATGCAGCGTGGAGAGGCAATTAATGGTTGTGTCTCTTTGTTGATGTTCATAAAACATGCAAAACGTCTGCTCGTCTATTTCCTTTCCACACATAAAGCGGCACAAAGACGGATGATTAATGATGTCGTTAGAGTTGTTTTCAATGAAAAGGTATTGTTGCTTTGATGCAAAGCGTTTGGGTATTATCATCTATGGAGAAGCTCTTAAGCTTGACGAACATGCAACGCATGATTGTATAGTTATGGGAATTTGAAAGGTTATTGTTCGTATAATTATATACGTGCTTTTTCAAAACTTCGATTTTTCTTTTCCGAACGAAATGTAAAAGAATATAATGTCCTGCAACAAATGCTCCCCCCCCCCCCCCCGGCGCTCCCCATTTAAAATCTTGAAATTAATACAAATTTGTCTTTGTCTTCAGTGCCCCAGATTTAATGTTGGCAATAAGAGCTTTTATCAAATCATTTCTCGTAATATATCAGACAAGAGTTCAGACAAGAGTTTTGCTAATTTTCCGATATTCCAATTTAAGCCGTGATTTTGTTTTATACGCATCAAAAGCGGAATGCTGTAACTCGATGCGTTGTCCCTTTTTCTGAACACAGACTCCAAAACGGTGTACAGTACAGGGTTTGCTTTTCCTTTTTTTTAATTAAAAAAACAGTAACTGGTAAAGGGTTTGCTTCTTCTTTCTTCTTTTTAAAATCAAAAAAATGGTAACTGGTAAATGGTTTTCTTTTTGTTTTTTCTTTTCAAAATTTCACAAGCAAAAACGGGTAAAGGGTTTGCTTTTTCTTTTTTGGTTCAAAAATTTCAAAACAAATACAGGTAAAGGGTTTGCTTTTTTCTTTTTCTTTTGAAAAAATCAAAAACGGTGACTTGTAAAGGGTTCCCTTTTCCTTTTTTCTTTCCACAAATTCAAAAGCGAAAAAGGGTAAAGGGTTTGTTTTTCCTCTCTTTGGTTTAAAAATTTTAAAACAAAAACTGGTAAAGGGGTTCCTTTTTCTTTTTTCTTTTCAAAAATTCAAAAACGGAAATTAGTTAAGGGTTGGCTTTTCTTTTTTCTTTTCAAAAATTCAAAAACAAAAACTGGTTAAGGGTTTGCTTTTTCATTTTTCCGTTCAAAAATTCCCAACCAAAAATTGGAAAAGGGTTTGCTTTTTCATTTTTCCGTTCAAAAATTCCAAAACAAAAATTGGAAAAGGGTTTGCTTTTTCATTTTTCTGTTCAAAAATTCCCAACCAAAAATTGGAAAAGGGTTTGCTTTTTCATTTTTCCGTTCAAAAATTCCCAACCAAAAATTGGAAAAGGGTTTGCTTTTTCATTTTTCTGTTTACAATTTCAAAAATGGTAAAAGGTAAAACACTTTTATTTTCTGTTTTCGTTTTTTAGACGCATAAACGGAAACTGGTAAACGATGTCCTTTTTCTGTTTCTGTACCAAGATTGTAATAGGGTAAACGGTAAAGGGTTCGTTTTTCATTTTTCTTTTGACAATTTTCAAACGGTAACTGATTGGACGGTATGTACACGGACCAAACTGCCGCCGTTCATGTATTGTTAGTTACTGTGTCGCGTATAGGTATGTCAGCAAGGATATTGCTTACATTACTTTGCATATGGTTTATCAATTTAATTAAATTTACACCGGTTCATCTAACAAGATAATATCAACAATGAGGTCTTCAGTTGTTTTAATTAATGCCTTGACTGGGTTCTGTTAAACCGTGAAGAAGACACGACTGCAGTTACTGAGGCATTAGAAGGTGATTAAGTCTGACAGTGCGCATACAAACAACGCAACAAGGCTGTTGAATCACTATGTTGCGATGAGTGAATGTAGCATTCCATAACCAAATGCCGCATATGTGCTGCGTTTTAATTAGCCATTCTAAGAAAGATAATGGAGCTTCAAAATCGATACCCTCAAACAAAATAGATCAATAGAATTAAAATTGGGATGCGGCTTAAGCTAGTGCTGACATGTCATTCATAAACTATTGTCTTCTGTTGCTTTTGAACCTGAGAGTTCGATTTTTGTAAAACAAAATCCTGTCAAGGTTCAATGAATTCAGATCATTGTCTTCTAATTCTGCCTAATTCTCCAGCTTGAAGAGTCGTCTGTTCTCAATATACGTGTATAGTTTTCATTCACGTCGTTACCTTCCACTCGAATACAAATTATCGAACGGTTATCCCATAATACTAGTAAGTTGATCATTTAGGCCCCCCAAAAAAGTCTCCGGTTTCTGGTATGGAGCTTGCCCAAAAAGTGGTGCGGCGACGCGGCTTTTTTTTTTTACCTGATTTGTTTGCTTCAAATGTCGGCTGATGACTGCAAATGGTGCCCGACTAAACTTAGTGCAATATATGGGAGTCCAAAGGGGACACATGAAGCTTATTCTCGACCATAACTCAATCTAAAAACACGTTAAAATTGTGCAGCAGCAGGATTCCAGTCAAACCAGTGAGTTTGGCGGTTTTGAGACATCATCTTTCATTGAAAAAAAAACTCGCATGGCTACGGCGACGTGCGCGCATACCAGAAACCGGAGACTTTTTTTTGCCTTATGGCAACTTTTTTTTTCGAACCTGATAGAAATAACCGAGATTAGTCTTTAACAATAGGCTATAGGATTATATTGAGTCAAAACACCTTGATTCTCAAAAGAAAAAAATCTTAAAGCCAATTCTTTTCAGAGAATCATTCAGACTTGGTGCCAAATTATTTTGGCGTGAAATGTGTGAATTTGTACAACAGATGAGCATAAGAAAAGTATAGGGAAAGGCTAAGGCCAACAAAAAAGTCTCCGGTTTCTGGTATGGAGCTTGCCCAAAAAGTGGTGCGGCGACGCGGCTTTTTTTTTTTTACCTGATTTTTTTGCGCTTCATATGTCGGCTGATGACTGCAAATGGTGCCCGACTAAACTTAGTGCAAAATGTACGGGAGTCCAGAAAGTCCACATAAAGCTTATTCTCGATCATACTCCAATCTAAAAACACGTTAAAATCGTGCTGCAGCAGGATTCCAGTCAAACCAGTGAGTTTGGCGGTTTTGGGACATCATCTTTTATTGAAAAAAAAAAACTTTTTCATTTTGCCGACGCGCATGGCTACGGCGACGCGCGCGCATACCAGAAACCGGAGACTTTTTTTTTTTGGCCTAACCAACCTTTTATCAATATTATTTTGAAATCACCTTGACATTCTTTGAGAACTCAACCAAGCGTCAAATTAGCATTTTACGTCAGCGAGAATGCAAACTTCAACAAGTGCACACTAAATGTTTCAGACTGTATCACCTCGCCGGGCAATTGATATGAAGTGCTGGTTGGAATAATTCATGGACGCTAATGTGCGTGGGTGGGAAGCGCAAATTATCAGTCCAGTGATGTGGTTGTACTGAGGCTTAGTGAGATCATTCTAACAGCACAGGCTTGGCAGCTTACATCGCCTCAAAAGCTCAAATTTATTGATAGGAATTACACCACAAAGTACTTGGAATAGATCCCTTTGTATCGCCCAGACGTATACCTTACAATTATGTAAAAGTGACACGCACGTGAACCTTTGAACTTTATTTCACAGAACTAAAATGTTAAGAATTCTCACATTTCAAGACGTTTCCTGGGTCTGCCAATTGCTATTAAACTATACCGCTATTAACCATTATTTGTCCTTACAGTTTTAACAAGTTGATGTTTAATGTTTAGGCTGGGGAGAATCAATAAACCCGTTTTAGAGGAAAAGGTTGTGATATCTTGATTTTTAACAGAACAAGGATTATGTGTGTTCTTTATCAGATGTCCTGTTTTGATCCTTTATATCAAAGCCAATTTCCAAGTGGGAGTTTGAATAGTCATCTGTTGAGTGCATTCTACCGCGCCGTGTGACTGGATTCCCTTGTGATCTGACTCTTTCTATTATTGTGGCAGGATGATGGATTTGTGCATCATCCTGTCTAAAATCCCAGAGGAACAAGTGAAACTGACCTGATGTCGGATATGATCATTCTAAGAAACGGCAATAAACCTTGTTTTTGCTGGCGAAGATCCCATAAATTCATATCATCCAAAGGGAATGGAAGTCGTCAGTTCGGCCTCAATTTCATCAAATTAGGTTTCGCAATTAGCGTTCAGATGATCGTCCCATAAATCATAATAATAATTATAACGTAGGCATATATAATAATAGAAAATATAGTAATGCTTGTACACTCTAAAAAAAAACCACACACACAAAACAGTAGCCAGAATTGACTAGAAACCAGTTAAATTTGACTAGCCATTCAGGGTCAGCTGGGTGCAACTGAAAATCAGCGCTTTCCATCTGTACAATTATTCCCCATTTATCAGGCCACGAGACCACAAGGCAGCCGACATCATCGCACAATCGGTCCTCGACCCTCACAGGTACAATTGAAGTTAAGTGTCTTGCCCAAGGGCACAAACCGCCTGTCAGGGTTCGAACCCATATTCTATCGCACATGATTCAAACACCGTAACCACTGGACAATGGCATTATAAGTAATGGGTTTGAAGTCTCTTTTGAAAATCAAATCCGTAACTTTATCCTTACTGGGTTTAGGGGATTTTCCCCAATGTAAATCTGTTTTATGTGTGTTTGTTTGAATGTTTTGTGTGAAGTTTTTCACGTATTCCTTCAGGTCATACCGGGGTTCACTTGTCAAATTTACGATGATAATCAAAACAAGGTTCTTGAACAGTGCAAGGCTCACATGATGCCCAATAAAATTATTAAAGTTTACTGGCAAACTGTTTTATCTGAATAATATGGCTTGTTTTACTCTATAATTTGTTGTTTACAACTTTGGCTGGGTTTTGCCTATCCATGTAATATCTAGCATGATTTATGAACATTATTGTTCCAAAAAAAATCAAATGTCTTTTATTGTTTCTGTGTGTTTTCTGACATTCTGAAATTTCCGTTTTTGTCATGTAGGTGCCTTATTGGAAAAGCCGCCCGCCTCGCGTCTGCTTGCGTCACTGACTGAGAACTATGGACCAATCACAGTGCGACCTATCTACAACGAGAGCCAACCAACCAAAGTCGCAATACGAATCTTCGTCACACAGATCATTGAACTGGTAAGGATTGCAATTTGATTGGTCAATCACATCGCAGTATGTTTGCTTGTTGACCAGCCACATTGTAGATTTGATCTCTTATTGACCCTTTGCTGAACTGTGCGTGAAAGTGTTTGGCCCTTCCTACAGATAGTAAATAGTAGTTCAGACATTTCACCTTCAAAAATATTAACCAATTAAATTTCAGCCTGAAACTCTGTAGTTATATGCTATAGATTCAATTGTAATTTGGCTAAGATATAATATCCTACAGTTGGTCAAATTGCTATTTCATATCTTCTTTTCTTTCAGAATGAGCGGGAGCAGTTCGTTCAAATCAGTGGGCTGATGAGGCTGGTAAAGTTCTTAAATATTTTTCGCTCTTTAGAAAGTGAAGTTTCTTTCCACATTTCTTTCATCATGTCAAAAGGTCCATGATCACAAATACTAACGTGTAACTGTGTGCGGTTTTTGTATCCGAGGCTCTTTGAAGTTGCACAGGAGGGTACAGCTTTTACTTTCAAAATGGCGGTCTTAAATTATCACCAAGTTCTATCAACGTTGACCCAAACGCATGAAACAGTTCCATACAATACAAATTCGAATACGTAGCCAACCCGGGGCACGTCGTGTTAAGCCATTCAAATATGACATTGGAGACCTGTCCTTATCATATCCTTTATTGCTAGGCTGTACGCAAGAGCAATTCATGCTGCATGTGCTGATTTGAAATTGCAGTTTAAAAAAGTGCAGTTTGTCACTTAGGGTGTGGAATTTTCACAGCTAACATGCAAGAAACTGGTTTTAAAGAGGTTGTGGAATGCTCGAAGACATTTCCGTCATTTTTTGGGTATATGTAGCCTAAGGTGTGCTGAAATAAAAACGACTATTGTGTCTGTCATGAAATGAGTACAGAAGGTACTTTAGAGAGCTGTTTTTCAGGTCCTGTTTCGAGCCGAACGTGCAATTTGTGTAAAAGTCGTCGTTGGGGGCAGCAAACAAAACAAAGTAAATCATGACGTAATAAACAGGACTCCCGATGCAGCGTAGTATAAACGAGTCCTGTTTATCACGTCGTGATTTTTCTGATTTTACGAAGAACCCAACGACTGTTGATTTCAATTATGCGCTCGCCGACCAACAAATTACTCGATGAATTTCAGTTTTATAAACATATAAACGCACATTTCAAAAGAATGGGACTTTGTCATAAAGATATATATGGGTCTACTCTACAATAAAAAAAATATATAAAAACAAAACAACTTTCAGCATGTCACAACTTCTTTAAAAGATGTTGTGATCCAGGGAAGTGCCGATACCCGTTAACCCGTTAACCGATACCCGTTAGCTTCTGTGCCGTGTGATGAATGTGTCTCGATGCGGATGTCAAACGCTTATTATCACGATAATGAATTGCTTCTGCGTAGGCCAGTTCATATTTGACCCGAATGCAAATTCGAAGCGAAAATCTGCCGGAGTTGAAATATATTCAACTTGAAATTGGATACACATGCTGCAAACTGCTTTGTGACCGGATTGAACAAATTAAGGCAGCCCGATCTTCCGATCTTAAGATCTTAAGAAGATCTTCTACAGAGGCAAAAGAAGAATATCTTGTTAAGAAGAAGCACATCTTGTTAAGATCGGAACGTCAGGCCGCCGTCATTTTTTGACAGCTTTTTGCGAATTCGCAGCATGAATATTTGCCGTATTGACGTGGCGTCACAAATTCTCGTTCGCGTTGGCTTTCGCGCCAAGTAAGGGCTTGTCTTTCGCTCATAAGCTCTTTAAAGACCGTGGCCTCTAAAGAGTTTATGAACGAAAGACAAATCACCCAAAATCTGCAAAAAAGGCATCTTGTATCTCACAGTAAAGCGCAATTTTCTTTTTCTTCTGTTGGCGGCAGCTAACGCTCTGCGATAACTAGAAAGCACTCAGAGAGCGCAAACCTCCGCCAAGGCTAAACAATTCCCCGCCATATTATCAGTATATCTAAAAGAAATACTTGCATATGGAGGAGAATCGTTAAATAAACAATCGTGACCCAGATCCGGATCATTTCCAAAATCTGATCTATTTGTACCAAGGACCCCCCCCCCCCCGAGAAAATTGTAATGCAAATCCGTTCACAACTTGTTGAGTTATCTTGTTAACAGACAACCCAACAAACAAACTAACCAAATCCGATGAAAATTTAACCTCCTTGGCGGAGGTATTTATAATTACATATTTTGTATTTCATACTTCTTTCTAAACAACTTTATTTCCAGACAAAAGGCGGCATCAGCACAACCTAGCAAAATAAGAATTTATCGTTTGTTACAAAAGATACTTTCTGAACACCTGCAGACGTGCAACCTCTCGCGGTAGTGCATAATATATCAATACTGCTATTAGATACCAATTCATATACCATTAATGTATGAACATAAGAGTGGAAGTGAAGATGTGATTTCAAGACCTGTTTTAAAACGTTGATTTTTTTAGAAGTGGCATGACGCCTTCCTAGCCTGGAATACATCCGATTACCCTGGTGTCGAGAAATTATACATCTCCATCAGAGACATCTGGACGCCTGATATCACCATGTATACCAAGTAAGAGTACATTCTCTTTCTTGTCTTGCTTCCATGCTACCTAACTCATGACGTCATAGCCTACCTTAACCCTCTCCTTAACCCCCGCTTATTGTGGTCATTTTGTTCGTTTTGTGCATAGTGCGGCCAGGAATAACGGGTATGGACATGATTGCTCTGTTCCGTACGATTTGATTCTGATTCGGGCTGTATGTACTCACTGAACTAATGATTTGGTGTTTTTCGTTTTGTCTTCATCGTGTGAACACACAAGGAAAAGAAGTTACGGCCTATGGCATTGTGTTTCTGCAGGTTTTGTTTTTATTCTTACTAACCTTTTTATCATAAGGGTTCAAACAGCAAACATGTTTGTGTGAACAAAATGGGTTAGGAGCAGACTGGAAAGTGCCCCCCAAATGGGGAAAATATTCCAAGTGGGCCTTGAAGGCTGGGACTCTGAGAAACAAAAGCATATAAGGTGACATTTGTACGTATTAGATGAGTTTCAACTTCATCTTGGGTAGAAATTGTGACGTACTAAGTTTTAAAAGAATTTCGGTCTGAGATTTGACGACGATTGTAGCACCATTTGCGAAGTTCATTTTTAAGTGATTCTCCGTGGCTCCATAAAAGTGCAGGCACATGATGGAGTAATTTGTGATGAACCTAGTTTTCAGATAGCACTTGATTGAATTTCATGTGTACTGTTGGCTCTAAGTGGTAACATCGTGCAGTTAATTACTGGTGTTTTGTTTTTGTTTTGAGAATCATACCAAACAACACGCCACATGGAATCAGTAATGGCACATGAGTTTATCATTCATTATCATTATTTCATAGATTTTTTTCATGATATTTGTCCAGTCAACTTGAAATGGACTATGAAGTCATTCACTCAATCAAGTTTAATTCTTGGTAGTAACACGCATGCGCACGTCCTCCACATTAATAAAAGGATTCTGTACTTTTCTTTGTTGATAGTTTGTCTGGTGCAGATTTTGTGGGTGTTACCTTTCTTCGTGGCTTTTGCACAATTGTGCTTCGTACTTGCAGCATAACACTAGCTTAGAAGATAGACTTCAGAAAATGGCTTTTACGTATACATGCTTTGCATGCTGTTGCTGTGTTACAGGATTTTGTTCTTGGTCGTGACGAAGGCTGTTGGTATTTTCCTGTGCACATATCTGAAATAGGAAATGCACCTCCCTGCAGCGGTAAACGTGGGACATGTTCACATTAACTGACCCGCGGGATTTTATGATAGCTTATCAATACGCTCCAACTGATAAGCGCTGAAGGAGACACCAATTCAAGCCAAGAGAATGTTCCGCTTACAATTTTACTACACATCACAGGTAGCAGTATCAATAAAAGTTTCAATACCAAAGCTAACACAGAAAAACATAAACAATTGCAGGCTAGTTTTGTTTTATTGACATCGTGTAAAAATATGGCTTTGGGCAACTAGCTAATCATCACTAGCTATATTGCACGCACGACACAAAAGCTACCCGGTCCAAGGTCCTGTCAGAAATAACATGACCAGTGAAGTAGTAAGCAAATAAAAGTACAGAATCTTCTCAAATTCATTTTGAAAAAACAGCGACGCTTCAAATAATGGTTTTAGAAAACGCCGCGCAAACGCGGAACAGAGAATAAAAAAGCGCAACTCGGCCAACCAAAATGGCAAGCAGCAACATTTGGACAATGTGAATATGTCCCGCATTGCGTCGGTTGCCAGACCGACGCAGATCGTGTCATCAGGCCTTCTAATGTTGCCCAGTCTCTCCCCGGGCCCCAGCGTTGATGAGTTCTTTGAGCGGACCAAGGACATACCGACCATCGTCACGCCAGACGGTATGGTGTCCTGGAACTTCCCCGCCATTCTCAAGTCCTCGTGTCAGATCGACAGTCTTCTCTTTCCGTTTGACGTTCAGCGGTGCGATCTCATCTTCGCTTCCTGGGTCTACACTATCGTGGATATCGACCTGCTCAAAGATGTGGAGACTGAACAGAATCTGAGCGCCTACTTTGTACCCAATGGAGTCTGGGAACTGACGCAGGTATGGCTATTCGGGTATAGATGTTGTCTGTACAAAATAAAAAGAAAAAAAGGAAGTCATGATTGTAGCGAAATGGGATACCAACGGCAATGCACAAGATGCTTCTCATAATCCCTTGCTTCTCATAATCCCAACACGAAAATCCGCCACGGCTAATCAAAACATCACAACAAAAACGAGGCTTTACTTACAAACTGATGCTCCGTGTCGGTACTTATGTAGATTGCGTTAGAATACCTAAACATCCAAATACGGTGACCGAAGCTTACCAGTGCAGCCTCTCTGCTTCTTTGTCATCTTAAGTCTAAGTGTTTAAAAAATCTACATTAAACGTTATGTGGTCTTTTAAGGAACCCACCCTATCAATGTATACTAACTAAGCGGTGAGAACAGTTTTATCGCGGATAGCCTTACAGAAGCAAAAGAAACGAAAGGTGTATTCGGGCGGATATGAATGCGCGCGATCGTGAAACGACAGGCTGATTGTCTTCTCTTTGTGGTCGCCATATTCGCTGTTACCCTTCAAAGTTGTGTAGCTTTGTTTCCCTTCCATTGGTACCCACAGGTTTTAGTAACACGTGAAGAGGTCATCTACCCGTGCTGTCCTGATGCATTCCCCATGATCACCTTCTCTCTCTATCTCGCACGGCGACCTCTCCACTACATCATCAGCATCCTACTCCCTGCGGTCCTCCTTGCAATCATAAGTCTCTCCATCTACGTCTTACCCCCTGACTCAGGGGAGAAGATCTCACTGGGTGTGACCACTCTTCTGGCGCTGTTGCTGTTCCAGGAGTTGATCGGTGGGTCTCTGCCGCCCTCTTCCGACGCAACGCCTATTATTGGTAAGCACGCAAGGCAATATCCATGTTAAGTAGAGTGAGACAAACTTTGCTGAGCGAAATGTGCTGAGGTTTTGCTGTACAAAGATAGTTTCGTCCTAATGACGAGAAGGGAACAGTGATCCAAAACGTCAAGTTAATCACTTAACCTCAGAAACACACAACCCACAAAGGAGACATATACTGGGCACGTGCTCAAATCTAAAGGTTTTCGGCCAAAGAGTATTTGTGTATGTCTGTTGTAATTGCTGTACTTATTTGAACTGGTTCTCGCTGATGAAAGACTTGATTATCAAAACATAACCTTTTGTCAAGAAACGTTTTGTACTTCGCGGATCCATTGGGCCTACATGTGATGAGAATAGTTGCTTGTGTTTGTTTTTTGAGGGGGAATTTAGAAGATGACATCATCAAAAATCTGAAATCGCTTTCTTTGTAGGTTATTTCTTCACACCAATGGTAGTCATCGGCTGTACATCAGTCCTCTGTAGCGTCTTAATTCTCAATCTACATCACCGCGTCATCCATAGACCCGTACCCCATTGGCTACGGTACATCATCTTCAGAATCCTGGCTCCATCTCTATGCTACAGCCGCGGTCCTGAGACACTCTATACCTTTGAGAGGTCCGGGCCGACCAGATCGGCCACCATCATCGAATCCTGGCCACGCACGTCATCTAACAATATCCGGGAGTCCTCCGTAGATAGGACGGGGTCCGCAATCGGGCACAGCAGCGCAGAGAACGGCAACAGCGATCGGGCCCTGCACAGCGAATCGGACATCCCGATGAATAACTTCTGCGAGTCTGACGTCACGAAGCGATGCTGCCATCACAGCTGCTGTAAAGAAATGCTCAAGGCCGTGGAGAGAATACAGGATGCCCAAGCGGAGGGGAATCACAGTGATCCGCCAATTCGCGAATGGCAAGAGGTGGCTCTTGTTCTGGACCGGTTCATGCTGCTGGTGTCTGCACTGACAATGGTTGCTTCGATTACAGTCACCATTTTGATGTTTATTATACATAGTCAGCCATCCACCTTACGAGTTTGAATGTTATGTGCCCTGTAGTTGGGCCGGCCCAGGCCTATCCGAACTCTAGCCAATCTCATCAAGCACACCCCTCGGTTGTAACCAACCATGCACCAACGTATACTTGTACTTACACTTCCTTGGGTATTTCTGATTATCTGTGTCCGGGCCAAATCACAATTCAAATCAGACTTGAGGAGTTCTCAAGAGGATAGCCACCAAGAACACGAGGCAACTTACAAGCACAATTGTAAAGGTAACCTCTCAGTCTACTATAAAGAAATGACAAATGACATGCACAGTTTGCTACAACCTCGTCCCAAGGGATTACTTTATTTTCAACGTGGTTTCCAATAGTTACCCCTGGATTTGAAACTTTTTTCCTGTATCCTGATTCGATACAGAAATAGCAAGTAATTGATTTATATTGTGTACTTGGTGTTTTTTTTTTAAATTTCTAACGTGTATGACGTATTCTAAAGCTATAGCTGTGAATTATTACGTCCATACGCCACCTAAAAAACAATGCCCCTTTTCCATTTTGCTAAAAATAATAATTGTGTAATGCGACACTGCATAATTGGTTGGATAAGATTGTAACATATTAACTTTGGAAAAGTCTTGTTTTCGGATCTCACGCCGCGATGAAATGATTCTGTTTTTACCTCAGACAGATACCGCATACAAAAACAAACGCTGATTTGAAGCACAGCCGTGCACCAGACTACTCCTAATTTGCATTCGTGTGCAAGATTACCGAGCATGGAAATGATCCAATACCAGTGTGAGAGAGCAGGTAGTGTTGGGAGCGTAATGCCCGACACCATGGAAACGATATTGCAGTTTGCTAATAATGATGTGAGGAACTTTTCCATTAACTCCTGCAAAAACAAATCGTACTTTCTTCCAGTGCAGTTGGTTGCCTCCAAGTTGCCTGTGAAAAATGCCTCATGTGACTTGGCCTTTTGTTCCTCCATCATTTTTTTTTTTTGGGGGGGGGGGGGTTTAAACTCTAACACCATTAATTATCACACCCAAACCATGACCGTGTCTTGAGGGGCATGGTCGAGGCAATGTAGACAATAAAGTGACCATCACAAAACTATTATTGTTGCCGAAATAGCTAGTAAAATGGTCAAACAGATAAGTAACTTAAAAACTAAACATCCATAGTTTGGAATAGTATTTCATCGTGAAATAATATCACCGAGTGTGTATTGTCTATCAGTATTCAGAGGAGGATACCATACGCCCAACGGGGAGTTTAATATACTGTTTATTTATTTCGATGTACCTTTAAAAATCTCCCTTTATTTTCAGTTTATGTTGAAGATTATGAAGTGTGCAACCGCTACGTACCGGGACTGTCCATGTTCTTCAACAAAGTCATTTTTTCTCTCCTTACGAATTGTTAAATCGTAGGATTTATTCAAACAAAAACGGTAATTGTCTTTTTTTTTTCGTCTACAACCTCCGAAAAAGCTCCCCTTTCGGGTTGCTTTTGTGCAAAAGCACATCCGGCCAGCGAGTGTCATGGTTCCCGGTCTTAACATTATGGATTCTGAAAAGGGCGGGAATAAGATTACCGTGTAAAAATTGGATTGTTGAGTCGCACATAATTCAATATTTGTAAAGTGATTATTCCATAAATAAGTGTTGGCCGATTTTTTTTTTCATTCTATATCTCATTCAAAAGTTAGTTTTGTAGAAAAAAAAGAAGATTAATAAAAGGCAACATCGCGCAGCGTGAGTAATGTTTTTATCTTCAAATAGCCACGCGAAATTGATTCAGGTGTTATTTCTCTTATTTCTTCGTAAAAAAAGAAAGAAAAACTGTTTACTAGTGTCTTTTAAATGGTAGTGCATCATGTGTTTATATGTTTGCTAAAATGTACATTTTCCAACGTAATTTTAAAAGATGAAGTGAAGTTTTATCGTAATATTTCTGTAATTCATGTTTCGTTTTACATGATTTATGTAATTTAATTTTTAACCGTGTTAATATTTACTAGAGGATTTTCCAGCCAAATTCAACAAGAATTATTTCATTTTCATTGTGCTTTCACATCCACGTAGATTAATTCAAATCAGTAGAGTTTCGTTTGAGATATTGCATTCAATTTTATGTGCACACATTATTTCGTTCTTGCTATTTTTTTAGTTCGTTTTGTCATTCTACTCCGTTTATGGAATTTCAATATTGTATTTGAATCATTCCTAAGTTGAATTTGTACCATATATTTGCAACTGATGCAGTCAAATTGACACTCATCTAAATCTTTTGTTTCTTCTTCGTCAGTTAGCTGCAATCAATTTCAACTTTAAATTGTTCAATTTAAATTAAAAAATTGTAACTTTTTGTTTGTATGATAAGTTGGTCCTGTATTAAGCATTTTCAAACTTGCTCATATGATTTTGTTTGTCTCAATTGGAATTCATCCTTTTACATGTTTATCTCATGACTAGTTTTTCAAATTAGATGGCAGTCCTTTTGTGCTTGTAGAGAGACTTGTTTATCATTAGAATGTGTGCATACCTATGTTCTCCAATACCTATGTTTCCCCACCCTAACCCTAACCCTAACCCTAACCCTAAGGATTTTGGGGAACATGAGTATAGGGGAACATCGGGTAGAACCCCTTAGAACCATAAAGTATGAATTCTCCATGAAAAAAATGTAATTACATATACACTGAACAAAAATATGAATCTGAGCGCACACATGTCCATACGGTTACGGAATTGAATTCACACATGTGGAAAATGTTTGCCATGCAATAACATTAAATTCTAAATCAAGCTGTTGCTACTGGCTTCATCGAAATTAAATGAACCTTTCAACCATTTGAATTCGATTGAACTCATTCGTCAAAAGAATGGCAACAATAATGAAATGGAAGGACTTCTTTGACGATGAATGCGTATGCTAGGAAGCATTCAGTTTCCAATTAATTGAATGGGCCGGACATAAATTGAATGACTTCTTGTCGAAATTGGCCGGGGAAACCTATACATGTAGTAGATTGCTGTAACTGCATCGTCGTGTGCTTCAGAAGACATTTTCAATTTGCAGCGTTCAAACAAACGAGGTACTGAGATGTGTGATGGTAAATACATGTTTCACACGCGATCGCATGAGGCCTGTTTGTGTGCGTACAACATGCAATTAACATTTAATCCTGAAATAAAGACATCTCTATTTTAAAAGTGATGTTTCTATTTCTAGATGGCCCATGTTAACATTTAACCCCGACCTATTATCTATTCAGGGGCGGATCTAGCTTTCAGGGGAAAAAAGGGTGATGGGGGCGCGTGAAGGCGTGGGTTAGTGGTTGAGAGAAGGCGTGCTGAAGGGCTCCCCCCCCCCCCCCGAAATATACAACGCTTTCTCTTGCAGTCTAAGGTAATTACAGGGTATGTTTAGTAACTTTAGCTTTCCATTTATTATTTTTGGCCCCATTTGACAAGTATCATAACATTAGTCAGCGGCTATAGGGGGGGGGGGGTACTGCTATTTCAAATAGGCACATGTATCTAATTGATAGAGATATCTCTATATCGTTTATATTGGGATTAAACGTTGACTTCGCACGTCATGAAAAAGAGATATCTAGTCTATATTAAAGAAAGACCTAACTCCATATATATATATATTAAAAACACAAAATTATGTCTCTTTCAGGATAAAACTTTAAAATTACACGCCATACTAACACATTGGTGTCAAACATTGCTTCTTGTGAAAATATTATACCGGCAGCCATGTGCAAAGAGCTATTGCGCCATGGCTACCGTGTGACTAACGTGCAAGCTAGTGAGGCCACCACTGTGACTACTATGGCTACCATATTACTGAACAAAGTTGTTAACATCACCAAAGACTCGCCACTTACAACTGTTTTGCTTCCAAATATCAGCTTACAACGTAGATAATGCAGCTGTAACTAAGTTATAAATTAAGTTTACATTAATTGTGTAGCGCCCTCTACTGGTTTGAATGACAAAGTGAAGGTCTCAAGAATACTAGTGTAGACAAGTTGAATTGTTCGCTTCTTTCCATTTTAAGCCGCTTTCGAGCGTGCTTGTAAGGTATAACGGGATTCCGTGAAATAAGGAACACAATACAATGAATTGATAACATGAGTATTCTGCGGACACACTGAAAACCATCCACACAAACGTTATTCAAGAACCAAAATAACATTATCAAATAATAGTTACGACTTTTCAATAATTGTTTCCCTTTGTAAAACATAGATAAGAAGACTTAAAAAAAAATTAAAAAAACTAAAACTAAAAAATATAATAGTAAGAAAGGATTCGCAGCTGCATGGTCAGGTGCGATCATACGTGTACAAACAGTATGCATTGTATTTTTGTTTTAATACGGGAAATTCTTTTTAAAGTTATTTTTTTATAAAGATCATTCCATAATAATATGTTCACAATTAAAAAGGGGACCCGCTAGATATTGACACATGTTTGTCTTTATCGAAAACAGTTTGAGGTTTTTTTTGACGTATTAAAAAGAAAATGTGCAAAAGAGTTTATCTTTTGACCGATTGGTCAATCAGGGTAGGCCTATATTTAGTTGAAGATCCTCGTTGATGTTACGAAATTGAATTTCATTCGCTTGCTGAACAAAAATGCTACATTTTGAGAATTTATACCCTGCATCAAAACTTCAAAATCGGAATTGACAAAGAAGCCAAACGAGGTTCTGCAACGATAGTACATATCTATCCTTAGAATTTACATTAGGCCTATACAAAATTAGTGTTAAAGTAGCTGGGGAAAACCTTTATTTACAGAGAGAAAGAAAGAAGGAGAAAAGAGCGCCCCCCTGATGTCTATTGAGGTGCATCCCGAGTCCGTTTAAGCTTATGCTAGGGTCATACGTTCCCGAATTATTGCCACGAATACCCCGAAGTATCCCAAATAAAACTTCTTGATGGCATCGGGAGAAATTAGCCCCGATTCGCTGTTTGTAAGAATAAATTAAAATGAGACAAAAATAATCGAGAACTAGGTACGAATTGGAACCGAATCAGACCGAACCAAGCCGAAAGATTGTGGTTTAGTGCAGTATGAAACCAAATTGTAGCGATTTTGTCAAGAATAAAATACGAATAACTCAAAAATCATCCAGAATGACCCAGACTTATCGATCTTTAACGATCTTTCACTGAACAAACAGAATCATTCCGAGGCAGCCAAGAACCATTCCCCGATATACTCAAGAATTTCTATTCGCGGCGATTCGGCTTATGAATCTGGAATGTGTGAACCTAGCATTACCAATGCATTCCCTGGCATTTCCAATGGGTAAATCGTGTTAAACGTTCCTTTGAAATCACAATATGATTAATTTAATTGAATTGACAAGGCAAGCATGCGTTCGTGTATGTTACATGTCTGTGCAGACGTTAAGATAAATTAACGTATGGGCACACATTTGCTACAAGTATGCTATATACTGTCATAATTATGTAGTTATGTCACAGGTGTTTTTTGAAAATAAATCTGCAATTAAAAGCGACCTTTATTATTTTTGTCACTGTATTGCAATTATTTTTGTGCCGTGATAGATAGAACAGGTCAGTCTTGAGAGCAAATATGCTGCATGTCAGCAACTGCTGCCATTCATTTTTGTTTATTGATCCAATTGGGAGAGACAGGTGCGACAAGTGAAAGGCAAGTTATTACTTGCTATTTTTGGCACGTCTGTGATTGATTATTTTTTTAAAATATGACCCTGGAATGTGGCTTTACAGTCCGGGTACCGGACCGCGGACTATGTCATCAGTTTTTAAAAATTAAAAACCAATTGTATTCTCTTTGGCATTGCACTGTTCGTCAGTACCCCCACCCCAATAATCTAGAACACTTTTATCATGGTAAAATACTTACTTCTTGCAAGATTGGAATTAAAATATCTCGTCCTTTGAATAAATTATCAATTCGGATTTTAAAAATTATGTGGACTATACGATTTTCGACAGTCCAACTCACGCGTCACAGTTTTCAAATTTATTCCAACAATGAATGCCTGAAAACATTTGCAATCAATTCGCACAATTTGACACATTGTAGAAAACGTGTGTGCAACCTTGAATTTTTATGAATACGTAAAAATAAATTTACTTGGCCCTTTTTTTCACACGAGGCAGCGTTGTATGCTTTTTGATGGCTTGCTTTATGAAATAAAATATTAAATTTGTGTGGATCTCTCAAAATTTTTGAGCTTAAAGGCTTCGCTGCCTCGTGAAAACCCAGCATAATTGTATAGCCAAGACGCAGGTGATGCAATCAACCAAGGTCTTCAAGTGCGGTAGACCATAGTCTACTCATAATTATTAAAAGGTTGGGATATTATATTTATATTCCTTATTTACTTTTTGTCTGATGACTAACAGTCTATTTGCTGCCTTTGTTTTAATTAGATATTAAAAACGATGTGCAAAGACAAACAAAAGTCAAGCCAATTAATTATTAGGCTATTTCATGTTTTCTTCTTTTAAATAATTTTGAACTCTCAACCGGCCCCTGCACTGTCGGGCGGTGTTTATGATAAGCCTCTGCAAAATGGTACCAAAAATGTAGCTACACGCATCTTTAAATTAAGGAGTTTGAAAACTGAAAATGTAGAAGATAAAGGTAAACATCTTGTATGTGGAACAGTTGAAAAGTGTTTTTGATGATGCAACGGTATTTTAGAAAAGGGGAATGTCAACTGCTGATCAATTTAATCGAGTGAATTTATGAATTGGAACCATCAATCCTTTTATTTTTTTTGGACCCATGGGATAAATTAGCGCTTTTATATTTCTTTTAAATACTTGATAGGCATTATGGTGTTACAAAGCCATCAGGTTATTTAGACTCAGTTGAAATAGACCTTTTGAGTGAGTTTTCCTAGTTCCGGATTTTTGCTAGTTCCGGAATCCGGATAGCTTCAAATAAAAACCTACCTCTTTTGGATAAGTCTCCAATAATTTTTTTTCGGACGATGTGCATTTTTAAAAAAGGAAAATGTAAGCTACTACAAAGATTTTTCCGATAAAATCCTTAGAAGAGGAATTTTGGCCAGATTTCCGACTCGCACTTCGACATGTTTGGACGGTTAGTAGAAAATCGCGGGAGCTGCGAATCGACGATAAATTTTGTCCTCGGTATATCACTTGTACCGTGTGATTTCGAATATTTTGTTCATGCACTACAGTCTTATAAACTCTTCCATCGAATGCTTGTTGAATCAAAATAAGTTGTAAAGTCTGTAATTTTTTTTAATTCGCCAACAAATGACCGTATGTTTTTGCCTAGTTCCGGATAGCGTGCACTTACGACCCAACTACACGCGATTTTGTGTGACGTATTCTGTGCTGGGTCAAAGATTTTCGGTCCGTGCGTGAGTTCGAGCCGTTGCGCTGCAGACAAAAGTTTCAAAATCATTTACTTTTTTTCTCTTTTTAAAATTTGATAGAATTCTCTTGAATGAACTATTTTTGGAAAATGAAATAATACTTTATCAGAAAATATGCTTGAATCGGTTGCTTCTGGCTGAAAAAACATTTCTCGCGTGATTTTTTTTCGCGTGAAGCAGTTTTAATCGATTCGGAACTAGGAAAAGTGACATCGGTACTTTTTACGTCGTAAAATCAAAATAAAAAGAGCTTAAATTTTGAAAATTATTTTGTGGTCTCCCCATCACTCAATGTAAACTTTTTAATCAATGTCATTATTATTATTATTATTATTTATTCGGCCAATTTACAAGGTACAACAAGCAATCCACAAAAGTAAACAAAACTAAACAAAAACAATCCAATCCAAGCTGGCCAGGATTGACAAAAGTATAATAAGACACTGTGACTCGAAAGCCTGTCAATCCTAACTTGAATGGTACATGTAACTACAAAATATATTTAAAAATAGGTACAAAATTCAATGAAAAATAAGAAAAATAAGACCGCCTTAAAAATAATACTTAAAAAGATAATTAGATTCAAAAGATTAACAGTTACAACCCTGACCACAGTTTTCTCAAAGGCAAGAATAGCTGGCGTAAAAACCTAACAACTGCAGATTAAACAAGACTGGGGAAAAACAGACAAACAAAAAAAAAACAAACAAAACACCCCAACAAACACCCCAACAAAACCCTAACAAACGAAGAAACAAGACAAGTCAAGACAAGACAAGACAAGACAAGACAAGACAAGACAAGACAAGACAAGACAAGACAAGACAAGACAAGACAAGACAAGACAAGACAAGACAAGACAAGACAAGACAAGAGACAAGACAAGAGACCAGACCAGACCAGACCAGACCAGACCAGACCAGACCAGACAACACAACAAAGACAAGACGAAACAAACAAATACAAACAAACAAGACAAAACAAAACAAAAAAGACAACAACATAAAAACACGGAACGAAAGATTGATACAGTAAACAAAATAATTTTAAATGAAATAAAAATAAATAATAAGTAATAAAAACCTGATAGACAAAATTAAAAAATACTTAATCGCAGTTGACATGCGAGAAAAGCAACAACAAAAGCAGCAATAACAAAATAAATACAAGTAAAAATAAATGATAAGCAACCGGAAAAGTAGGACTAAAAACCAACATTATTTCAGACATAAATAAATGAATAAATAAACTTAACCACAATAGAGGAAAATAAAATAAAATAAAATAACAATGAAATAAAAGAATGATGGCAGTTTGCAGTGCGAAAAAATACACTTTAAAAAGATTAAAGGAGATCAAAAGAGATAAACACTTGGGGGGGGGGGTGCTATTTCCAGCTCCAGGTTTTAACACTCATAATAATGAGCGGATAATCTGGTGTTAAACAGTGTAAATGAATCAATTAATAGAGAGTCCCTTACTACAGATTCGGGGGAAGACATGACTAGGTGTGTTTTTCAGGGTTTGGGTTCTAGCATAGTGGTGACTAAATGTGAGACAATCCTGGTGACGAGTGTTCACTACTGTGTTGGCCTTCACTGATTGGCAGTCAACTAAGCTAAACAGGACTTTAACTGTGAAGGAAACTATGTGCTTCTGTCTACGTGTATCCAGAGTTATCCAATTCAAAGCATGCAATCTGTCTTCATATGACATTGCACCTTTGGGCTGTTTGAGACACATTCTACTTGCTCTTCTCTGTACTCTCTCAAGTTTGGCTGCATTGGATGCTGTGTATGGGACCAAGCTGGCAACCCGTATTCTAGTACGGGCAAGACAAGTGAACGATAGAGGGATGTCAAAGCCTTGGTCGAAGCACCACCCGCAATATGCCAGATAAAGCCTAATGTCTTATTGGCCTTTGAGACAGTGGCATCGACGTGATCGTTCCAGTTCAGTGAGTCGTTGATGATTACCCCAAGATATTTGAATGTAGGTGTAACATTGAGCGATTGACCATGAAGAATGTAACTTGGAAGAACTGCTGGTTTCCGGGATCTGGAAATGTGCATGACCTTGGTTTTCTTGATATTCACCTGCATACCATTGAGATTGCTCTATTGTTCAAGTGCAGTCAGGTCCGACTGGAGGGTGAGTTCATCTTGTGGTGAGTGGATTGGCTGATAGAGGAGTGTATCATCCGCAAAGAGTGCACAGTTTGTGGATAAGTCATGAGAAATGTCATTAACAAACAGATTAAACAGGAGGGGGCGAAGGACACTGCACTGAGGATCACCTGAAGTTACTGGTGCCCACTCAGAGAAGCATCCCCGTCACTTGAATTCGTGGAGTAGGTGGGCCGAAAGCAGCCTGAATGATGTTTGCTATCCGGAACTAGGAAAACGACTGTAGATCTATAGGACACATCGTTTTATTTTCTTGATTAATTTCTGTATTTGCTGGTACGTACATTCCACACAATTGTGCACTTTCGCGCGTAATTGACTACCGGTGTAGCATGAATTTAGGTTTTCTGAAATACAGACTCATTGGTGGTACTGCGCAGGCTCATGCATAGCTAATAAGAAGAGGGACCGGTCACGTGAGAGGGTTTAACCAATAAAAGTGAAAAAGAGTCCGATTTTCATACGAGTCTGATTTTCATATGACACCGGTACCCAATAATCGTGTTAAAATGAACTATCGAGTTCAAAGGACTCAACCCTGAGATCTTCATTAATTGTACGATGTGTTCTATTGATAACCACTTTATAAGGACACTAAATTCAGGGCCATTTTTACAAACAATTTGTATCGAATCGGACTGCAGTTCTATTGTCGGCAAAACTTGATTATTTTCTGATGATTGTGATTCAATTCGATCTTAAATATATTTACAAACAGCCAACCATTTTAACAGACCTGTCCAGAATCTAACCAATTGTTCCTGCCAAAGATGTTAAAAAAAACTGATAATAATAACGAGTAAAAAAAACACAGGAAATTTAGCTCAAAACAAGAATTAATTTGTATAAATAACTAATGTGATGTAAAATTGTACGTGTTTTATTGGTATGAGAGAACACCTGTTGAAAAAAAGGACTTTCACTTGTTTGCAATTAAGCAAGAGTTAGTTGTTTATATTTTCATTAGAGCCAATTAAGTGATAACAAATAAATACAAATACAATGTAATAAATGTAACCACCGAGTCCGTTTAATTCGTCAACATATAAATAATAAGAATAACATGCTTATTCTATGGTTTTATAGAAAATCTTTTAAAACAGCCCAAAATCTTTAATCTGAAATTATCGTGACACTGATCTTATCTTGGCAGGCATTTTTTTGTTTAGCAAAATGCATATGATAAAGCGCCCTCCACGTTTTGGTCACTCTTGGTGTCGGTGTTGATATTTTGAAGCAACCGCGCGACCGTGGCACGTCTATAAAATTGCAGCCGCATGAGGGCGCGCTTTACCAAAACAATAAAAAATAAAAATGGTTGTTGAAATCGAGAAATTTGTTGGTTGTTATTTGCTGCTGAATTTGAATCCGGAATTCAAAGGAAGGATCTAGGACTTACATCGGTTTCACAGTGGACCCAAGAAGAAAAATTAACCAACATAACAAGGGAAGCAAGTATGGTGGGGCTAAACGCACGAGTGGAAAGGGTCCTTGGTGAGTTATCATTGAAATTTGAAGTAAAACAATGTTTCGAGTCAACTCGGTCCCATACCGACTCGGTCCGAGTCGACTATGTCCGAGTCAACTAGGGGGAAGATTCCCATATCTGACCATCACTAATTTTCCCTTCAGTGACATTTCAGCCATCAGAAAGTGATAATATGTCCTATAAAGTCAAATTTACTATAGGGAAAATATTGATGTTCTTATTCACTGAAAAAAAAAACACTTAGAAATTTTCAGACCAGTCTCACATAGAGTCTGTGCACAGGGTGATGGCCAGATATGGGAATCTTTCCCAACTCGGTCCCAAGTCAACTCGGTCCCAAGTCAACATTAGCTGGAGTTACCTCAGCCCTATATTGTATCATTGGGTTGTCATATTGGGCTGGAGTAAGTTATTAGCTTGGACTAGCAGGTACAAAAATGAATTCGAAAACTTGTGGGTTAGGGTTCGAAAATGTGCCATTTTGTCCCCGTAACCAGAGTTGTAATGACTCGAGTCAATGACTCGACTCGAGTCCGACTCGAGTCACAATTTTTGGTGACTCGACTCGACTCGAGTCCCTGAAGGTAAATGACTCGACTCGACACGAGTCACTGCGAGCAAATGAATCGACTCGACTCGAGTCCCTCATCAGAAGACTCGACTTGACTTGAGCAAAGGCTAATAAGACTCGAGTCCCAAAAATAAAAGCACAACTTTGCGAAAAGTATTTGCAATGACTTACGGTGCAAAATTTATGCTCACTTCGCTTTGCGAATTAGTCATGTATAAATATACAACGTGTCACAGACTCCCACCTCATGGTTCTAGAACGCACAAAATACTATCCAGGAACCAGATTTTTAAACACATTTTCTAATTCGCTGTTTCATCATTGGCTTTAGGCGATTTCTTATAAAGCTCCTAGATTCGAACGCTGGCTAAACTTATGGCCTACTTCTATAAATTTTGGTATATAGTGTTCAAATATTCGTGACTCGAATTGACTCGAGCTAAATATTTGACTCGACTCGACTTGACTCGACCTTTGGACCTAATGACTCGACTCGACTCGAGTCACTTCTTTAAAATGACTCGACTCGGCTCGAGTCACTTCTTTAAAATGACTCGACTCGACTCGAGTCACAAAAATCAGTGACTCGTTACAACTCTACCCGTAACAAACTAAATTCCACCTGGGACTCACCCAAACCTTGCCTGGCATAATTATTACACAGGTTCTTGAAAAAATAATGATCCAAGATGAAGATTCGGCCTACAATTTGCAGTGAAAAAAAAGGAGGCATTACCGACAGCCGATCAAGTTATGCGGCCATGATGAGTTCCGCGGCGTAGATTTGTGCACAAAGGAATGGCAGGGCGCTGTCGATTACATGTACCATGCGCTTACAGCACTCGCACTGTCAGTCACATGCACTTGCCAACTGCACGGCGCGGCGCGGCGCGGCATGGCGCTGAAGCGCACACCTAACTTCTGCACTTGAAGCCTTCAATATGAGGTGCCAACGGCGCATTCTTAGTGTCTGGTGGTCCGACTCTGTCACCAACACCACTATCATGGAGACAACCGGTCTCGAGGATACCCGTGCTACCATCTTACGGAGGCGTCATTCCCTCTTTGGTCACGTCCGACGGCTACCGGATGACACGCCCGCCCATGCCGCTCTTAAGCTGAGCGTCGACGTACTAGGAAAACTCCAGCCTGACACTGCTTGGAAGAGACCCAGGGGCCGACCTCGCAACACCTGGGTGCGCCAGCTAGAAGTTGACCACAAGACACGTGCACATCAGCTGTGGCAGTCTGCATCTGATCGCTTGGTCTGGGCGGCTCAATGTCCCCCATGATGGATATGGAGAATGATGATGATGATGATGATTTATTTCGGATTTGTGTCTCAGGATGAGCTTTCAGCGCGGGATAGCAGCTCAACAAGTCATCATGTCTCTCCGTTAGTTTGTTTTGTAGGTAACAAACGTTACCCCATCTTCTTGTTATAGCTCGGGAACGCTGCCGATTGACATGAAATTTCGTGTTGAGTCAATACAGTACCCAAACAAATTATGTGGGATGTTCATGCTTGTCCTAAGTTTTGTTAATTTGATTTATACAACACCTGAATAAATCCCCGTTATCTGATTGGTGAATTGTAGATCACATGACATATTATTATTCGGTATAATGCACGGTGCGACAATGCATTATACCCATGCGTTATACCGTTTCACTTTGCGCTTGTTCCATGACGCGGTATTTGCGTGCAAAATGCATGATGGTGTGCGCGTTCAGCGTAGCGCGTATTGTTCCAAAGAGCCAGCGCTACAGCGTTGGGTTCAAACATTTTCGTGAAGGGGTAGTTCAACATCTTTAAAATCAAAATAAATTGTAGTTTATAATTTACCAATCAAATGACGAGAATTTATTCTGGTGTTGTATAAAACAAATAACGAATGTTTTACGTTCGTGCAATGGAAAGAATAATTTCATTCGGTGACAGATTGAATGTTCTATTCCACTCGGCTTCGCCTCGTGGAATAGAACATTCAATCTGTCACCTCATGAAATTATTCTTACCATCGCACTCACAAACATTCGTTATTTGTATAATAACACATGGAAAAGTGCATTTTGAGACACACGAGTCAGACACAACCAATCATTGTAGACTAGCATTCGTAGTCACGTGACCTTTTCAACCCATTTTTTTTCCTTTTTTGAGTACCTTTGTCACTTTTTGCATGAAAATGCGACGCTTGTATGGGTGCACACCGGTAAATAGGCCTAAATCCATCCGCCGAGCTCATGAATAAAAGTTATACCCTCAAAATATTCTATATTAGAGAGTTCTGAGCGCCGTAAAATTGGGAAATTGAAGAGATATGGTAATGCACCTCTGGCCCGGACTTGGGGCTTCCAGTTCTGAGCATTTTGGATGCTATTGGGTTCGAAAGTGGCGCTATTTTGCCATGTTGTGGAAGGATCGTTTTTCAAGATGGCTACTTTTCCGCTTTGGGGAAAACAGGGGTCGTCTTCTTTGGGTGAGAAAATCTCTAAAAGTCAATGGTCAACCCACCAAAAAATGAAAAGAAAACGAAAGATGACATGTTGATCATCATTTTTCTGTGCAGCTTGAATACCTGTGAGAGTTCTGAGTATATTTAAAAGAATTTTGAAGTATGGGCATTTAGCACTAGTGTCTATGGAAATTTATTTGCAAGGTTGCATCCGTATTCAGTCTTCATTTGTGAGTATAGCGCCCTCAAACAACCACATAGAACTATTTAGCTTCGCTCGTACACTGCCCGCCCTGCAAACGGAACGAAGTGCTGATCTCTTCGAGCTCGCATTGGATAGATTTTGCGTGACCTGCGACGTAAGCATGCAGCGCCGCTGCTCTTGATCATACGTAGCGGGTTGCAGACCAGTAAATTGGTCAAAAATTGCATACGCCGGCTAAATTATTCGGTATCGGAGCATTTTGTGGGCCACGAGCTTGAGGTTGTGTAAAAAAAGAAGGGTGGAGGCCGTGCACAGGACTGTAAGCTTGTATTTTGGTGAAATTTGAATGAAATTGAGCCCTTAAAGCGCTCTATTTCGCAATGGAGCATCGACATCGTTTTTCCAAATGGCGATGGGCATCAGGACTAATTTTAGGGGTGATCATCTTCGGATGGACATTTCAAATATCTCCCAAAGATCATTTGATTACCCCCAAAAAATTCAACAGAAAATGAAAGATGATGAAATAAGATTTAACTTGATGCGTGTCTTGAGCATCTCAGAGATGATCGAGTTGTGAGTATTTTTAATAACTTGGGAAAGTGTGCGTAAATACCACTAATTCTATGGCAGTGTATTAATACTGGTCTGCACGCAGCGCGCGCTATCTGCATGCTAAGGTCATGGCAATGAAGTTACCCTTAATGCCATCCGTACGAGCGAACTATTTAGCTCTCTAACTGTTTAGGAAATAGATAACATCTTATAGCAATACCCTTGCAATTTTCTTTCCCGATCCGAGCTTTCCTGACTTTTTTAGCCTCTAGTTTGCGCACCTTTTGATACCAAAAACATAAAACTCCGACCATGTATTGCCGCACAGCAAATTTTTTTTCAGAGCTGCGCTATGATGCCAAACAAACTGCACGTAGAATTTCCAATGATTTTGAAGTCACGTATGTTTCGTTCACAAAGGTTGCTGGAGCCTACATTTGTATGCTTCGTAATCTGATGGTTAATTGAACAGTAAGGTGTTGGGTACTGAGCTGGTTTTGGATGTAAATATCCCCCCCCCCCCAGTGTTGTACAATGATCACATTGAAAACCTTACTGTACTCTTGCACGAAAAATGCCCACAAATTTCTGTTGTTTTCACAGCAGGATTGGTTATCGTATAGCTACCACTAGAAGAATCAATTTCGAAATTTGTCCCATTTCCCCCGACGTCACACAGAACAAACTTTCGGTTGACGTGAAGCATGCAAGGATGGAAACGAAAGACATATTTGACATGGGTACAACTGTTGATAAGACATAATTACCGTTGTGTTAGCCATAGGCACATGACACCAGATAAAGGCTGTGATGGTGGGACCATGCTCAAGTGGTTTTATAAATTGATAACAAAAATCTTGCAGCGTCAACTCCCCTTGTATGACATGTTGGTTGTTAGATAAAAATGTAAGCTCTAGCAAATACAGGCCTTGTAATTTACAAGTCCATGATTCACTCCTTCAAACAGAATTGAGTCAAAATATAAATAGCAATTTTGTTTCAACCTAAATGTCTCCGTGTTCTGTTTTGTTGCTCAAATGGTGTGTGTGCAGACTCTTGCGGGGTCACATAAAACCCTGCTTTCATCAGCCAGTCTTCTTTTTGAGGAATAAACAAAGCTGTTGACCTACTTTCTTGATTACATATTATATTATTTTCTGTACTTATCTGAGCACGGGACACCACTCCAGGCATTTATATCAATGGGCACACTTGACTTTAGTACTCCAGCCATAATCTCAGTATTATCACCGACCTATACACGCCAGGGTTAAATAAATACTTCTCTGCAAATGCATCGATAGGCCTATACTTTTCGTTGCAGCCTGGCTAAATGTTAGTTTGAGATTTGCGGATCAACTGTCGGTACAACTACTTGCAAGTTAACAGAGGTAAAATGGCCACCAAATCTGTGCTGATTCTGCTGCTGGTTGTCGTAGCAACGACTTTTGCTCAGAAGAAATGCTGCTATCCCAGCCAATTTGAGGGCAGTTTCGGTGAGTACTGCACGCAACTTCGCATAATAGGTTTAATGCAAAACTAGGATGTTGAAACTATGTTGAAGTACTCGACAAATGCATTTGGTGCATAGTACCTATGTTCCCCAAGTTCCAGGATACCTATGTTCCCCAACCCTAACCCTAACCCTAACCCAAACCCTAACCATAAGGATTTGGGGGAACATAGGTTTTGGGGAACATTGGGGAACATAGACCCCAATGCAGTTGACTTTAGACATTTTTAAATGTAGTCTCTCACTGTACCGTTTGCAGTGTGTAAGAAAATGTGTTCTCCTGCAAGCACTGTCAATGATACAGCCCTCCAAAGAGGAGTATCCTGAGCGCATATTCGTTTTTTTTATCAATGGTAAGTTATGGTAAAGTTTTCCACAATTACTTGCACCGTCTTCCTCTGAATCTTCTTAAATCATGAAAGTGTAACCAAGGCTGATACCTTTACTGCGAGAAAATTCTAGGAAAGTGCTAGGTTTCCTGCCACTAATAACCGATGCAATGGACCAATTGCCCATGCATATACAGGGTGAACCCTAAAAATGCCACCCTAAAAGACAAAAAATCGCGTTTAAGAAAAAAAGGATTGATGGATTTGTATTTGTTTGTATCATATTACATCTAAAAGATTTTCTTTCAAATTCTGAAACAAAATGAAAATAGCACTTTTGGGATGCTCAGAAAATGTCAATTATGTAAAAGTAGTTGGCTTTGCCCTTCACCTGCGAATTTTTCTAAACACTGTATACGCAGATTCGATGCCTGTCTGTACGTTACATAAACGTTTGTTTTTGTATGGCGTTTGTTTTTGTATGCGATGTCTGGTGGTACAAACACCCCATTCGTGCGCCGTGAGTTACTAAAACACAATCTGTTTTCGAAGTTAAAATGTCACCATGTTATCCCGCCAATTCGTAGTTTGACATTTCTTATTAATATGAGCAAATTGGAAAGGAAAGGAGTAATTTCTGAGAAGGCGTGGACGCTTTTATTACTTTTACGCTTTTAATGATCGTGAAAACACATACTGCACGTTGTAAATTACATCACCAAATACAATATATAAATCCATTACTATAGCCTTTTGCGGTATCGAATCAGGATATAGGAAGAAAGTTTCCTGTCTAGATCTGACTATTGGAAACGAAGTTGAGAATAAAGTAATCACTGGGGACGAGCTTGGATCGCAATACCCTCACACATGTCCGATTCTGTCCTTTTAATCTGTCACATGATAATCAGTCACATGATGACCCGTCACAAGATGAATTGTCACATGATGACAGCCACGTGGTTTACGTCCTGAATCTGATTGGTTTACAAAAATATTGCGTCCAGTGAAATTGGATCCGGCGAAATCGGATGCGAAAATCCAAATCAAACGTGTGTGATTTGAGTGATTTCATGGTCAGATCGTTCCAAATTTTCAGCGCACACCTCTGCACATTATTTTGCAGCTATACAAAAAGTTACAGACGAAATTATTGTTGAAACGCATACTCGGTTTAAAGGTAGTAATTTGACTAAATTCCCTGTGATATCATTCTTTCTGGCAAGCTGTCATTTTGAAGAAAAAAAACAATGACAGAAGGTCATTCCAACGATGTGTCTAAATTGGCGCACTGTGGAAATTTCTATTAGTAGTTTGTTTTAATTCGGTGATGCTCGCGTAATATTGTTAATATCAGAAAATACGTCATTCACCATGAGCTAAAACTTTATCAGGTTAGTTGTTTAGCACCCTTTTGTAGAATTCGACGCAAAATTCCTTCTTCCGTATATATCCCGTTAGCTGGGTGGTCGGGTGGTCGCGTGGTAAGACGTCTGCACTAGAAAGCAGGAGGTCGTGGGTTCGAGTTCCACTCGTCGCTGAAGGGCAAAACCTAGTTTGATTGGGCACTTTTGTTGCTTCAAACGAACATAGTTTACAAATGATGGACTGTACCTTTTAGCCCGGCGCACACCGTTCAGATTTTCGCCTTTTCCCGGATCATCGGGCCAACGACTTGCGTCGGTCGCTTATCCTAACTTTGTCAGGGGGAGGGAGAGGGTTCGGGTGTGCGCAGAATCACTAAACCTCTCCAGATGTTTGCCATGTCTAGCTGTAAAGAGAACGGGGGGTTGGCGATCACAACTGGATGCGCCTTGCTAAATAGCTATACATGTGCCCCATTTTGATTTCTAGGCAGCCTTGTCGCCACTGTTACAGGAGGGCAAGGAATGACCCAGAGTGAGGGCTGGCAGTACGCTTACGACTACACTAATGGTCGTATGGCAACGATCAACTACAGAGAAAGCCAGGGACAAATGATCAAATACCAAGATATCTATCTGTACAGCAAGGTAAGGATTGTACATATCTCTAGGAAACATTTGGCCGAGCTAATTGATTCAATAATACCACTGATCTCTCGTCACTTCGGCCGCAACTGATTTGTTCCGCGTTAACAATTTGAGGCTTATCTCTTACTACTGGCTCACACCTTAAACGGCTAATGAGATTCATAAAAGAATGGTCTTTGAAAAATAAGGTGACATCTGGAACAATTTGTAATATTTTTTTGAGAAACTTCTTATATTAAAAATTCATATTACTCTGCCAAATTATTCATATCTCACTGATTTAATGATTTGTTATTCCACCTCCAGGGAGTTGCATACATCGTTGAAATCGGGCCTGGGTTTACAATTTGCCAACAAATATCTATCAACGGAACCCTTCCACACTGTATCCCAAGTAAGCAGTCAAACTTGTCCTCTCTGCATGTTGCAGTTATGCCCGACCCTGAAGGGAATGCAGTAAGATCTGTGATTCATGTGACGACCGACCGACCGACCGACCGACCGACCAACCAACCGACCAACCAGTCGGGCTGGGTGTCACTCGTACTGGCCTGGTTGTGATAGCCTCAGTGGGGTAGTCAAATGCGTCACCTCACGTCCTAGTTAAAGGTGGCCATCTGAATAAAACATTTATTAAGTTGAATATCTACTCTACCAAAATAAACATAATTATTCTAGGTTCTTGCCTTATCAATCAATAACAAAATATGACACCCGTACGTCGCATTATTCATAATAATTTATGATAAATCAAACGATAGACTTTCTCTACCAAGGGAAATGTAGTCTTGGCTCAAGATGTTACTGATCGATATGCTTTTAGTTATTGTTGAAGAACGCCCTCGTACGCCCCCGCACAATTGATTTTTTTTCGTCCAAGACTAAGGGATATGTAGCTAACTTTCACTTTCTCAAATATCAAGAAAGGGGAAAATGAGCTCAAAAATCATCCCTAAAAGCACATACTTTACGACAAGTCTGGATAGTTCGTTATGTTAAATATGAAAACACATATTCCTTCAAGGTACATAGCTATCTAAAACTCTCAATCTTTCTTCAATCTGATTTTAAGTTATTTCAAAAACACATGTCATTCTATGGGGAAAAAAGAACATTAATTATTGAATACATGACCTTTAAATTAGAAAATAACTCAATACTCACAGTCACAAGAGACTCTTTTCTTCTCTGGAAAACCTGAACGGCTCAATCCATGTGCCCCTCACAAGCAAAAATATATACAGGAGAGCCGAGATCACTCAAAATTACACAAATTTGAAATCGAAGCTGAAATTGCACCATCCAAGCAGAAATCGAATCGCTGCGGGGCAATAAATTGCTAGTCTGGCCGCCGGCACTGATCGAGCTGTCAAGCTTTTTGCCGCACCTTAAAAATTAAAAGCCTAGCAACGCCACAATGCTCCCAGAAGTCCCCAGGACCAAGACAACCTATTTAAAGTTTCCTGCGATGAAAGTACCTTTAACCTTTCTTTGTGAGCAACACCACTCAACCTTGGACTGACAACAGACGTGAATATGACCAACGACGCTCACAGACCTAGACATGTACAAGTCATCTAACCACTGAAAACGTCACATCAAAATTACTCCTTAAAACCAAGAACTGTGTGACAAACTGACTGACTGACCGACCAACCGACCGACCGACTGACTGACTGATTGACTCCCCCAGAAATCTCCCTTACTGACTGACTGACTGACACATTCCACTAATCATTCATCGACTCTCTTGTGAATTAGTAGACATGCTAAAGTCTCAGCTTGGCCTATGACAGATTGAAATGTAATTACCCTGTAACATCAGTAAATGGGTTGAGGTTTGTTTTGCTCAAACATTTTAGTGCTTAAGCTGAGACGAGTCTTAAACTTATTAAATCTAAGCTACTTTTGGAATTCTAGCATGCTTTTGCCAGCACATTTTCTGTAATCAACTAATTTCCGTACCCAGTAATTCCTGAATCTTGCCGACATAACCATGATTATTGCGCGTAAAAATCGTGAAGGTTTAATTGCTGTAGGTTCCTATATTGTTTTGTTGTTTCTCTGATATTTCATTTCAAGTTTCCAAATGGTCACTTTTTAAGGTAGCGCCACCTATCTGGGTTCATCCTACTACGGCGATCACAAGTTAAACGTCGACTTCTTCAAGTTCTTCGAATCGATGAGCTCATCCACCTACGCTAACATAACCATGACTGTATCGCAGGGAGACTGTATTCCATTCTCTGTTGTCGAGGAGGGAATGTTTGATGGTGGTAGGTATAACTAATGAACGAATGCGTGATTTCAACGTCAGAGGGCGCTATAGCTAATTAGCACCTAGAACGGAGATGGCCGGTGTTATATAACATTTTGACTCCATGTGAGATTGCTGGTCTCTTTTACCTATTACGGACTTCAACCCTAACACGCGACTTGTCAATGTTCTACATGTGTCCATTGCAGGGGGCTGCGCAATACAACCAATGAGTCCCTTTTTCGTAGAGTCCAAATTTCACATTTCACAGGTTCCCGGTCCCTATATCAGCGTTTGAAACTTTTAAACCGAGTGTACACATTTTGCAGGCTCCTCAATGGATGATTATTTTCCTTGACTTTCAGTTCCGAAGCTTCGCATTCGTGGCTACGTAAACTACACCAGCGGCATCAGTGATCCCTCCAAGTACTTCACCGTGCCCAGCGGTTGCCCACCGGTGAGACAGGCTGTGTTTGCAGACCAAAATAATGCAGACAAATATAAACACATTAAGTTTATTTACAAAAAAAGGTCATTTTTTACAATCCGTGTTAATTCGAGGGAATATGACTTAGGATTAAAATGGCATATAAAAAAAAAATACCAATCAGTATCCTATGGGCTCCGTGCACGTTCACATGCACGTACACCAGGTTTTTTTTTTTTGACTTTGTACACGCAGTGGCCGCACTTCGCGGCAATATATTGCAGTCAGGCAAGATGGCGTCAATCGCCCCCCCCCCTTGTACTTTCTTTGCCGGTGAGGGGGTACTTGTGAACGGAGCGGATATCATGTTGGAATCATTAATATAGGTTTTCCCGGCCAATTTCCTGAAAATGTTCATTTACTTCTGAAAATCGGTCATTCATTTTCGTCTGAATTTTATAATCGCTCTAAACAAGAGTTTCTTTTTTGCTACTAGAACATTCGATTCCATTTCAGTTCAATCAATTTAGTGATTTTCAGAAGTGAATGAACATTTTAGGAATTTTGCCGGGAAAACCTTTATCATCAAAGGGAATACATTGAATGCAGTAAACAAGCACTGGTCTTATTAAGACCCTAACACTTGACCAGACATTAAGTTTAGGCTTGATGAATATACATTATGCCCTGTCTAGTGTCTTACTCATTCGAACATTACTTTTATTTCAAAAGGGTGTTGTATATACTTTGTTTTCTAATTCATTCACAGTCAAACCGCGAGACACTAAATATGCGGAAATCTCCCTTTGACAAGATACTACCGTAGATTCCGAAGCTACTGGAGACACGTCGGCTAGCATCTCTTCGAGCTAGCTGTGAAGATTGGTTGAAGAGGCAATGATTTTGCTCATTTAATCTTTAAAACTGAATACAACCATCACGTCAGAAATCAATTTACAGAATGTCAAATTTGATCCGAGTTTTTAATGGAGAAATTTCGAAAAGCTTTGTGATCTACAAGCAGAAATTGTTTGCAGGAATATAGAAATTGAACTGAAACAGAGTAATTGTACAGGTTGAGTAAAAAAAAAACCCACGAAACCCAAATATCGGGACCATTGGTTTAGTGAAGTTTTGCCTGTAGCACTTTTAAAATAAAGGATAGGAAAGCCCAATTCATAAAATTTCTTTTAGTACAAGAATCGTTCAAATTACCGATGTACTTTTCAAGTTACGGAGTTTTAAACGCAACCACCGTTTTAAAGTTCTGTCCACCGCTACATGCAGAACTTCACTGAAACAATGGTCCCGACATTTGGGTTTCGGTTTTTTTTTACTCGCCCTGTAAATAATATCGCTTCAGGATAGAGGAGTTTTTCGTTCTTGCAATTCACTTTATTATCATAGCAGTAGGAACTATTTTTTTGTAATGGATTTGATCGTGTATAATGACGATGATCTATAGGCGCCTAATTGAATGCTGACGTATGTACGTATCGTTAAATATTCATTGCAAAAGTAGACTATTTAGACCCGAAAGATTATTAATGATCGATTGAAATGGGGATTTACTGTATACATTTTGTCGTCATTAAAAAGCAAATGATTTGTGTGTAGTTTCCAAACCCATTGATGGCCGATCATGACCACCGTAGTTCAGAACTACGGGGCGATATCTGTGATATTTCAATGGATGTTTTTTTTCTCTATAACAAAATGTCAATCACATGTCAATCACATGTCAATCACAAGTCAATCACATGTAGTGAATCAAGAAAAAAATACTGTAATAAATATGCGGATTAAAATCTAAATGAAGGCGTTGATTTGATTTGGCAGATAGTGGGATACTTGTGCGGAAATGGGTGATAATGAGAAACAAAATCATTGTGCGGATGTTGGAACCGGACGTGTTTGTGGTCCATTCTCTTTTCCTTTTTCTAGATTATTTATTATTTCCTAATAGGCTGTTTTCCAATAGGCTGTTTCCGTGCTTATTATCGTTGTGATTTTGTATTCAAAGGGCGGGAATCAGAACTAGGCTAGTCCTGCATATAATTTGCATACGTTAGTAGGAAATCCTCCAAATATATTCCCAACTCACTCCAGCACACGGGGGGAGGGGGGGGGGGAGGTCAAAACCCCCAGCTCTCTCCAAATCTTTTTTGTTTCCATAGAAATTCCTGAAAAAAATTACACCCCCCCCCCCCCTGCTTCGACACCCAATTTTTCGGCTAGTAATAATAATGACTTGCACAAAATATTACAGAGCCAGCTTTGTTAGGGGGTATATGTACATAATTATGTGATTTAGTGGTAATAATCGTCGGATATGAACACCGCCCCCATTGAAAGTTGAAAGTGTGGTACGAATCCCCTCCACCCCCCCCCCCCCCTTGTTTTTGATTTTACGGAGGCAAGTGTCCGCGGAGAAAAAAAAATGTGTACATTTCAGGTTATTTTGCCGATAAAAACCCCACCCTGCGAACATTCCTGGATCCGCCCCTGACCATTCCCTGCATTCGAATTCCAAAGGACAAGGGAGGGACCGGGAACCACACGAGGGACGATCTTGGACACTATCGGAAAATAGGCGGCGCTATCTGTTACGGTTTTATTTGCCAAATGACACAATATTTTGCCCACAGGGTCAAGACAACAATTTTGGCGAGAAACAAAATAAAAAAATCATAAGGGGGGGGGGTGGAGGGGATAACCGCCCTACATCCATTCTAGGGACGCTCAGTTTTTAGATGGACTTTTTGGAATGTCAAAATAATATCAGGCGCGGATCAGCGGGGGTAGGGTAGTTAAAAACCCGCCCTGACTCACAAGAAATCCTTACAATTAAAAAAATTGTAAGGTAACCCCCCCCCCAACCCCGCTCTGACACAAACGTTAATGTTCTCTGACTCAATTTTGATAACAATGTCGTATAATGTCCGCTTGACCGCAGCAATCGGACACAGAGGCGAAGAGATGGTATTTGAACAGCGCCCCCATCGGAAGATGGTACCAGCCCCCCCCCCAACCTCGTCCCCAGGGTGTCGAACAGTACGCGCCCACCGCTACCTGCTCTCTCACCCTGGTATTGGATCATTTGCATGTGCAAGATTTTTGAACACGTATGCAAATGAGCAACAGTCTGGTGCCTGGATATACGTTACATTAGCGTTTGTTTTTGTATACGGTGTCTGGGGTAAAAACAGAGTCAATTCGTCGCAGCGCGAGCACGGCGTGAGTTACGAAAACACGATTTTTTTAAATTAAACTGTTACGATCTTATTGAGACAACATGCAGTATCATATTTAATATTAATATGAGCAAATTGGAAAGGAAATTAGTATTTTCGAGAAGGCGTGGACGAATGATCGCGAAAACACGTACTGTACGTTGTGAATAATAGCACCAAGTACACTATAAAAATCCATTACTAGCCAATTGCGGTATCGAATCAGGATACAGGAGGAAAGTTTGCTATCCAGGGTTTACTATTGGAAACAAGGTTGGAAATAAAGTGAACACTGGGGACGAGGTTGCCCCCCCCCCCTCTCACACATACCCAGCTCGTGTTTTACTATACTCACGAGGACCTTTTGTTTGTACTCCAACTTGTTCTCGACAGCTCCCATAAGGTTTGTACACGAAATTATCCCGAGGACTATTGCCCAGGCCCAGGTCCTCGGGCCCGTTGAAAGCGCACACAATCCATTGTCACAGGTCCTCAGTCTGAATGGATAACCAACCCACCCACACTTTTAGATTTAACCGAGGCTAAGTGTCCAGACAAAAAAAGTCTAAATTTCAGCACTTGGACGTAAAACAAATCTGACGGGCCTGACTCCGGTCGTGGATCCGCCCCTGATAGGGTGTAAAGACACAATATGCCGCCTGGTCACATTACTGATTGGAGACATTCAAAGCCTTGTTTTCAACAAATTTCTTGTTTTTGAGGAACAAAATTCAGACCGTTCAAGTTTGATCTACTATCTTTACAACAATTGGTTTTAATATTTTCTGCTATTATCTGATCACGAGGCTCACCTCAGACGTTCATATCGATGGGCACACTTGACCTCAGTACATGCAATAATTGTAACACAAATCTCTGAAATCATCCATGGCAACATTTCACAATTTCTTAACTAATTCAACGGTAATTTAAAGCAGTTTTTACATTGTACTTTTCTTTTTCATTGTTTAAAACAATGTCTTTATACACATTTTATCAGATAAGCTGATTTTATTTGGAGATTTTCAGCAACGCGCACCACCATTTTGAAACGAACAGTAATTACGAGGGGAAAATGGAGCAAACTTCCAGGTGACTACCCAGCTTGAAAATGCATATTGAATTTTGTTGGATACATAATAACTACTGGTAAAAAAATGTTACTTTTACGGACATAAAAATACAAGTTTGTGCACAAACCTACGGCAATGTAGGTGCGCGTAACGCACGTTTTGCCCTACGCACTACTGCATGTAGAGCGTCCATCACTTTATATAGAGATCAGTGGCGTCCATGCGGGAACGGAAAAATGTGTGCACACTCTAAGGCGCGTTTACACGCGCTGCCGATCTAGACATTCTAGATCCCTTAGGGGCCTTTCAGAATTGTCAATGTTTTAAAATTTCGACTTTTTTTCCAAATTATTTTGACCCACCCACCCACCCCTAATTTTGATTAATAAAAAACTGAACATGTACATGTACATGCACTTGCATACTTGAACATGTACATGTATACCCATGTACATGTTTGTCTAGTTCAGTAACGGCGTGAAGTTGTCGGTCTTCCTCATTTGCACTGGTGACCTTCAGTTTTCTTGTGTTTTACCAGCTGATATGCTGTTGGGAAAGACAGGTTGCAGTCTTGGAAGCCGCAAAGATGGCCCCTGGTTTTGTCGTTTTCTGGATGAGGTGGGTGACATGTGACACATGAGGTTGTGCCTGTCACGTGAGGTAGCTGAGAAAAACATTCGCTCGTACCCCCCCCCCCCCCCTGTTTGCAGGGCGGGGGGTACGAGCGAAAGAAAAACATCAGGTTTGGGCATACATCACATCACAGGCTGCGGTTCTCGTAGTCTTGGAGTCCAGCGGTTGAATAGTCCAGTTTTTATAGCGATTGGTAATCGACGCCCGCGGCGTCCAAGTCTACTACTGAAAAACCACCTCCTTCTCATGCCACAGTGGGTCTATATACACGTACATGTACAGTACATGTACATACAGGGAACGAAGTTGGAAAAGAAACACGCATCGCGATATCGGAACGCTTGCGCGCAGTTCAGGCAAGTCCAAAGATATATCCTTCTTGGGTTTTTTTATCTGTTTTTTTCATGGAAAGTGAATTTCGATTTTCAATTATTTAGCTTGACCCACCCACCAACAATTTGGAAAAAAGATCGAAATTTTAAAACATTGAAAATTCTGAATGGCCCCTTACCCGGACGATTACCAAGACACGCACAGTAAGAAGGTCATGTCGGGCCCATGGCACTCATTGGATTGTGTGTTTTTTCATGAACCGTAACTTGAACTCGGCCCTGAATTGAACAAGGGTGATTTGCATTTCAAAGATCACAGTCAATGCTTTTAAAAGTCGTTCAACCTTGAATTGTACAGATATTCATAATATTTTGTGGTGTGTTGAACGCCCAACGTAAGAGAAGTGTTGACCTACCGTCTGTACCACACCGCACCCCATAATCGTTAGACTGCACAGTGTTATTACCTCCGACAGCGAAGGGATCCTACACATTCGATTGTCGTCACAGATTCACGTGTTTCTGCCTTGGTACGTTGTTCTCCATCGTAGTTGTGTTTAATTGAAATTTTAAAGGAATATTCCTATAATTCCGTGCTTATTCTGTGGCGCAATGGTTGTTGTTTTACTACCGTGTTGTCTCCTCTTATTTTGAACTGCTGGCTTTACGTCATTGTAAAGGTTTATTTTGTTCCAAGTGTATCTTCGTTTCTTGCTCCGTAAATGTGTCTCATACAGCGTGTATCGAAACAAATTAGGAAACCAAGATGTAAATGTAAATCATAACAAAATCTAATAAATATTTTCAAATAATTAAAGATCGTGTAAACACCATTGTGTGCTCTTTCCAAAGATACATTGATTGTGTGTCTGTGGCCACGGATGACTGAGCATTCGTTGGTATCCTGTCAAGGGTCAACATCTATACACTGGGCAAAGTTTGACGCAGTGATTTATTAAACCACTCTCATTGTTGAAGCTGACCCCTCATGGCCATATGCATTCAACGGGGCCACCACCTCTTTCCAGACAACGCTCTGCGGGAAGTCTAGTCCATTTCAACCTAATAACAAACCAGCTAGCCATCTTATCAAGCCTTGACCGGCCCAATACACGTTTGACCCTTGACAGAATAACAACGAATGCTCAGTCATCTGTGGCCACAGACACACAATCAAGGTATCTTTGGAAAGAGACCAAAGAGGACACATTGGCGTTTCACTTGATTCTTAAAATATGTATTTGATTTTATACAATTTACATTTACACCTGGGTTTCCTTTTTTATGAATCCCACGATGCCTTCAAAAAAGAACAACAGCAGGACAACTTGCTTCATCTCATACACGAGGTAACTAAGTTCCTTTTGTACTTTGAAATTGGAACACAAATGTAATTCTCTGAACTCCTTAGAACACATATACTTCTTATATAATTCTCTGAACTCCTTAGAACACATATACTTCTTATATAAACACATATGTGGAGTCATTTCTTTGTTGTCGTGTACTAAAGTTTTCGAGTTTGAAAGTGTACAGGGTGAGTCTAAAAACACGAAATACAAATGTCGGGAATATTGTTTTAATGAAGTTCTGCATGTAGCACTTTCAAAATCTAGGATATAAAAACCCAATTCATAAGCTTTCTTTTAGTAAAAGAATCATTCAAATCACTCAAGTACTTTTTAAGTTATGGAATTTTAAACACAACTACCGTTTTAAAGTTCTGTCCACAGATCACATAAAAAGGTGTGCGTTCTTTCAGCAAAACGAAAACAATTCACACACATCCCTATGTGATTTGTTTTCGTTTTGCTGAAAGAACACTTACTTTTTTGTGATCCGTGGACAGAACTTTAAAACGGTGGTTGTGTTTGAAAGTCCGTAACTTAAAAAGTAAATAAGTGATTTGAATGCTTATTGTACCAAAAAAAGCTTATTAATTGAGCTTTTATATCCTATATTTTAAAAGTGCTACATTTAGAACTTCACTAAAACAATTGTCCCGACATTATGGTTTTGTTTTATTTTTCTCACCCTGTAGACTGTTGGGTTCGCACTCGATATTCGCTGTGGTAGGTAGCTACAAATGAGACTATAACCTGCACAGAGTAAACAGCAAACGAACGAATTTTTCCCCTTAAACTTGCTTGGTCAATATTATTTAATCTTATATTGGTTTCAATAATGCTTTAATTAATATAGGTTTTCCAGGCCAATTTCCTAAAATGTTCATTCACTTCTGAAATTTTCATCTGAATTTGAAAATCGCTCTGAACACGTGTTTAATTTTCGCTACCGGAGCATTCGATTCTATTTCAGCTCAATCAATTAAGTGATTGACCAGCACCTTTTGTTCATGTTCATTCAGATTGGTTTTACAAAACTTCTTTTTCACTTTTAGAGAGAATTTCAAACACTGACTATAGTCTATTTCACTTTTAGTTTAATGCTATCGGCAGCAGATACAATTAGGGGTTTCTTTTCACTAACCGTCAATCAAATTAGCTGTACAAGGCATGCTTGCGTAAATGTATGCACAGGTAACGTAATTGGCCGTCTGTTTCTCAAAACCGAATGCACGGACAATGAAAACGATTGAACTTTCGTTGAATTGAAAGAGATTAAGAACAAGCGTCCAAATTCAGACGAAAACGAATGACCGATTTTCAGAAGTGAATGGACAATTCAGGAAATTGGCTGGAAAAACTTACACCACGATTGGATGTGGAATATTTCAAGGAAATATGATGGACTTAGTTGACGAGTAACCGGGTTTCTATAAAATAAAATACGCATATTATATGTAGTATATATTTCTTTCTAGATAACTGACAAGATGTTTGGTCTGAAGTCTTTGCTCCTGTTTTCCTTGTTCATCAATGTCTTGGTGAGCGGGTACCAGGGAGAGCAGCGTAACTCTCTGGAGGACCTCATGAGGCGTGTTCTTGATCGACTCGAAGCACAACGCCACGAACGAGCCCGCCAAAGTGTAAATTCGTTTTCTTTCTTAACTCAAACCAACCTCATCCACTCTGAACGGGCAGTACGCTACAAAACCACGTGTCTTGCCTTGTATTTTCTCATTTTAGTGCTACAATATCACGGCTGTATTTGAAAGCGCAAAGTGTGATATTGTTTCTCCTTTACGTCTGAGGACTTGGGACAATGGGCTAACCTAATATGGGACATGTCGAGAAAGGGTTTCAAACAAAGTGTGGGTGTGGGTGTGTGTGTGTGTGTGTGTTGGGGGGGGGGGGGTGTTCCTACACATGGTTTTTTATGGGGCAGTAAGCGAATCCGAACAATGAACCCCGTAAGTGAGTCTTTAGAAATCCATCTGCCCCATAATGAAATGATGTGGCGTTTGAGATTTCAAGAGGATCAAAGGAGAACTAAAGAAAGGAAACAAAGGTCTTAACATAAGTATATGTTGAAACAATAGGAACATAAGAAGAGAACATAGCAGGTCCTCATTATGTGAGAGTTTGTTTCAGTATTACGTTGAACAATAGAGGTACCCCAATTTCAGAAGGTTACCCAATTGGCGATCGTGTGCAAAACAATGGGAGGTCTTCCTTAAAAGTTGGTACAAACAAAAGATGGTATACGTCTCCACAGAGCAATTTCTGTAGGTGAATACGTCTCCACAAGGTTATCGCGAAATATAACTAGGAACTTCAAAGCGTGTTGATTGGTCGCCAATTGAAGTATTTTATGTAAGGGATATTAAATCGGATTTTCAGCCCAGGAAATTTATTCTGGTTAAAATAGGAGCATTTAGAAACGAAAACATTTTAGTATACGAGAACAAAGAAATGACTCCACAACGATACAAATTCCAGTATTGTGTGTTTGTGTGTGTGTGTGTTCTTACAAGTTTTTGAACGGTCTAAGGAGTTCAGAGAATTACATTTGTGTTCCAATTTCAATGTACAAGAGGAACTAAGTTACCTCGTGTATGAGATAAAGCAAGTTGTCCTGTTGTTCTTTTTTGAAGGCATCGTGGGATTCATACATCGATAATCTGATCGCCCAGTCTAAAGATGCAAGTGGCACCACCCACGTTGACAAAGCGTGCATCATTGGTCTGGACGGAGGAGCCCAATGGACGACCGATAATCACCCCAACGCCTTGAAGTTGACTCAGACGGAGAGAACCCACATCGCCTCTGCATTCAAAAGCAAAAATTTCACTCCGTTTATGACCGACGGGATCACAGCTGAAGGAACCAAGTACAACTTCCTTCGAGAAGAAGATGGGAAAAAAGTGTATGCCAAGATAAGAGGGCAGGGCGCCCTCAGTCTTCAGGTGTCCAAAACGGCCATCGTGATCGCTCACTGCCCAGAGGGCCTGCAGCAGGGGAATGCCAACAAGGCTGTGGGAGTTATCGCCGAGTATTTGGAATCCTTGGGAATGTAAACGTTTTCATTCAACTCACCACTGTATTTTTCTCTTTGATTAGTTTGTTATAGTAGAATTAAAATACTTATTATTGGGTTTATTGACTTGTGGGTCCGTGGCATTGCTGTATAATAGAAAGCACTGATAGTAGTTGGTAGCCGTTGATAAGTGCTCCATTATTTACCTCAGATTTTATTATTTTAAGTACGAACAAAAGTTCGTCACAGGCTGAAGGCATTATTTTGTCCCTTTTGGAGTTGCATTATTACTACGTGTTGGTGATGTACTAAATTCTTTCTTTTTTACGGTAATTGCATTCTGCTTATGATATTAAAGTAGTTTTTGGGATTAGCTAGGTGATATATCTACTAACGTACTTGTAAGCGTATTCTTAACTTGGTTCAGACACATCTTTGATTTTATGGAAAAAAACAACTGCGCAAAGAAAACTGTAGCTCGTAATTATTTGTCTTTATCATTAATCATAGAATTGATTGATCCTACAAAAGAAATACATGCGCAACGGCCTAACAAACGTTTTGTTGTTATTTGGGCAATGTGAAAATAAATCAGTGACAAATTTTGTGATGATAATTTCACCACTGACTTTGCCTAAAGAGCGTCATGACTACTGTATTTAAGCAAAACTAAATTGGCTGCTAAACAATGTGGCGGGTGTTCTTTGAAACATGTTACCGAGATGAAGTAATAAGATGAAGTAAATAATCAGTAACGCGGAGGTAGAATAATAGATGATGTTTAGGTAGCTACATATTGTTTATTTAAATGGGTTTTTTTTTAAATTGATCAAAAATAATTAATTGTGTGGCACTTTTGAGGTAAAAACTGCATTGTTTTCTCGTTTGTAGGCTTTCAATCGGCTTCCAATAAACTTTTGTTTTTATCTTTGAACTGAGACGAACATTTACCTGAACTTGATAAATCATTGTGCGTGTGTATAATTATAATCGTTATGACGTATCCTGTTCGTTTTTTTTCTTGAACTTAGTCCATGTTTTCACTCACATTATTAACTTACAACCTCACAAACTTTTAAAACAAATTTGACATTTGCGTTACCCATAGCCTTGACCAAGGCGTTGGGCTTATCGATTCGCCGATAAAAAAAAATCGCCGATAAGAAAATCCCTAATCAACTTGGCAAGGCATAATTGCGTGCACATATCGATGCCCGTACGCTGCTAGTGAGAAAGTAACTTGTACCATACAGCAAGGCTATGCTTGTACATGTACGTACGCACGTACATGTACATCACACGCGTACTCGTACAACAGCCATGCACACACAGTACTATACATATGTACATGTACATGTACATGTACATGTACATGCATGAGCTAGTCCGCGTATATCCCCCACACGTACGTACGTACACCCACACGCAGAACATAGTAGGCCTACATTTACTGCCTAATTACACCATGCGTACAGTCCGTACTCACGTGTTTGTGCTTGCTGGTTGTGTTAGTACCAAACCGTTCGTACGGACAAGGGTCGGTGGTACGGTACACGCACGGACAAGGGTCGGTGGTACACGCACGTAGCCGCGTTGATTGTGGGTGCAGGGCCCGATTATCTCCCTTCGACAAAAAGCCGAGAGACCATTGAACAAGGCTACGTTACCCATGGCTAACATGGCTAACGCACATACAAGTGTTTTTTTCTTCAGAAAAACACCATTTCAGGCGGAATTATTTCACAGGGTATGTATAGTACCTGTGATAAGTGGCGAAGCAAGGTAATTTTTATTGGGGGGGGGGGGTAAAGGGCACTTGCACATCTGTGGTGAAATGTAGACACTGTTTTTGTCAGGACACATGGCCTCCGTAAAATCAAAAAGCGTGGGGGGGGGGGAAGGTGGGGGCTGGTACCATCTGTCGATGGGGGCGTTGTTCAAAACCGACGATTATGCACAATAACGGACAATATACGGTGCTTTTCAGGGCGATGCATGCGTGAAATTCAAAAAGGGCTCCCGGAAAGGCCGATGGCATAGAAAAGGGCATCATTTTACTTTTAAAAGGGCAATTGTTTGGGAAAATAAGGACACTTGTTTAGAAAAAAAGGGTTCTTGTTAACAAAGGCATTCTTTACACATATATATATATATATATATATAGTTGGGGTTTTTTTTGGGGGGGGGGTAATTGCTGGTGAAAATAGGGGCATTTGAATGGAAAAGGGCAGTCTTTACAAAATACCCCCCCCCCCCCCTTGCTGGCTATGAGACTTGTTCACTTTGTTCTCATGTAATCAGTAGATACTGTTCCAGCTAATTACCTAAAAGTATTGGGCAGACGTTTAAGTCAGGCATATTCCAATGCAAGGTAATAACACAGTAACGTAATGAAGTTCTTTCGCCGCCTTTATGCTACATGGTTACAAGTATTGCATTTTCCGAAAAACTTTACTGAAATTGGCTGTGGATTTGCACTTGGATCTCGCCTTTGATAAAGCTGCTGAATGAGGCGTGACCTACTTGCATTCTGATGTCTACCATGCGTTTGAATTTAGTTCCACATCATCTTAAAGTAAGTTAAGCAAGCAGAGCTATAACTGGTAGATTGGATGCATCTGATAGTCATCTGTCATTTTTCATTATCTGACTGGTTTCACAGTCAGAAACGTGGCATCAGGACACTGATGACACACTCAGCTAACCAGAAGTGAATGACAGTGACACAACAGAAATAGCCTGGGTGTGTTTTGATATCTTCGTTCATTGAAATTAAATGTAAACATCGCTGTCAGAGCTGATAACAAGTGAAATCAGTTGAGTGCAGTTTGATCATTTTACCATCAGACACTAACTTGGTAAGGTGCGAAAAACGATGGTGCCTAAGCAGTTCATCTTTGGCTTGATAAGCCTGCATCTGATGATGGTTTACACTGGTGGTAACGAGATGTGTAAGGCATCCATTGCTCGAAGATGGGCGTGTCCTCCTCCTTGGATCCAGTGGGGTGGCGAATGCTACAGAGCCATCATGGAGCCTCTGACATGGTCCGAGGCAAAAGATGAGTGCATCAAGATGGGAGGTGTCTTGGTCGCGCCACGATCTCAGGAGGAAACTGACTTCCTCGTGCTACTGTTGCCATCTAGGTTTTGGATCAATTGCAATGATATCGAGAAAGAAGGTATGTTGGATATGTTGTTCTAAAAAAACAACCGTGATTTAATTTCTAAATGAATGACGACGAATAAAAATCAATGCATGTATTATTTTCGTGGCATTTTTTTGACAGGTACATGGGTGTGTCAGGTTGGTACTGATATGGTGGAGTTTAGGAATTGGCTGAGCGGCGAACCTAGTAACTCTGGTAATGAGGATTGCGCCTATTTGCTCCCAACTGGAAAATGGAATGATTTCCCTTGCAGTAGCAAACGCCTTGCAGTATGCAAAGCTGCAACCAGCCTGCGCCACGACTGCACTTTCTAAAACTCAAAGTGAAAATAGCCGGTAGCTAAACTTGGATACATTGTCGCTACTTCTCAGGATTCGAACCCGCAACCACTAGCGTTCCTGTTCAAGACGACAGTGGAAAACACTGTGGAAAAGACTTCCAACTGACAGTGCCTATATACTACATTATAATATATAGCAACAGAACTATACGTGTATTGCTTCTGGATTCCGTGTTCACAAAATGACAGGAATCTTAGGGAAAAAAGTCTTTCTAACATTAAAACAAACTGCATGTTTAACAAGCTACTAAAGCAAAAACGATGGACTTGCTGTGTTTGAAAATGAGGAGACTGCGTAGATATTAATGTACGATTGTTATAAATGTAGGTTACTTCATTTGTATATGAAATTAATGCTGTCAGTTTAAATTAGGAAATAAACTACAACTGCATACAATAAATTGGCGCATATCATGACTATTGAAAACATAAGAGATAGAACACCTTATCTAATTAAATATAACAGCAATTGAATAGTATTATTGACACTATTATACTTGTATTAATGTAAACCGGCTGCATTCCAGTTCGCATCACTGGAATTATTCTGAAATATCTTTTAATTTAAGACGCTATTGTGTGCTTGTACTATATTGTTAAAATGTTGTCTTTAAATTCACAAAAAGGTCTTCCGTCAATCGGTATTAAAAGACCTGAGCACTAGTAATGAAATTCAAGTGGCTATGAATGGATGACTGACTTACAGTGAGAAATTCAAAAGTGTGGGGGTGCTGGAAAATACAGTGCGGTTGCTGTTGGTGATTTACGCTTGAAAACAGATTCGTCTTTAGTCCAAGAGCCCAGTGAGGTTTAATTAGAATATCGCGCACAAAAGGTTTGATGGTGGCAGCGAGTAGGTGGGGGTGTCCAACCTTCGAAACCGTCATTCTTAAGTGTCACACCCCGTGCGTTTGAGAGAAGGAACCGCCTAAAGACCCCTCAAAATTGACTTTTAATTAGAATATCGCGCACAAGCACGATTCTAATGCGAAAAGATAGTATTCGATTAACTTATCAATGACCAATAGTTTAAGAATGAGAAATCCCGTGCATTCCATGCTTTAAAATGGCCTAATTAGTACTAATTATTCACCTTTAATTAGAATTGTGAGCACAAGAGCGAAACCTTCACTAAAAGCTAATTAACGTGACCAAAATACAAGATCCGCAACTTAAGAATGATTTTTTCCGTGCATTTTATGCTTAAGAACGAGTTAAAGTTCAATAATTAGCCGCCCGCTAAAGAATATTTTTTTTATGTGTTCAATTAGAATGTTGAGCACAACGATCATTCCAACACCAAACGATAGTGTATGAGTCATCGTTTGCAGAATTTCAACTTAAAAATAAAAAATATCGTGCAAAATCTACTTAAGAACGGCTTTATTACCGCAAATTACGATTGTATGGTACGGAGGCCGATTTCTGCACGGCTTAAGTGAAAACGTAAGTGTTATTGCAAAATAACGCGGAACACTTGAAAATAGATAAACTCTTTCATGAACTTTTTCTGCACATGAAGGTTTCGCTCTTGTGCTCAAAATTCTAATTAAAGGTGAATAATTAGCACTTATTAGGCTATCTTAAGCATGGAATGCACGGGATTTCTCATTCTTAAACTATTGGTCATTGATAAGTTAATCGAATACTACCTTTTCGCGTTATTAGAATCGTGCTTGTGCGCGATATTCTAATTAAAAGTCAATTTTGGGGGGTCTTTAGGCGGTGCTCCCTCTCAAACGCACGGGGTGTGACACTTAAGAATGACGGTTTTGAAGGTTGGACACCCCCACCTACTAGCTGCCACCATCAAACCTTTTGTGCGCGATATTCTAATTAAACCTCACTGGGCTCTCGGACTATTTCCAATCTTACAAAACCCAAAAGCCCTCACGGTCAGGCCAAGAAACTTAAGTCATACGAATCGCGAGCTGGCAAGATAGTATTTGGTTACCAAACTCAAGCGCACCAGCCCACCTCACACCGCGGTAATCTTGCCCCGTGTAGTTGACTGGATAGGAATACTCCCCATTCAGGTTAGTCGGTACGAGATCCACATTCCCGACTCCTCCAGTACAAGTCTTAAACCACCAGCCTCCGTTTAGCTGAGCGGCACAATTGGCGTTGCCATCGGCGTCATTGTCGCGATCGTAAGTTGAGAACGGCTGGCCTAAGGAAACGCCAGGGAGAGAGTGACCTAGCAAACACACAAGAAATAATCTAAGCGTTGACATTTATCGAAAAGCAGTGTGCTGCTCCATTGAGCAAGTAAGACAACAACTTCAAAAGCTTCCCTGATGAGATGCGAATCCACGACTTCAAGCTGAAATTAACTGCAAACATTCGACAACCAAGATTACCAGAGTCGGTTATGATTGATACCAATCCGATATAACACAACGTGCATTTATGAAGTAAACTCCATCTTATTTTAGGCGAAGTCGAGGTGTAGAGGAATCGTAAGCTCAAAGTGGCTTTTTGCTAGCATATTTCCAACGCTTGGTGATGCATTTGGAAAGGGTATTGTGGACCTGCTAATTGAGGCTTCGTGCACTTCATGCATTGCAATGCATTGTATAAACATGGTATTTCGTTATTTCAAGTACTTGAGTTCCCTTCAGTGACGTAATGTAAACAGAACACGACTTTGGTGTTCGGTGTTGATTTTTTTTTTATTGTTTCAGAGAGGCTATTACTACAACAAGTATTGAAACAAAAGTAAAAGTTAAACACTTTTGAGGGATTATAATGAAAGAAACACACTTATTTTGAAAAGTAGATCAGTTGATATACCTGGCGAAAAAAGCTGTTGCCATCGTTTAAATGGATCCACATGTAGTGTGAAGTTGTCACCTGTGATCTTGAACTTCCCAAACTTGATTTTTATCCCGTATTTGGCTTCTTTTACGAACATCTGAAGTTGCCAAGTGCCTTCCGAGGTCAGCTGGCGGACTATCTCGTTCCCAAGCCAGAACTCCCCCGTCAGATCGCCGAAGCCGTCTCGGTACTCGGCCCAGCTACGGTTGAAATTCACTAAACCATTCTGACGCTTCTGAATCAACTGAAACAGGTCAACAATAAAGGAAGAGTTACCTACTAACTTTATCACTTTTTGTTCTGGAAAACGGGATAATTTTCTGTTTAAAGATTGCGTCGACGGACCATATACTTTCCAAGCTGCCGAAAAACTCATCTTCCAAATGGGGGCGCTCTTCAAAACTGAGCATTATTATGCATACTGCAAATTACACAATGTATTGCTCATTTTCACAGCGCATTGTAATGGTTACTCTCAGAACTCTCTAACCATTTATTGAAATATTTGCTGGGGAAAAAAATCCGCCAGGGGCAAAGTGCCCCCTCTGCCCCCCCCCCCCCCCCCCCCCCCCCCCCCCCCCCCCCCCCCCCCCCGTTAACCATCGACTGTTGTCCTAATTTAGATCTCCCAAATAGTGGGAGATTTATATTACAAAACACCAGGGGTTAAGTTCGCGCAAGGCAAAGCAAGGTCATACCCGTTGGAACGAGGTTGGAACCTGCCTGGATCCCCGACCAAAAGATTCTGACGAGTGGTTAATATTGATTCCGCGTGTTGTTGATTTAACGCAACATGTTTTATTGTGGGAAGGGGTTCGGCCGATGAGTTCCGAATTGTTCTGCTTTTTGTTTATTTTGGTTTGCTTTGCTTTGTTCCCCACAGTGTTCAAAATACTTGCGTGCACACTAACATCCTTTAGCAGGATAAGCATACAACTGGCATAAATACGACGCGGTATTGTGTAAGTGGACATAAAAAGTTCCACTTTGGTCGAACCAACGGCTCTCAGGTCACGGGCCTGACTGCTGATTTCAAGTCATGAACTGCATGCATATACGGATAAACTCGAAGGAACTTACTATCCACGTGCTTTGGCAGAAAACGGTCAAGCCGTTTGGATATTGCGATGGGTAGATAGTGACGACACCTGGATTTATCCCGCTGTCCAAAATGTCGCCGCAGTCAGCATATCGGGGACCTGAGGGTGTTGACGAAATGTCGATCTCAACTCTGGCTTCGGTTCCACTGCTGTCTTCTAATTTATTGAAAAGAGATTCAGAAATAGTTCTGAATTTCGTTCATATTTAAAAGGACAAAATCGAGGCTTCTGAAATTCCTAAGGAATTGTACAATAATTAGACAATTCATTTGATAGGAGATGCTTTCGTCCTTCTGCATGGCGCACCACTTTGCTCCCTTTTGTAGGTAAGATTGGTGGGAATGCTTAGACTTTTTTATTTGTGGAAAGGGGGAGAAGAACAATAAAGGTTCAGACTGTAAACATCACTAAAAATTTAAAATCAAAACCAAAACGGATTACAGGGGCGGATCCAGGATTTTCGCAGGGGGGGGGTTTCATCAGCCAAAAAATTTGAAAATGTACACACGTTTTTTTTCTCCAGACACTTGGCCTCCATAAAATCAAAAACTGGGGGAAAGGGGGGGGGGGTGGCTGGTACCAATTTAAATATGGGGCGCTGTTCAAATTCGACGATTATTAACACTCATTACAGAATGGTGTACCGTATTTTGAACAGGCGGACATAAATAGTATAAATTTTTTGGGGGGTGTCACAGCAGGGGGGGGGGGGGTTCGACTTATTTTTAGGAATTTTTATGAGAAATTTTTTATTTTGGGACAGAGCTGGGGAGGGGGGGGGGGTTTGACCCCTCAAAACCCCCCTCTGGATCCGCGCCTGGGATAATTCAAGTTCGCTGAAACATAACACTTCCTCAGTTGCAAAAAGGTTGTTCAAAGAAAGAGGCAAGGTATTGGAGTCCCGTTCATTTCATAATCGAGAAGACATTCTAATAATTAAGGAAATAAACTGGATTTAAAGGCGCTAGATCAACTATTTGGGAGAATACAAAATACTCAACATTACATGAATGGTAAATTATTGAAATTTAAGAAAGTAGAAAATGATTTGAAAGGTGATGTCACTGATTTTCACAACAATAATGGCAATGCTTTTGAAGCTTTGCTCAGCTTCTCCTTACCAATCGAGTTTCGTGTCCCTGAGCACCGTTGGTGTAGTTCTCGAGACGCTGCTTGCATCCAATGTTCACCAGGAAGCGGCTCCGGTGCCAGACCGAAGTAACTGCAAGACCTCAACTGACTCTCAGCAACAACTGATTGTACTGCAGATTGAAATTGACCATAATCACCCTTATATGTGTAACCAGGTCGGGTTTCAGTACTAACTTTTCCCCGACTGGTTCCTTACTCCAGCATTATTTAATAACTTCTTAAGTTCGTGTTTGTGTCATTTTACATGTGAGCATTAACGCCAATAATGCCAAATCGCATAAAAGGTAATTCCGTGTTTGTGTCATTTTACATGTGAGCAGTCATTTTACATGTGAGCAGCCATTGCGATCATGCTTTTTGCCTAGCGCCCTCTCGCGGCCAACTAAACTTTTTTTTTTTACAGCGCGCGCCGCCTAGAATTTTGCTAAACTATGCGATGGGCGTAGCGAGCAGCTGGCGAGTTTAACATTCCACGCGCTTTGTTCAAATTAGATAGCTGGCATTCCGGGCGTTTCGTATGGTTTTCTTGTAGGGCTAGGTCCAAAATATTGTTGATTCCGTTCCAACTCTGCTTTGGGTTGACATCTATCTGCCTGGTTCTGCTCCTGCTTTGCGACCAGCATTACAGCGAGCATTGCACACTCCACTTTTTCTGCAAGTATTGGGTGCGGCTCTCCGATAGCAGCAATATAATTTTATATCTGGCGTTGCCGGCATTGCATTTTGCAATATTTTTGCTGCTTCTACATCGATTTTAACATCGAGCACGGAGAAGACATGAACGTAGATCATCCCAAGTGGTGAGTAAATCCCATGTGTGTTATTTAACTCTTTTATGCCTGAAGCTGTTTATGCCTGAATCTTTTTATGCAACAGTCATTTGAATTAAATATCGTTAATAATGTATTTGGATCTGGAAGTTATTCCCATATTTCATTAGTCATTTATTGTTTTATGCATTTCAGATAATATCCTTGGAGCGACTTCATTAGCCCATTTCCCTATTTGACTGTCGTTTTTATACACCCAACAAAGTTTCGTTTTTATATACTCACCAAAGTTCCTAATTTAATTCTTTTTGTAAATACTGTACCTGATTATTTGTATATATATCGTCTTATATTTGTACTATAAATAAAACATTTCATATTTGGAGACAACAGAAAACTTCGCTCTACCCAAATCATTTTTTTAGTGGAACCACTCGGTTGAAAGGAGAGTGCCACATTTTTAAACTAATAAATCCCACTCTCCCGGTTACATATGTGACAAGTGGCAAAATAGTATTCGCAAGAAACGGCCTGGCCCATTGAAGTAGCTATGGAGGGATTTGAGGCTATATCGGAGGCGCTCTGTTTTCCAGTTTTTATTTATAAGTTGATATTTCACAAATACGTAGGAGGGGACGGGCACGAGTACCATCGATATGAAGGGACGGGTACGAGTACCATCGATATGAAAACTGTCGTCTTTGTATCTTCTAGTTTAGGCCTAATTAATAAAACGAAATCAAATAAACCACATGGGGAAACTGACTAGGTGCATTATACTAAGTTTGAAAAGATGAACGAGAAAATTGACTGGAGCGGGGATGAACCTCCTACCCCCGGATTGCAGTTCCTGTGGTACAGTTCTCAGCCCTAATTAAAAGCCACATCCTCTTCTGAGCGATCACCGTTTACCATTTCCTGGCAGCCGATTTCACGAAAAGAGTGCGCAGCTTGCACCTTGCGGAAGACTTACGAAGCAAATTCGCGCAGCTGCGCAATAAATTTACGATCAATTTCACGAAACTTGGCGTAGCTGCGCAATGTTTTGGACGAGGATAAAACAGCATTAACAACGGCCGGCTGTTTGTGTGTGAATGTGTTCGTTCACGAAACAGTCGTTGGATCACCACAGCCCGCCATTTGAAGTATATTTTGTCCGACTCTTCGGAATCGAGCGGCAACTCTAGAAATTCTATCACAGGTAAAATAGCAATTCGTTAACATAAAATTAGAAGCTTTGAGTGTCTCTACATCAACCTTCATAAGTTGTGCAATAACAGGCTCCACGGCAGTCCCGATTTGCTGGTAAAATTTGTCATTTCAGTCGCTACTGCGCCACAACTTACGCCACCTAATGCGCAAGTTACGCCATAATGTATTGCGCAAGTCGCGGACTTAACTTGCGCACTATCCGACTTTCGTGAAATGTGTCATAATGTAAGTGAAATCTTGCACAGCGTGAAATGTTGCGCAACTTTACATAGTAAATTTTGAAGTGCGCCTCCATCGACAGACGGTACCAGTCCCCCCCCCCCCCCACTATTTGCAAGTGCCCTTTTTAAGAAATATTTACTCCCCCCCCCCAAAAAAAAAAAAAAAAACACACCCAATAATGACCGTGCTACGCCACTGCCGAGTTGCGCCATTTCGTATAGGTTTCGTGAAATCGGACGCAGGTTTATACATCATTTCGAATGTTGCAAGCATCCTGATTTTCCCCGTGATCCCTAGCTACATGGCATATACGGGTTTATGGCTTCTGACTAGCGCCTCTAGAACAAAGACATATTGACACAATGCGAATTTTTTATTTACACAATAGTACAGGGTGACCATTTTTCAGGCGACTTGAATCAAGGTTATAAAGAGCGCCGCGTTAGCGGCGCTCTACAATCCTGTAACCTTTTACCTACGCGCGCGCGCGTATACGCTCTCCACGTGTGTGAAAGTATATAATTTATGAATTGCAAGGGTTGGCCGAGCAACGCCGTGGCCTAGTGGTTAGGCATGCTGGCTAATGATCAGAGGTCCCGAGTTCGATTCCCTGCTGTGCAGTCTTCAGGTTTTGCTCTTTTTTAAAAAAATGTCAAGTTTTATCTTAGAAACGTTATTTTTCAGTCGGATACTACTTGTATAGCAGCAATTTAATTTTTCTTTTCTGATCCGAGGCTCTGGAGGATTTTTTTAAAAAGGAAAATAAAGTCCGAAATCCGCACCAAGTTGAACAATAGTAGCCTCCACACAAGCCTGGTTATAAAAACCATGCTCCATAGGTACCCCAGATAGTTGTGTAATAAAAAATATCGCGCACGGGTAACCCATGCGACAGTCTACTACGCATGCGTATATACAATGTGCGCGAATCCTCGCGCGCGCGTTTGGTACGTAATGGTGAATTGACCAGTGAGAGTTCGGCTCTCGATCATGAATGTGTATGAGGTATAGTAATACTTTTTGAGCCGCGGCGTGAATGGGAGCAATAACGAATGTCACGTGATGTGAGTTCCACCAATCAAATGACAAGGATCTGTATGTCGGTTATATAATACTAGCTATGCTGGCGGTACGCGATATTTTTTATTACACAACCATCTGGGGTACTTTGTACGCTTTCGCCACCCGTGCGACAGTCTACTACGCATGCGCCTTACAGAGCAATCGAGGAACTGTCGCGCAGTACGCACGCGCGAACATCGCCCTAGATACACGCGAAAAGATGGCCGAACAACACGTTAACCAGCGTTTTCCCGAGCTCAATGATGCCGAACTAGAGAATATTCAAGGGCGGATCCAGGGGGGGGGGGGGGGGCCAAAGGGGGCCATGCCCCCCCCCCCCCAAAAAACGAAACCAATTTTTATTTTTTTTGATGTGACATCACAATAAAGGCAGGCAATGAGTACACCACCATCTTTTCCTCAAAAAAACATTGGTTAAAGTGGTCAGAAATTGCCTCAGATCGCACCACAGAGCATCTAGAATCCAAAAAAATTTCGGGGCCCTTAAGCGGGCCCCGAACCCCACGCCGTAATTTGTTTGACCCACTTTTTGGGGGGACCAATTTTTTTTTGGCCCCCCCAAAAAAATCGTGTTCTGGATCCGCCCTTGAGAATATTGTGGACAATAAAGATGCCTCCGCTACGAAAAAAATTGTCTGCAATGCGGTAGAAACTCTGAAGACTTACTGCACTGCAAAAGAACTGAACATTTCCGAAGTGGAGGGATATTCTTCTGGTGAGTTAGACAAATTTCTCCGAAAATTTTATGCGGAGGTGCGTACTACATGTACAACCAACAACGGGACAATTGTATGCGAAAAAGTCCATGCAGGCACTGAGATATGGTCTGCAAAGACATTTTAGTAAACTCCGTCAATTTGACATTATCAAGGACTATGCCTTTGACAGTGCTAATGTCATGTTTCAGAGCATGATGATTAAACTGAAACAGGAAGGCAAGGGTGCTGTCAAACACAAGGAAATTATTCAGAACGAGGATATGGAGAAAATTCAAAACTCTCTTGATCAGAAAACACCGCAGGGCCTTCAGAATAAAGTTTTCATTGACATAATGCTGCATAAAAATGTGTAACAGAGGTCGCGAGAATCTCCGTGAAATGACCAGAGACGACTTCGAGATTAAAACCGATGCTACTAATCAGCGTTATGTCTGTAGAAGCAGAGATCGTCTGACCAAAAATCATCGTACTGAAGACGAAAGTCATGGAGGTAGAATGTATGAAACACCAGACAATCCACAACGGCATGAAAGGTGTCCTGTGCTCTTATTTGAGAAGTATGTATCAGTTCTCAACCCAAACTGTGAGGCTTTTTGGCAACGCCCCAAAAAATTCGTTGTTGACAGTGATGTTTGGTATGACAACATGCCTCTGGGGAAAACAAGCTCTTCAACAAAATGGCTGAAATATCGCTGCAGGCAAAATGTTCCAAACATTACACCAACCACTGTCTGCGAGCAACAGGTGTCACAATTCTAGATGCTGCTGGATGTGAGGCCCGCCACACCATGACTGTGTCAGGACATCGGTCAGAAACAAGTATCGGAAGTTACAGCAGAACTGGTGAGGATGAAAAATTCAAAATGAGCCAAATTCTGTCAGCAAAAACTTGCCCAAACGCAAATACCGCTGCAACTTGTTCATTGCAAAGCAGCGCTACAGCTACAGACCAAGATCATCAGGCATCCACTTCAAGTTCAACCACCAATGCGTTTGATGTGCAGTTGCCACATTCTCCATAACTTCAGTTGCTGTCAAGCTCTCAAGAGGAAGCAATTCTAAATGACTTGACAAATTCACCAAACTTTGGACAAGCCTTGAACATTGGGATTTCCCGCCAAGTTGATCTTGTCCAAACAGCATCAAATTTTCACTTTCACAACGGCCAAGTGAACATTTACAACAGCTGAGACATTACTGTGAACAACAATGAACTGAGCCATGAGGCTTTTAATAGTCACCTGCATTTTTGTGTTTCAATGAATCAGAACAGATTCAGTCAGTTTTCGTGTTATAAATGCCGAAATAAAATGAGAAGTTCATGAAAATGTATGTATCCTGGCTGCATTTTATTTCACAGTTGTTATATTTCCTTTCCCCTTACTCCTATTGTAATGGCAACAGAATATGTATGAGATATAGTAAAACAAATATAACATGGTTTATTTCGGGTGGACAGTCGATATTCGCTCCCCTCGGTATTGGAAGTTGACAAACTAGTTCCCTCGGCTTCGCCTAGGGAACTAGTTTGTCAACTTCCAATACCTCGGGGAGCGAATATCGACTGTCCACCCTCAAACCATGTTACATTTGTATACTATCCGCCCATGTGGAATGGGAAATACTATTCAACAGTTAGGATCATGACGCGGTATTTGTGTGCAAATGCATGCTGGCGTGCGCGTTCAGCCTTGCGCGTAGCGCGTATTGTTCCAAAGAGCCAGCGCTACAGCGTTGGGTTCAAACATTTTCGTGAAAGGGTGGTTTGGAGGAGAGAAATACATTTTCCTCCAGTTTTGTATTGAAAAAAAGTTCAAATATATCAAATGACAAGGATCTATATGTCAGTTATATAAAACACATATTGAGTGGCTTTAAATTGTGAAATGGGAGGAATATTATCGCTCGGTAAAATCTGGACTTTTCCAGTTCACTCGGCTTCGCCTCGTGAAATAGAAAAGTCCAGATTTTACCTTGCGATAATATTCCTCCCATTCCACGCTGAGCCACTCAATATTTGTGTAATAATACGCCAATGAGAAAACCTAATCACTCGATGGAGTCCGATACGTTTTGTGTTTCAAGTAAGCTTTCCGTTCCGTTGTTCACCGGTCTTTTTTTTCCTAATTTGTATAGGAACTTGCTGAACCATTATTTTTTGCATTTGTCTTCATTATTGTTGAGGACTTTCTCTTCATGGTCCAAAAGGTATGTAATTCACACGGGCGGTGCCAATCATCTACCCAATACCAACAAAAAATGAACATCGCTAATTATTGTGGTGTCATTAGACACAGTCGATGGACTCAAGGATAAGTTACTCTCAGGAAAGGGAAAAAATATCGCTCAAAAGCAGCATTTAAGGTAAAAAAAAAAAGGCCAAAAAAAAATTGTCGGTCTCTGGTCAAACCAAAGTTCCGGAATTGATGCGGCGACGCGGGGTTTTTTTTGTTTTTTGGTTTTTTTTTGGCTTTTTTTTTAACCTTGGATTGTACAGTTCTCCATAATTTGCCTTTGTGCCCTCCATCATTTGCTTTGGTGCATTTTCCCCATTCATTGGTACAAAAATTTGAGAAGGTGCGGCAATAGAGGGCGCTGTTGTAGCTACCGCGGACAATTTGAAGAAAAAAAAGTTTGACGCGCATGATTAAAATCGACGCGCGCGCTGACCAGAGAAAATATACTTTTTTGTACTTTTTTGTTTCGTATTTTAGCCCAAACAAAATATATAATTTCCTATATCTAGCGATACACGCAGGTTTTTTTTTATTACTTTGAATGAGCCATTGAAAAAAAAAATCGGCCCATGTATAGTTGAGAAATAAATATAGCCAATTAAAGGAATACACGTGTGGTGGAGCAATTTTAAACGTCTGGTGTAAAACCGGTAATAGTGGCCTGGTCACCAATAATGGCCCGAGCCGAACACACGTGTTACTCGCACATTCCCAATGCAAACAATAATACAATACTGCCAAAAGGTTTAACGAAGAAGTTAAGGAGAATACACGAGAAAGTGTGGATTCGTAATTTAAGAATTCACGAGGCGCGAGGCGCCGAGTGAATTCGTAAATTAAGAATCAACACTTGCGAGTGTATTCTTCGACTTAAACCATTGCGTCAACAGAAGTATTGGAAAGAATGTTGCAACCTGACGCCACTTTTTTCTTCATATATTATCTCAATGAAGGTCATTCGTTGCAAAAATAATGATAAGACATGAATCTGGGACTGAGAAATGTTTCCAATTTTGTTAGGAAATACTTGAAATGACTCTCCATAGGCTTTGTACACAAGCGCGGAAGTGCCGTCAGGTTGCAACATTTTTTTCTGGCGTGTTTAGCATGTGTATCGCCACACCCGTACAACCAAGTCATTTTGTGTGTATAGGCTCCTTACGTCAAAATAGATAGTTCAGACGACGATTTCTTTCTGACTAAAAGTAGATTTTGCAGTGACGGCGGAGAATTTTGACAGTGAAGATGCATTGGTAATTTTCGAAAAGGAAATGTTCACGCAGACCGTCCTATTCATGCTCATTATGGAGAACAATAATTGTCCGACGTGTTCAATGTGTGGATTCGTAATTCCGAATCCACACTTTACTGGAAATGCGTCGTTCCGAATCCACACTTGGTGACCAGTGTAAGAGATTCGTAGATCCGAATCCACACTTTTAACAATAGTGTGACGTCATAGCAATGGTTTAAATTGACCGGAGCGGGGTTAAAACAGACGACATCTGGATGGCTGTTCCTATGCTTTTTCCCCCATTTGCCTCTATGCAAACGCATGCGTGCTAATCGCCGAGTTCTATGCGTCTTAATAGCGTGGTTGTTTGCTGCAAACGCTTATTGAAAAGAGAAAAAGAGCGCCCCTCTAGCTTCAAATTATGTTCCACCGCATTTTTACTTGTTTTCCATGCAGTATAGGCATAGTGCATGATTTGCTCTTCAAAGTGGGACAATGAGGGTGAATTCAAGACAATCTTTAGCCCCAAAATTATTCGGCAACATTGAATCTGATCATTTGTCATACTGAATCCGATACCAGAATAACAGTGAATGCTATAAAATGACAATAAGCACATGTAAGTCTTTCATAAACATAATATACCGTGCGTGTTTAAAAAAAAAAAATAGTGTAGCGGCATTCACGGTGAACATGTACGAATAAATCGTCAACTTACCGAGAACAACGATCGCAAGTGTGCCGAGAGCCACGGGTAGGTTCATCGTGACGGCCCGGTAGCTGCTCGTGGCTTACTCTTAATATTGAATTGGATGAAAAGTCGCAAGACACTTGTGTTTTGTGTGTCGGCGCCCCAATATTTACTAGCACAGTGCTGTGTATCGTGTTTATCATTGCCGCGACATGTCTATAGGCCTATATCTAAATACTTCACCAACATGATTTCGCACGAATATTCATTTATGCACCCAGCGAATTTCATATTCATTACGTTTCCATATATAGAGAGGGCCAATGATGGCTCACCTGTACCACTGAGGAAGCATCCATTATTAGAGTGGGGATATCTTTCTCTTGATCAGTGTACATTTCTCTCTTTTGTTCCCTAAGATTTTCATTAGAATATTAAACTCAGTGGTATATTTATAATAAATTACAAAATATTGTGCCAAATTATTGTGTTCTAATAAGAAAATAATATGATGGAATACCAACGGCCAGGAATGAGCTTTTGACCCCTCGAGGAATGGGATTCGATCCATGTTGTGTTGCATATTCACCACCGTACTCACAAAAACGTTTCTGCACGTGTTTAAACATGTGAACGATATGCACAAGACACGAACTGTTGGCCTATTTGTTACATCTAAAGGGGTTTGTGGGTGATAGCGGTTCGTCGTGACAGTGTTGTAGTACAGTACTCGTACTCGGTACTCGTACTCAAGTACTACTCGAGTACTTTTTTGGGGTACTCGTACTCGTACTCGTACTCGAATGGCAAAAGTACTCGTACTCGAAATGACGGTACTCGTACTCGGGCAGCAAAGTACTCGTACTCGGCATGTCGAAATTGTACTCGATCATTAAAGTGCTCGTACTCCAATAGTAGAACTCGGGGGAAAATGTTATAGCTTCACTTACCATGGCCTTAGTTTATGGATACTTTCAATTTGAAATGGTTGATTGGGTTGTGGAGAAACCGATATTTCTTGATTTTCCTCTGTGCAAGTCCGGACAATACATTTAACAGCTAGCCGTGAGTGGGTCTGTATATCGGTCTGACCTGACTGGTCCTCTCTCACGGCTGATTTTATTCTGATTTTCGAAGATTTAATCTATTAATCTTTAGCGTGACGTCACGTGACCAATGATGACGTCATGATGACGTCACTCTTCGGGACACAACTATGCTATAAGGACTATGCCTGTGTTGAGTTTCAATGATGTACGGCAAATGCCAAAAGTGGCGCGGAGAAAAGACGTGGACAATGTCTATGGGATTTAGGCGACAAAAAGAAGAAGAAGAAGAAACAAAAAGCAGCACAAAAAGAAAGGGTTTTCCGCAACTATGCGGAAAAGCCAAAAACAAAGGCGATTCGGATTAATATTGAGCGCAATCACATTGAACATTGATCGAAACCGGGAATCGTTTCGGAACTGTAATATGTGTGAGAAAAATTTGGACTTTAGTTAACTCTTGTTCTATAGAACATCAATGGAACTGACCTGGACAATGTGAGATCTGAGAAAATTTTACAAAACAACAAATTGATAATCATTTTGTTTTCTTATTGGAAGAGAGATGTAACAAGAGTTAATGGTCACATGGTACAGCGCCCTCTGAGTGTGACCTCAAGTTTGTACACACACACTGGAGTATAGAAAGGTCACACACCCACACACATAAGATGGCTCAAAGAAATGAGACTTGAGAGCACATGGTTAAGAATAAGAGTTAGACAATACAACATTGTTAGAGCAAATGAGTCTTATAATGACTTAAAGATTCATTCACATTCTACGCAATTGTGCACGTTCGCGCGTAATTGACTACCAGTACCGTACCCAATAATCATGTACTTAGAAAAAACTATATAAGTTCAAAAGACTCAACCCTGAAATCTTCATTAATTGTATGATGTGTTCTTTTGATTACCACTTCTTTATAAGGACACTAAATTCAGGGTCATTTTTACAAACAATTTGTATCGAATCGGACTGCAGTTCCATTGTCAGCAAAACTAGATTATTTACTGATGATTGTGATTCAATTCGATCTTATACTATTTACAAACAAGCCAACCATTTTAACAGACCTGTCTAGAATCTAACCAATTGTTCCTGCCAAAGATGTAAAAAAAAAAAAATTAAATAACGAATTAAAAAAATGGTAATTGTTGAAAACAAGAATTAATTTTTATAAATTACTTAGATGATGTAAGATTTTACGTGTTTTATTGGCATTGGAGAACACCTGTTGAAAAAAAGTACTTTCACTTGTTTAAAAAAAAGCACTTTCACTTGTTTGCAATTAAGCAAGAGTTAGTTGTTTATATTTTCATTAGAGCCAATTATAAGTGATAACAAATAAATACAAATACAATGTGATAAATATAACCACCGAGTCTGTTTAATTTGTGAACATATAAATAATAAGAATATCTTGCTCATTCTATGGTTTTATGGAAAGTCTTTTAAAACCTGAGCCCAAAATCTTTAATCTGAAATTATCGCGACACTGATCTTATCTTGGATAAAGCGCCCTCCACGTTTTGGTCACTCTTGGCGTCGGTGCTCGGACCCCCGCCCCTGGAAATCCTGTTTGCAGGGCGGGACCGGGGGTACCGGGTACCGGTACGAGCGAACCGCGCGACCGTGGCGCGTCAATAATATTGCAGCCGCTTGAGGGCGCGCTTTACCAAAACAATGAAAAAAAAAATTGCAAAATGGTCGTTGAAATCGAGAAATTTTTTGGTTGTTATTTGCTGCTGAATTTGAATCCGGATTTCAAAGGAAGGACTTACATCGGTTTCACAGTGGACCCAAGAAGAAGAATTAACCAACATAACAAGGGAAGCAAGTATGGTGGGGCTAAACGCACGAGTGGAAAGGGTCCTTGGTGAGTTGTCACTAGCTTAGTCCGAGTAACTTGGACCCAACTTATCGCCTTTTTTAACATTTGGACATGGTCTGGCGATAGTAAGGTCCAAGCTAATACCGCGACCTAGACAACACCGTCCCAAAAACCAACATTTTCCAACAAAAAACATCAGATTTCACCTTCAAAACGGCCTCCAAATTACTAGATATGCCACCTGATGTACAAGTAGACATCGATAATTAAGATGGTTGTACTGAAGTTTACTTACGATCCGGAAAAAAGTGAAATTTTCCGTTCATTTCGGAGAGCTCCCCTTGCGATCTTGAACACGTTAAATTTCCGATCGTGTTTAATGTTTGAACGACGCGATTTCTTCTACATGCCCAGCGTACATTCGATGGTCCCCGTATCCCGTGTGCGATTCCGTTACCGAGCGCGCGCGATGCATCGATTATGATAATGAGTAGACTGGATCACGTTTGTAAACACATGTGCATTTCAAACGATAATAGGGAGTCGGGAACTAGCGCAGCTTTTATGGCGGGTACCAGTTCAAGCTGGTTCACGATTCCCTTTTACAGTTCGAAATGCACATGTATGTGGTTACAAACGTGATCATTATCATAATCGATGCATCGCGCGCGCTCGGTAACGGAATCGCACACGGGATACGGGGACCATCGAATGTACGCTGGGCATGTTTTATGTAGAAGAAATCGCGTCGTTCAAATATTAAACATGTCACGCCCCAACTATTGCATCGGTCCCAACTATAGTTGGGCCTGTCCCAACTATAGTTGGGCCTGTCCCAACTGTAGTTCCACAGTTGGGCTGGCCCAACTATAGTTGGGCCTGTCCCAACTATAATTTCCATTGTTGGGCTGGCCCATCTATAGTTGGGCCACTCCGATCTTTTTATTTTGCGGTGTCCCAACTATAGTTTACATTGATGTACAACCATAAAACGTTCCCTACAGCTCTGATACACGTCTGACTTTACTGGGGACCACTGAAATTAGCTATTGATGGGGTCAATCTATAGTTGGGCCACCCCAATCTTTTTATTTTGCGGTCCCAACTATAGTGTACATTGTTATGTTGTACGATTATAAAACATTCCCTACAACTCTAATACACATCTGACTTTACTTGGGACCAATGAAATGATATATAGGTGTGGACCATCTGTAGTTGGGCCACCGCAATATTTTTATTTGGCAGTCCCAACTATAGTTGTACGACTATAAAACATTCTCTACAGCTCTGCTTACATGTCCGACTTGGGACCTTTGACATTAGCTATGGGTGGGGCCCATCTATAGTTGGCCGGCCATGGCAATCTTTGAATTTTGCAAAATGTTGCTGGATAATAAAACCAAGCAGCTGGACAACTCATCCAACTAGGCAGTACCACGTGACCGGCCAGCCTTGCGGCATGCATGCACGACGAATACACGGTGCCAGCGCCGCGGAACATTTTAATCCAACAAGATCTATCAAGCATGAAGCATCCGGCGCAACTCCAGTCCTAACTATAGTTGGGCCGACCCAACTGCCGCACTATAGTTGGGACAGTCCCAACTATAGTTGGGACCGATGCGATAGTTGGGGCGTGACAAACACGATCGGAAATTTAACGTGTTCAAGATCGCGAGGGAAGCTCTCCGAAATGAACGGAAAATTTCACTTTTTTCCGGATCGTAAGTAAACTTCAGTACAACCATCTTAATTATCGATGTCTACTTGTACCTCAGCCTCAGGTGGCATATCTAGTAATTTGGAGGCCGTTTTGAAGGTGAAATCTGATGTTTTTTGTTGGAAAATGTTGGTTTTTGGGACTGTGTTGTCTAGGTCGCGGTATTAGCTTGGACCTTACTATCGCCAGACCATGTCCAAATGTTAAAAAAGGCGATAAGTTGGGTCCAAGTTACTCGGACTATCACTAGCTGGAGTTACCCAGCCCAGAGTTTTATCATTGGGTTGTCTATATTAGGACTGGAGCGAATTTTTCTCGTAACTTGTAGTATAGGCAAAATTTTTTGGAAAATGTTCAATTTTGTCCCCGTTACACACTAATTGCAACTGCAACTCACCCCAAACTTGCCTGGAATAACCATTACACAGGTCCTTGAAGTAAAAAACGATCCACGATGAAGATTCAGCCTACAATTGCAGTGAAAACAGGAGATTCCTCCTGTTTTCACTGCAATTGTAGGCTGACTGTTTCATGCACTAATATAAGGTTTACCACTCGCATCACAGCTTTGGTACTGGAACCGCAACCAATAGTGCATGAAACAGTCATCGGGTGTTACGCTTCCGCGTGACGTCATGCGCCAACAGCCAGCGCAGCCGGCAAAACCGAGTAGTTGACAGCGATCGCTCTCTGTGCCTGTTAATCGACCGCCATTCATTGTACACAATTTTTTTTGTGCACAAACCAATTGCGGTCCTGGCCAATCCAGCAAGGTTGTCAAGTTAGCGGTTATTCCTCCTGTTTTCACTGCAATTGTAGGCTGAATCTTCATCGTGGATCGTTTTTTACTTCAAGGACCTGTGTAATGGTTATTCCAGGCAAGTTTGGGGTGAGTTGCAGTTGCAATTAGTGTGTAACGGGGACAAAATTGAACATTTTCCAAAGAAATTTGCCTATACTACAAGTTACGAGAAAAATTCGCTCCAGCCCTAATAGACAACCCAATGATAAAACTCAGGGCTGGGTAACTCCAGCTAAGTTGTCACCCATACCGCGCCGACTCGGTCGGAGTTTCCATCATATAGGCCTACTACTGATGTACAAAAACATGTAGAACTTTGTGAAATTTTGATTTTCACATTTTGGCTTAGTTTGTAGTTTATTTTTGCTTAAGAAGCATACCCACCCTAGGCAATAGGTACTTTGCGGAACTTCCAGTCCTGCAAAATACCCACAGCCACACCCCTCTTTATAGGCTAATCAGAAAGTGCTGCCTTTTTCAGACGTCTATTTTTCGTGAAATTTCCAGATTCGTTTGCACACGTTTGCGTATCAAAATTTGAACATGAAATTTCACGAAAATTAGGCTTCTGAAAAAAGGCAGCACTTTCTGATAGGTAGGCCTATGCCTACATCAACAATACAACTTACAAGAGACCTTAAAATTATCCGACATTTGCTTGCGTACACTTATTTTTTTCGTAGGGACCGAGTTGGCTTGGGATCGAGTTGACCTGAGACGGAGCTGAGTTGGTTTGGGATTGAGTTGACCTGCACCCGAAAGAACTCGGGGAAAGAATCCCATACATATGGACATCACTAATTTGTCCCTGCAGTGACCTATCAACCTATCAGCCATCAGAAAGCGATAACATGTCCTAAAAAGGACCAGTTTTATCGGGGATAATGTTGAACATTTACTGAGAATTTTCCCACTTGGACTTTTTCAGACCAGTCTCATCTACTCATAGAGTTTATGCACAGAATGTCAAATGATGTCCAGGTATGGAACTCTTTCTGAACTCGGGCTTTCACGCTCGCATTAGTCCGAGTGATTTGAACTGTTCAATTTTGCCTGTTTAAATATGTCCACAAGATCTAGCGATGGTGCTGTATCACCAAACAGGATCCTATGTAATATTTAAATGATTTGTACCATTGTTGTGAAAACAATTCGCAGAATTCTTTAAGCATTTTGTTTGAGGGGATGTTTCATTTTGTTTTGTATCAACTCTTTCACAGGGAAATGGTCTTGATTGTGTATGGCTTTCCCAATAAAGTCTCAGCTTTGATGGTGAGTTGGAAGTGTTGTTGCTGAAAATTTGAAATCACTTTTGTGAATTGAATTGACTTTGATTTGTATTACTACATTGACGTCATTGTGTTTTGTGCTCGATCTCTTTCCTACTGAAGTTCTATCTTCTGATCTATTATTCTTTGTTAAGTTCATGTAGTTTTGGATGTTTTTAGGGAATAAGTGTATTTAGTTTGATGAGATTGAATTTTGACATTGAATTTGTGTGATTGATTGTACTTTGACAATTTGCCTGACTTTATCTGTTTGGCTTTTACTTTTCTTCTCTTTTTAATAATAATTTTACTAATGTGCTATTTTAATATGATTTGTTCCATTGTTAAGTTTTCAAATAAGACAATTCAAAGAAATTCCAATAATTCTTTCCGCAGTTTGAGTGGGCCTGGCAGCACCCAAGACTCTGCAAACGTCTCAAGCATGTCCCAGGCAAACGGAAAACAGAGAAGAGATTTCTGTTTGACCTGCGTGTCCTGTCCAACATGCTGAAGGTGGGTCCGTGGTGCCGTCTACCCCTGACCATCCAATGGTTGAAGCAGGAACATATGAGAGAGTTTGAGGATGGATTACAACCACCGGTTCATATGCCCATTGCATTTGGTCCAGTCACGTCCATTAAGGTTTGTGTATGTGTTCATGAGTTGATTGCATGCAAAGCGCGCAATCCTCCCTGAAGGGGGCAGTGAAGCGGGCGAGGCAAAGCTACGCCTCGTCTCATTAAATGTCCAGGATAATTAAGATGCAGACAAATCAGATTTTGATTTGTAAACGATGCTAATAACTTCATTGGCGGAAGATTCCAGGGAAGTTGTTCAGAATTCCAGCATTATAAAAGGAAGTGTAATGTCCGTGAAATGATCCAAAACTTCAGTCTGTAATCCCCTTGATTATTACTACTAGATGATGGATGTACAGGGTGCCCCCCCAAAAAAATATCTGAAGCCTCAAAGTGCCCACTTTTCACAGCTTTATAAAGTCAAATTTATATTGATTTGTCCATAATCCGTAATTTGTCAGCTTTATTATACTGACAACATAATTTTAATCGCTTCAAGACTTGACGAGTTATATTGCAAAGATATTGCTTTTTCATTTTGTTTGTGGTGTTTGATGTGTGACTGCTGCAATGAGAACAAGGTCCAAGACTCGTATCCACTGAAGCAACCAAGTAGAGGGCAGAGCAGAACAATAAACATCGAAGAAGTTAAACAAAACAGTCCATTTCAGTACTATCATTTCTTCCAAAAAGACAATGAACTTATTAAAGTATAAAAGAACCAAATGAAGAAAGAAAGATTTAAACATTAAAGAAAGCAAAACTGCTCTGCCCCTCACCCCAATTACATTCCATTCCTAAAAAATGACAATTAACCCTTACTCTCTGAGGGTAGTTTACTGCATGTCAGTTGGTTATGCCAATGCCCTCCAGCTGCAGTTATTTGGCAGATAACAAGTCTTAACAGTGAAGGCTCCAATTGGCAGGAGTTGGAGGCCCTGGAGGGTGCCTGATACTGACCAGCTGGGGGCACTCACTTTGTTATCAGAGGACTCTCATTGTTCTCTGTGGCATGTATTGGAGTGCCTGTCCAGTTACCCTTGAAATGACATGGCAGATATTGGAGGGCCATGCAAAAAACATAGGAGATTTTCTTGAGGCACAATTGGCATGCGTTGGAGGGTCAAGTAGGGTAAGGGTTAAGGCCACACGTTTTTGAATTGGCTATAACTCAATAAATAGTTTCCCGGTTGGGAATATTTTTTTTGTTGCTGAAAAGCTGATGAACTACATGTATACTTTTCAAATATTATGTATCAATGTTTTTGATGTATTTTTAAAAAGCTGTGACAAAGAGGGTGCTTTGAGGATTTGGTGGTTTTTTAAAACCCTGTACTTGGTATAAGATTTGACATATTTGAAAAATACATTTTCAGATTTACTCACTGAGCTCTTAAACGCTTTGTCACAGACATTACATAATGCTGAAAGTGACCAGATGCAAATTGCATAGCCTAAACACTTTTACTCTATGGGACTTGGCCAAATGCTGTTGAAGTAGGAAGAATGTACCCTTGGTTTACTGCAAAGTGTTGGAGTCTGGTCGATTCAGGAAATTAATCCAGCAACCACATTTAAGAGCCATTAATAAGAGTGTAAAGTTGGGCTTAGTTGGCTATTAAAAGGATGGCGGAGGGGAGCTAAAGGGCTCAATAGGTCAGTTATACAGAGCAGTGGAATAGCTTTCTGGCAGTCACAGGTTCACATTCCACTCCAAGCATTAATTTGTAAACCATAGAAATGACCATAGTCAGTTTCCATGTCGGGTATATTTCTTGGTTGATTACTTCCTGACCTATTTATTTCCATATTGTTATCAGATGCACTCCAAAACGAAGAAGAAACTCTCCAAGAAGTCTAATAAGAATGCAGAGAGTAACTTGGAGGAGACAGAGGAAGACAGATGTAGTGAAGACATGGTAGAGATGACCCAGAGAGCTAACAAACGATGTGATGTCTGCTCAAAGAGATTACAGGTACCTCCGACTTGAAAGCTGGCAATATTGATGCAGCTGTTTGTAAGTCATTCTTGTTAAATCTTGGTTACAATATATTTTGTATTGGACCATCAACATAGGAATGAATAGTGCAGTTGGTAGATCCCAACATTTCTTTGTTGAGCCATATATTGAAATATGTTGTAGTGTGGTATTTATTTCTTTGCCCCTTATAATTAAAGGACGCAAGAGCTAACATTTGAGTTAACTACTTAGTCCCTGTAGCGCCTGCAGCCACCCAAGCACTCTGTGGTTTTATTGATTCTTCAGTGAATAAACACCATTCATAAATACCTAAGACAGTTTACGCATTCCTATTGGTCGAGAGCCTGTCACGTGGCCGGTCTTAAACGGATGATAAAGACATGGCTAGCTGGTCTTAAACACTTTTCCAGTGTCACAATAAAATGTGGACTCCTAAAAATCCAGTGCCTCTTATCGTTTCATTGGTTGAACGTTCACAATCCTCACGTAGGCATGCGCAACACTACCAGGGAGTCAGAATTTTATAGTTCTAAATTCAAAACGCAGCGCGCCAGGTGCGTTCTGCGCGACATCGATAAATGTGTGCTCCGTCGGTATTTATCACTCTGTTTAAGACCACTTAGAGTCTGGGTGCTGATAATTACCCTCGCCTCCGGCTCGGGTAATTATCAGCACCCAGACTCTAAGTGGTCTTAAACAGAGTGATAAAAACCTCTGGAGCACACATTTATTCCCTTATTTAATACAATGTAGAACAGTTGCTAATGGGTTCATGAGTATCAGTAAATTGTATTTTCCGTTCATTGATTCCCAGCCGGACTCTACATCCACCTTATCCTGCGTCCATCCGACATGCTCCATGAAGGCGCACATGCTCTGTTTAGCCGGTCAATTCCTCAGGCATTCTGCCGGAGACTTTTTACTGCCGGTCGACGGAAGCTGTCCACTTTGCAAAAAGAATGTCTTATGGGGAGATCTGATTCGGAAGAAGGAAGGTTGCTACTCAACTCTCGCAGTCTGTGACGTGAGTTTCCCTCTCCCTTGAGTTTTGTCCTCTTCAATGACTCACCTTGAAGACACATAGGAACATTTTGCAATTTCCCGAAAACGCCTCTACCGATTTAACGAGAAAATCCTTTCTCAAAGTGAAATAGGACTAATATCACATCGTACCCTGTGAAATTATTCCGCCTGAAATGGTGTCATTCAGAAGAAGACAATCACTCACATGATGTTACCACAAACCTCCCATTCATCAAGACAATCATTGAAAAGTGGTTTAAGACAAAGTTTTTTATTATTTGCATTAGCAACGTAATCCAGTAACGAGACCCCAGAAATTGTGTACACATTTTCTCAAAATGTATAGTATCCACTGAGCTGAAATTCAACAGGCTAGTCGTTATGCACCCTGAGCAATTTTGTTGCTTCAAACAAACAAAAATGCAAAGAAAGCAAATGGTGTTTTACCTTTAAGCTCATGGACATCATCAAAAGGATTCCTTGTCATTCCATTTTCTGGATGTTTTGTAGCAAAACGTCTTTGCATTCACAAGCAACATTTGCAAAGGTGTTGTCATAGAACAAGTAATTAAAGAGAATATTTGGCTTGACATTTTTTATATTAACAGGAATTTTTATTTTGTTAGATTTCTACATCTTATTGAAAGTGAAAAGAAAAAAAGAAGAATTTTGTAATAATTTTGATTAAATGTCAATGCTTAAAATTCCACTTGGCATCCACTATTTCAAGTGCAGTTTTTGACTCAAATGCCCAGTGTTGGTTTTAAGAGAGGTGGCGGTAAAAAGGGCAAATTTTGATACAATAAATTGAAGACTCATAAATGTATGGGCATTAAGACCAACTCTGACCTAAAAGGGGAATATGAACGATTGTCAGACAAGTCGACCGTTGAGACAACTCGACTCGGGACAAGTCGACCGTTGAGACAACCCGACCGTTGAGACAACCCGACCGTTGAGACAACCCGACCGTTGAGACAACTCGACTCGGGACAACTCGACCGTTGAGACAGCTCGACTTAATGGAAATCTATACACGTGGAGCGGAAAAAGTTGCATAAATCTGTGGCAGGACCGGTCCCGGGCGCGGCGCGGGCACACTCGATGCACAGAGGGCGCTCCGATCCGGTGGCCGTCGCGTCGGGCTGGTGCGCCCCGCCCGCGAGGACCGAGCCCGGACCGGAACGTGGGCACGTCGACCGGCGCGGCAAGTGGGCGCACAGACCCGGCACAAACGATGTCACCGTGCACGGTACGGCCACGTTGACCGGGGATGCGCGCACAGGCCCGGCAAAAAGGAACGATGTGCACGGACAATCACGCTGCGCTATATTGGCTCTGTTTTATGCAACAAAAAAAACCTCATGTATCACAACTCCCAAACGGCGATCAGCCGCCGTCAAAATCCCCGGTACTATCCCCAAAACTAGGCCCAAAAACATGCGAGGCGACTTGTCTCAACGGTCGACTTGTCTTTCCATTTTTCGCACATACGGTCGAGTAGTCTCAACGGTCGAGTTGTCTCAACGGTCGACTTGTCCCGAGTCGAGTTGTCTCAACGGTCGACTTGTCTGACCCCCATATGAACAAGAAATACATTGTAATAAGCCTGTTTTGTCCGTTTGATCAAATGTTGAAATTGTTTTAATTATTCAGGATGACGACACTGATGATCACTGGGCAGAGGAATTGAGAGCACAGTGACCTTTGACCTCAAGTCACATGATATCAACATCTTAGACTACCGCGTCTTTCCTGTAAGCTCAGTTATGTAAGGTGGGCATGGACATCGGAGAGAGCCACTTTGACCCATCTAGTTCCCAGACCTTTTACTTCAAATTCAGTGGTTCTTGAGCGAAAACTGGTATGCAAATGAATAGATGTTTTTACCGGCTGTGATGTTATCCCGCCCACACCTACAATATGTACATGTATGTAAAATGTGAAAGATTACTTGCCGTGTACAGATATACATATCTGTATTAATTTACACTATCCTAACACAGCTGGATCTAAGAGAACTTTCCATTGACAGTCTCTGTTGGATTTCATTGCGGGACACAGCACAGAAAGATCTTTTATTCTTGATGTTTACTATTGAATTGAGTAGGTGTGGAATATTGGTGGTACATGTACCTGTGAATGTTATCTTGTAACTATGTGTATCAAAGAAATTTATGTTATTGTTAGATTATTTATTGTACATACACGAGTGTTCAAGTTGAACAATGTCCTTGATTTAAAGGGCCCATGCAATGTAATTTTTTTAATGAAATCATTGAAAATGCATCTTTGTGTCCTATTTACCCTTATTTGAAATTTTTGTGTGCCTGTTCTGGGGTATTTTTGTGCCTTTTTTGTGTTTATGCTAATGAAAATTTCCATTTTCATGAGCAAAACTGTGACGTCATTAAGGCAGAAACCTCAATGTTACAGCTATTTCAGCACCAAAAGCTGCCAGAATTGGCAAACATTTTTTCAACGAGCAAAATTTTGGGTCAACAACTTGAACAGAAAACACCTAAACTGAACAGTGTCTTCCTAAAATGACATCACAGCAACAACGCCCTCAGTTGTCCAGAAAAGCATGGCAATTTTTTTGAGAGTTTAAAAGAAGTGCACTTTTCAATAAAATTAACCAAAAAGGGATGCTAAATAGTTTTCATACATTGAGTAGAAAGTTGCACAAATTTTTTTCCTCGGAAATTCATCTCATGGACCCTTTAATAATCAAGGTTTGAATCAACTTTTCCTTGGTTAATGCCAATGTGATTTAAACAGTATATCTGTGCCTTAGATTTCTTCATAATAATAATGTGTTTCAATATTTAAAGAAAACAAAACAAGTTGTAAAGTGAATGTACAAAGAACAAAACACATTTTCAACTGTTCAGAACAGATTCACTATTTTCAACACTTACACAACATCCAATCTTTATTCTAATCTCTGAGCCTAAATTATTTGACGGAGCATGTGTGTGGATAAACCCAGATTAAATTAAATCACACACCGCAACACATGCAACACATGAAATAAAAGCTTTTTTCTAATGTATGGTTTTCACTAAAATATTTAAATGTACATGCAAATTTACTCAGGGAAAACAATACCCTTTGTTTTGTGGTAAGTGTGTGTGTGTGTTTAATGTAGGTTACTGGTTTAAAATACAATGCTTTATATTTTGTGTAATAAATTACAAAGTAAAGTTTAAGTTTTGAATTTAAACCACAAAAATATCAAGTAATGTCAAATTATCCAGAATGTTGAATAGATGTACACACTACATGTAATTTGATGTCAGGAGTCGTGCGCAATAAAAATCCTTCAAATCAATTAAAAGTTTCTTCAAATCATGCACCACTTATTTTAGTTGTCTTTGTTTTAAAAGCTTTCCAAATGTCAACTTAATGTCAAGCCTCAGAACTGTTTAAAAAAAAAAAGGTTGGATGGAGACTGGTGACAGACAGATTGAATTGTAGTTAATCAGGAAAAAAAGAACAACAAATAATTTGACTTTATACACTTTTGTAAAAACCACTTCACAACAAAATCTGATAATACATGCTGTTGTCTTGTACATTGTGTTCTCTAATATCTGCTTGTTTTAAAGTGTTTGAAAGTTTGGTGTAATATTGCACCAAAATGCGTCTTCATTTTGTCCCATGACTACAGAAACATATGGCTGTGTAAGGTAGATCCAAAATCCATCACAATTCCAAATCCTGTGGTGGATTTTTTTTTGTGTTGTTGCAATTATTCAGCCTCATCAAACGTCCAATGTTGAGATTAAAATGTTCCCTGTAAGTCTTAAAAATTGTAAAGACTGTGTGTTTTTACTCAAGAAGCCATCCTTCAAAATAGAGAACAGAGAAGTTGTGTTGAAGTTGAAGCGAAGTGCAGGTCTGCACAAGATGCCATTTGTGAAGACTGCCACTAGGTGAGTCACTTTCTGCAGCATCCAGGTCATGGAGCTATTGGATGCGGAAGATAATGATGTCGGCCCCACATCAACATCTTTGTCAGGTGATGTCTTGAACTTGAAATGTACATGTAGCTGCTGATGTTGCCGATTGGGGAGAAGTGCGTGTACCATTGGAGAGACATTGCAGCATGATTATCAGTCATTTATCATTCCTCCTCATCCCCGGCTTCTGCTGATCTCAAGAGGATGTCACCCTTGATATCCTTCCATTGTTTCTGTGTGTGAAAATGAAAAATTATAAGAATAGAGCTCAAGACAAAGAAGGTGTTATGAACTTGAATCACCCGAGGTTAAAAACAAGGGAAGAATAAGAAGACAAAAGCATGAAAGGGAACAACATGCTTTTTATGTTCAATTTGAATTCGAACCTCCAAACATGTAACCTCACTCGTGTCGCGTTGGTATTGCTGCACTGTACCTTGAGCACAGCAACACCGATGCCACACTAGTGGGGCTACCAAACATGGAGTTAGGTCCCAGTTTTGCGGCCCAAGGTCTTGTACGGTCAAAATTTTTATCAATAAATTTTAAACTAATGTGACAACAAGTATTTTGACAGCTATTTTAAATAGTTACTTTTTAACATTACATTATGTACTCAGTTGCTAATTTGTAGCTATACTTGGTTTAAACTACGTTAATACTTCCTATTCAACAGCCGAAGGGTGCACACCGGTAAATAGGCCTAAACCCATCCGCCAAGCTCATGAATAAATGTTACACCCTCAAAATATTCTACATGTATATTAGAGAGTTCTGAGAGTCATAAAATTGGGGAATTGAAGAGATACATATGGCAATGAACCTCTGGCCCGGACTTGGGGCTTCCAATTCTGAGCATTTTGGATGCAAGTGGGCTCGAAAGTGGCGCTATTTTGCCATGTTGTGGAGGGATCCTTTTTCAAGATGGCTACTTTTTCCGCTTTAGGAAAAATAGGGGTCGTCTTCTTTGACTTTTTTTGGTTGAGATTGAGAAATTCTAAAAAAGTCAATGTGGTCAACCCACCAAAAAATGAAGAGAAAATAAAAGATCACAGGCCTAGATGACATGTTGACATGGTTGATCATCATTGTCCTGTGCAGCTTTAATACCTGTGACAGTTCTGAGTATTTTTTTTATTTTTTTTTGAAGTTTGGGCATTTAGCACTGGTGTCTAGAAGTATACAGATTACAGGGGTGCATCCTGAACACGATTGGCACCCAATGCCTTTGGGCGCTTTTTGGGCGCTATACGATTCTTAATGGTACACATTTGTCAGCAGCGGTTGCAACAAAATAATTAGCAGTTTACTCACGCCTCTATTTATGTAGTCGTAGATTTTATCTCCTCCTACATCGAACAGACGTTCGAAGAAGACAGCCCCAACAGCTATAGTAAGGACGAACGTTGACGTTCTCCTGAACAACGTGTTATATACCGATCTTACGAGCGACATTTTTACCGGCGTTTTGCAAGTTCGATGATCAAATTTAGAAGAAATGAACTGGACTTCATTTAGCAATATGACGGGAATAGACATCAAGGCACCAGACTACTCCTAAACTTAGCAATGATTTAATTAGCGCCCTCTCTTGACGCATGACACCATATTTATTGCACTTGGGCAGAGAGGATTTTCGTTGTGCACTTGTGTTCTCTGACATTTCGCCAGAAAAGGGTGCGAAAATGGCTGAAAACATATTTTTGTTTGTCCCTAACTTGATAGGTAAGTAATTTGTTTGTTCAATAACATTTATCAATTGATATACATGTGGTAGAAAGTAAAATAAGAGGTTGTTTTCATGACAATGTACATGTAGCCTATTTAATTATATTGTGGTCTGACAAAATCTGATTAGGGGGCCTAGGCCTGCCTACCGTTTATTTTTTTTGGGTGACTTGTCGACATGAATCACATGGCCTGGGTGATCCACATTTTTTATTTGTTAGCCACATTATTGCGGTTGCGTACAACAAGTCTATGGAGAGTCAAGAAAATATTTTTGTAACAAATTTGGAAATGTTTCTCAGTCCCAAATTTATGTCTTATCATAATTTTTGCAATGACTGACCTTCATTGCATGATCATGATGATATAGAAAAAAGTGGCGTCAGGTTGCAACATTTTTTTCTGAAACAAGTGCTTAGTGAAGTCATCTTACTCGCTCTGAAAAAAGTCTACTGAATAATATGACTTTATTGTGTAGCTTTTTTGAAATAGTGGGAAAGAAGGTAGTAATTAGTATTCCTGACGCCACTTTGGTTGTGTACAAATACAATAAAAATACTGCAAAGTCTATGGAGAGTCGAGTGCATTTTCAAAGTATTTTCTAACAACATTGGAAATGTTTCTCAGTCCCAGATTCAAGTTGTTTCAACATTTCTGCAATGACTGACATTCATTGAGATAATATATGATGAAAAAAGTGGCGTCAGGGGGCAACATTCTTTCCTTAACTTGACAATTTCTAACTAAAGACTGCTCAAAAAAATATTAATGGTTGGAATTTTGTTTTAGGATATGGTCGTATCGTCCTGGCTCTGATTTCCTTCTATTACATGCGGACTGACTACATCACGGCCACTTGGTGTTATCTGCTGAGTGGTTTATTGGATGCATTCGATGGTCATGCCGCAAGGATGCTCAACCAAGGTCAGTTTGCCATCCCTGCCCCCCCCCCCCCCCCCCCACCCTCCCCCCCCCCCCCCCCCCCAGGTGCCCCACCCTCCCTGCTCTGCAAAATTTTGTAAAATTGCAGTTGTTGATGTAATGCAGTACCTGCTACTACTAGTGCTAGATTGGTTTCGAACCCGCAAGCTGAACCTGGCGTTGCCTGGCAAGCTCAGTGGTTGAACAGTTGAGACTCCTGCTCTAGTATAGTAAGCAGGAAGTCCTGGGTTCGAGTCCAACCTAACAGGGCTTGTGAAATGTGTATCACAAGCTTGCCTCAGAAGCTTTAGTTAAATTACATGTACATTTGTGAGGAATGACACCCAATAGTAAAATTAAAGCTCAAAGCTTCCTCAGTAGAACTGTGTCCACTCAAAATTGAATCTACAGTAACGTATTCAAATTGGAGTAGTACAATGTATTTATATATAAATAGGAAAAAAATAACATTTCTTGCACATGTCTTTATCTTGTTGAATACAGGGACCAAGTTTGGAGCGATGCTGGACCAGTTGACAGACCGATGCGCAACCATGTGTCTCCTAGTGACCTTGTCAGTCTTGTACCCTGACTACATGTTCTGGTTTCAGCTCAGTATGACAATTGACATTGCAAGCCATTGGCTCCATCTTCATAGGTAATTGACACTCTGGATTCCTCCATTAGCCCTGCCCATCTTGACCAAATATGACCAGTTAGAGTAGTCACCTGACCAAAAGTCTTGAACTGATTGGTCAGTGCATATTGATTGACAGGTAGAAGGGTCCATTATTTTTTTTAATAGTTAAATCTTTCTGGTCTAGTAATGAAACCAAGAAATCCTCAAAAGTGTTCTGCACTGTAGCCAAAGCCTAACAAAGAAACCTATCGAGAGTGGGATGTAGTCCAGTCTACCACAAGTCCAGTCAAAAGTAAATCACAAGTCCTTTCACAAGTCCAGTCATAACAATATTGTGGAGGACCAATAGCAGAGGAATGCCTTTGTCAAAGCTCATTTGAATAGCTTGTGAGTTGAGTTGGGACTGGAGGACTTGTGGTGGACTTGCAGGGACTTGTGATGGACTCGACTACATCCCGGATCAAGAGAAACAGTGAAAAAGTATTAAGTGTTAGAAGTGGGAGGCAAAGTCCAGAAAGCATATCACTTGCTGCCCTGAGTGGGGTTCGAACCCGGCTCACAGTAACAGATTTCATTTTAACTGAATGACAGAGACCTCCTTGTTCCATTGATGTGAATCATCTTTATAATGTCACAAAAGTCTGACATGGTTTTGTATGACTTTGATTTTACTTATTCTGCAAAGGTTGATATTAACTTTGAGTTGTATTTTTTGTTTATAGTTCCAGCATGAAGGGGATTTCCAATCATAAACTGATTGACATGTCTGGCAACCCCATCCTGCGCATCTACTACACCTCACGAGTAAGTTTTGTTTTATAAAAAAAAATTACTTTCTTTTTGAAAAATTGCAAAAGAAACATTAGAATTAAAAAGCATTAACCCATTAGCACCTGTACTTACATTGTATTACATTGTATTACATTGTATTACATTGTATTACATTGTATTTATCCCCTCAGGAATCTATAAACTCATAGAGTGTTCTCTATGAGTTTATAGACCACTCCAGTGGTCAGGCAGTTTGGAGTGGTACAGATCAAAGGTGGTTCAGGCTCAGTCCTGGATAAACTACATTCAGGAAAACCTTTATTCACAGTTTTGATAATGAAGCCGGGATATGTTCTTGCTTTACTTTTTCCCTAGCCGGTGCTGTTTTTCATGTGTGCTGGGAATGAGCTGTTCTACAGCATGTTGTACCTGCTGTATTTCACCGAAGGTCCCCTGAGTAAGTACACTGAACTCTCTCTGGCTTGTTGCTCCTCTTAGAGTGCTACCAAATTACTCGTGTGTATCAACATCAAATTGCACAGGGACATGGTGTACATGCTCTGTTACTGGTACAGTAATCTGGCACTATGGACTTTGTACCTCTAAACATTTACTAAGAGAAAATTCACTGGACATTTTGAATGCATTGCTACCATATTCTGGTGCTGAGGCTGAGGCTAAGTTCATGCACTTTGATGTGATAAAAACTCAATTTTAGCCCTAACTCCTTAGGGGGTGTGAAAATAATATTTAAATTGAAGGCTTCAGGACTGATAATGCCATACAATTGCTCATACACAGGGTCCATATCACAGTATCACAATTGATGCATTGATCACCATGCTCTGCACATTAATATTATCAAAGTTGAATACAAGTAAAACTCCTCTCAACTTTCTGAAAGCTGTCGGCAAAATAAAAGGATCTTGGATGAACTTCCTGCATGCTTGGTAAAACCTACCAGATACTCCTAGATACTTCAATATATTTGCTGTTTGAAAAGTGCCCAGTGTTTACTGTATGGATGGACCTCCTGGTATATACCCTAGTTCATTTGAAGTATTGGATCTGTACGTGAGCCATTGAGGGCGCTGTTGTGGATGTACAACACAGCATGGTGCTGAAGTGCCCTCACTTGTTAGTACTGTCAACACTTTTCATTGCCAGAGGTTCAATCTATGCACAAATGGTTTATTGTGAATTCCTGTCTCATTGTTTTCGCCTGCAGTTCCCATTGTGTCGGTCAGCATCTTCCGTCTGATCCTCATCGTCTCGGCACCAGTCTCTCTTGTCAAGACAGGCATCAGTCTCCTCCATCTGGTCACCGCCTCTCAGAACATGGCTATCATTGACGTCAGTGAGAGAGAAGAGAAAGCTAAGAGCCAAAAAGATTGAGATGAAATTACAGGACAGATCAAAGGTCAATGACGGATAGGGTCAAAGGTCACAAGGTATTAAAGGACCAATATCTCCTGGCATCCTTCCCTCTAGGTAACATATTGCTATGAGGACAGGTCCCATTCTTAAAGAGGGGTGTATGCAGGTTGGGCCATCTAATCAAGCATTAATAAGCTGTCATCTTTAAGCTTATGCTTAATGTATAAGTGTTAATGCAAAATGTAGAACTACAAGAAAAAGACATATTATAAAAAATAATGAATGGTTATGAGTCCAATGATAGGAATAATTTCTTGAGTTGACAGATGGAATGGAATCTAATGGAACATTCCGTCTGTCACCTCATGAAATTATTCTTTCCATTGCATGAATGTGAAACAGTCATTATTTGTGTTTACAATGCTTGAATAAATCCTTGTCATCTGATTGGTTACTTGTAAATTGGTACACTATAAATGTACAGCATCGGAGTGCAACCAGTAGTGTGGCCATGCAATGACAGTCATATGGAACTTCTTTTTTAAGGTGTGGCCCCGCAGTGCATTGGGATGAATAATTCAGTGACATGCGATCAACAATCCACCAATCAGGCGACAGAGATTTATCTAAGTGTTGTATAAACAACTCATTGAGGACCACTAGAGTTAGAAAGTAATCGATTGTACCACAATCTAACGTCTTAAATCCTCTTAGGTGTTTATTTAACACCAAATAAAATATTACACCATATAAATCTTGTTATAACCTTGCCATGTAATGACAAATGCCTTGATGTGTTGTGCTAAATATGCACGTAATATAGATAGTACTAATGGCTACAGGTAATGTAATGATTGTGCCACTGGTTATATTATGTGTAATCTCAATATGTGTTTTAATACTGGATATACTTCAAGGGAATATACAACATTTGCAAACATAAAAAAAAAAAAAATACCAAATTATTATAAAATACCTTACTGGAGTGTTAGTGAATGACAGTCTAAAGCATCCTGTAAAATCATGGCACCCAGTGTGCTGTCATTTTCACGAAAACTGGTATTTTTGTATCAATTTCCAACACTTTAGTGGTCAGCCAACCAGCAGTGGAAAAAACTGGCCTTTTTCAAATACTGCCCCAATTTATATTTAATCCACATTTTGTTTGCAATCGATTACACACCTAACGGTATGAACGGGTACAAGCCAGCTAAACTGGTTCCCTGACCTTACAATTACCCAACATCTATAAATTGCTCTGTTTCATTTTAAGTGGGATCAGGGAACTAGACCACAGGACCCTCATTGTTTTTATTGCTTTTTACAGCATATACATGTACAAACACAAAACTTCAAACAAGTCAGTGTAACAATATTTTGCTATAAAATACTAACCTCCAAATCCATCCATTTCTGAAAATGACAGCCAAAGCAAATGTTGTCTATATTCCCTTTAACACAGTGTGTATTCTAGTATCATCCCAGTGGGGTGGGTGGAACACAGAATAGTGTAGTGCACCTGTGTATACTGTACATTGTTCCTGTTGGTACATTTTGTGTTGAGTGCACTACATATGACATCAATCAATGGTTACACTTTGTTTTAAATTATTTATACTGTTATGAAGTCAGTATACTAGTGGATATATTTGTGTAATGTACATTATATTCCTGTGGGTCTATTTTTTGTAATATAGATTATACTAGTCAATCTTTTGCGTATGAACCACTGGTTAGTTTTTACACAGGGCCCATAGTAAATTCCGGTCACAGTTGCACCATGTAGAAAAAAAATTGGTTTTTTTTCCTATGAGGTTTATGAGGTTGCGAAAAGAACTGTGAGAAACTCAAAAGAAAAAAAGGAATTTTGAAGTTGAAGGAAACCATAGGGAACAATAGATACAGGTGAAATCCACACCAGTAGGAATCTAACCCAGGCCAGCAGAGGTGTTATGAAAAGGGTCGTTTTGTTGTGTTTAGATTCAATGGCATGTTCACCATTTACAAATGCATGACAACTCTAGTATCTTACATATTTTTTTTCTATAAATTTTTAAAGTAACCAAAACTTGCCTTCATTTATTTTAAAACAAGTACAAGGCAAGCTTAGTAAAGCTGGTCCCAGGGTGCATACAATTCCATCCAATTGATTATTTTATTATTTTTATTTAGAAAGTAGTTCATTTCACTGTTACCTCACAGCCTGAAGGCTGAATTGTGGGCAGATTTACATTAAAAACATGAACAATTTAGACATGTAAAAATGTTATGCATAAAAGGGTTACAACCAGTAGAAAACACTATAATGAAAGTCACTTTGTTATGTAATCTGTAACAAGAAAACCACAAGTTGGTTGTGGGTCATTCGGACAAAATTCCATACTGGGCCACCACTCATATTCCCTAATATGACCTGATGAAAACCAAAAGTTGTAAATCTGATGAAGAAACACCATTTAAAGGGTGCAAAATTTCTTAGTTAATACTAACTTTTTCTGTCATGGCCCATAGACTTTGTGCAGGAGGAGTCTGAGTGGTGGTCCAGTATGGAATTTTTTTCCCGTCATTCTATAAATTTGGGGTCCGTAAGTGTGACATTTTGATGTCCCTGTTACACCCGACCTGTGTGTAATTTGACATGAATCATTGAAATTGACTTCAAACTATTCTAAATTGTTTAGTAGGTAATTAACATTACATCATCACTCTTGGAGGTTAGAAGGTATGAAAACATGTGATCTGAATTTACACAATCGGATGTCAGATGTAACAGGGACACCAACAAAATTGGACCCCGAATTTTAAGTTATAGAATTACCTTTGTTTTCGCTAGATATGTTGATATATGCTACTTCAGTTATTTAAAAAAAAAACTGTTTTATGACTTATTAATTAATTAATGTGTTTTTATTTATTGCAATACTGTATGAACTGTATGTGATGTTGTAAAAAAAAGTTGTAAGAATATTACAAGTTCATAGATAAAAATAAAACATGATTAATTGAGTTTGATCATTTTGCACTAAAGTGCTGTCATCTTCACAAGTTGATGCAAGTTGTGATTTTGTCTAGTTGTTTTGTTGGATCTCTTAATTCACTATCAATATTTGTTGCAAAATATTTAAGTGAAGCATAACATCCAGTGTTATAGATATTGATGTTAAAAAAAGGCTAAAATTGACAAGTGGTGGTAAGAAGATATTATAGAAGAGTATTTTTATTATTTTTATTCTCTATTTTTTTTAGCGAAGATATTCTTGTGATTGAAAATTAATGGAAGCTGTTGATGCAACTGTAATTAGTTGGTGTTTTAGGACATGTACAGTGATTCGAAGTCCTCGTCTGTTATGTTGTAAAAGTGAAAATATAATAATAAAAAAAAGGAAACAATAGTGCCCAATGTTGTTGAGGTGAAAAATTTGTCTTAAATTTCCGCATCTTTTGTATTGCACCACCCCAAAAAGAATTGGGGATAAAAAACTTCGTTTTATGGAACTGTGAAACTGGCACACTCAGAAGACTGAAACACGTCTAACAATCCGTTGTTTACTTTCTGAAATATATCGGCAGAGGGCGTCTGTCAAATCTTTATAAACTTATTTTGGCATGTGATCTTGTGGCATTTGTGCGTTGTGAACTATGGAGAATCTGTGCAATTTTTCGTGCTGTTTTGACGTGAAGAAAGATATTTCGGGTTTCATTAATACTCTTAGAAGTCCAGAGGCAGCAGCCAACAACAGTAGTGATGGAAATGCAAAGCGTAAGATTGTTTATTTTGAAACAATATAAAACAACTTTTAACAAGCAACAAGTGAATGAATGGGAAAATTGGGACAATTTCCGGAGGGGGTGGGGAGGGGATGTGGGGGGGGGGGGGGTGTCAGTTTCCTTTTTTTCTTCATATATCGTCTCAATGAAGGTCATTCATTGCAAAAATGATGATAAGACATGAATCTGTGAATCTGGGACTGAGAAACATTTCCAATTTTGTTAGGAAATACTTAGACAATTTTATTGACTCTGCATAGACTTTGTACACAATCGCGGAAGTGGCGTCAGGTTGCAACATATTTCCCAGGGTGTGCCTAATGGGTGACACTGTCCAGTTTTGAAGTAATATTTGCCATTTGATTTGTAATTCTGTAATTGCAGGTAAGAAAGACAAGTCTGAGCTGGATGTACGAATCATCGGACAGGAACGATTCAATGAAGTCTTGTATGTCTGGGATGACGTATCATCGTTCTCCAATAAGGCAGTTACTCATGTCGGACTGTACGACCCGGCCAAGCAGAAAAACTCAGTAAGTTAGGAATCTGGTATTTAGCGGCAAACATTTTAGTTTTCCACCTCCTTCTGGGCTTCTTCTCCTGTACAGTTCATTTTTTATTTCAGTTCATTTTTATAACTTCTTTTTTTTCTCCACATTTTCCTTTGGCTCAATATCATGAATGTTAACTTGTTTATTTATCATTTTGTCAATTCGAAGTCTTGAAAAAATATTAATGCTTGGAAGAAACGGCCTTCAAAAATGTAATCAGCTATGGAATAATCATATATGTTTATGGTGTTGATAATCCTGACCGTGTTTCATTGCAAACAGTGATTAACAATGTTTAACAACATTTAAAAGAACATTTTCTTTTTGATTAATGAACACAATGAAAATATTGCAACCATCAAGTCAGCTTTTTAAGTAATTTTTCACGTAGCTGTAAGTTTTCACGAACCTTATAGAAAGACCAATTGAAGTTGCTGTGGCAGAAAACTGTCAAATTTGTTCAAACCTCCAAACAAAATGTCAAACAAACATGTTAATTTACCAGAATTTCGCTCACCAAGATCACAGAAAATTTACTCTGCCGTCTGTCGTTCTTAGCTGTCAACTGAGGGCGCTGTGCTCTCAACCAAATTGCACATGCACATAGCACCCTCAGTCAACAGCTAACGATGACAGACGGCAGAGTAACTGTCTGTGATCTTGGTGAGCGAAATTCTGGTTGATTTCACGTTTTTGTATGACTCTCCACCCTAGAGGTAACTAACCATACCAAAATAATGCCTGTGAAATACTGGGGCCAAACATTTTGTGACAGGAGAGTTTGGAGGTTTGAAAAGTTGACAATATTCCACCACAGCAACTTCAGTTGCTCTATCTGTATTAAAGATTTGTAAAAACCATTTTACAGTTCTGGAAGTAGAATCAAGTCATTTTTTTTTTTTTTTCATCCCTTCTCCAGGTCCTGTTTGTTCATGAGAAAAAGCTGAATATCATCAGTTGCACAATGAACCAGGAACGCAGCATGATTGCCTACGTGACTCTAGAGGGACCAAGTAAAAGTGACTCGTACAAGGATTCTACCAAACAGAAGACAAAGACAAAAATATCACCATTTGTAGGTAAAAGAAATGAAGCATTATGCTGTCACATTTAGGCCACAAATAATATTTTATGATTAGAGCCAGGCCTCCTTCAAATGATTCCATTTGTGTGAGACCCTACAAATATAAAAAAAACATTGTGTGTGATGTTTGCAAAATCCAGTAGAATCCAACAGTTGAAAGAAAGTCTTCTTCAGTATCAGGTTTTGCCCTAAACCGATGTAATTTCAATAACAATGTTAACTCAGTGTTTTCCAAGGGCTTGCGAGTAAAAGAAATATGACAAGCTTGAGTGGGACTCAAACCCATGACCTCATGTTTACTTGTGCAGACGTCTTACCACTTGACCATTGAGCTTGCCAGGGTCAGCTGGCTTATTAAATTGATGTCCAGATAAAAGTATAGCGCATTTAAAATTGTTGATTTTCTTTTTAACAATGAAAGTCTACAGAGCATTCCTAGCGGAGATCTTCCCTCAGCATCGCATCTTTGACCTCAACGTTGAGAGGCGGAATCTCCTAAGAGTTCAGTTTCTGTGGAATCGTCAGCCCAAGGATCGAGACTCAGCAAACCGAGAGTCCAAACTTCTCTTTCTGCTGCACAAAGAATGTAAGACAATAAAATGCACAAGGGTGCTGGGATGGTTAACCATAATATGACTCACTCTGACCCCAAATCTGGTCGAGTATATGTGAACATTAAAGGCCATACAACAAAGGTTGCTCACATGTTATCCTTAGTCGTGTATTTCTCGATGTATAACATGGAGCTAGGACCAGAAAGTTTCTCGATAAGTCTACCATAGTTTGATTTAGATGTTAATAGCATGCAGGTGCAAGAATTATCACTCATCTAACGGTAGTCAACCGTGGTCCGTGATTGATCTTCTCTGTGCGCTACAAACAACTTTAATATTTCAATATTGGGTTTTGCCATTCGCCGATGCATTTATCAGCACTGTATATTCATTGTTGTCTCAAGTGATTGTGTGAAAAAAAATCACACTAGTGGGACTCGAACCCACGACCTCCTGCAATTACTAGTGCAGATGTCTTACCACTCAACCACTGTAATAATTGAAATTCTTGATTTGTTTTGGAATCCCAAACAAACTGCTGAGTGCTAATTCACAGATTGTTTGAAGAAATTTAACAGAATCATGATTCAGTATAAACATGATCAAGATGCTTCAGAACACAACACTTGTTTTAACCCTAATCTGCAATGAATTTGGGGTGAAATGAAATGCTACAAAACATTGAATTTCTGTGCACTAGTTGACTTTAGTACAGCATACTACAATTAGCTAGTCATACCATCAATGACTGGCATTGGGTATTTGATACTACGTTTGATTGCAGTCACATAAGCATCTCAATCAGATATAAAACACATCATGTGATGCATAGCAATTTTTTAAATAACTCTCAAAATGTTGTATTGTTGACTTTGAAGACTTATTCTTGTTCTTCTAGCAATTGGTCTTTACAGCCTTCCTCTTGCGCGAATGGGAAACAAAGGAGTGGTGAGTTTTTCAATAAAATTCAAATTGCCTTTAGGTCAAACTCAGATATAATGAATGCTTACATGTACCTGAACACATCTATTTAAATTGAAATCCAAGTACTTAACGGAAAGTGATTTGTTTTTGCAAAGTCAAACATGATTGCGCTAAGAACATGGATTCTTTTAGTAGCTCTATGAATCTTTCTTGTTCAATTGATGTTATTTTTCTTTGATGCTATCAGATGATGAGTGGCCCGCCAGACACCTTACAAGTCTTGAAACAATTCATCTGGGCTCAATGGGATGTCGTCAACCAACGACTCTTTGTCGTCTTGATGAAGTCATGGCCGGGTAACGAGAAATTGGTACCCATCATGCGATGCCTTGAGTTCAACAGTAAAACATCCCCGGTCACCAAAATAGTAAGTTTTTTTTTTTAATTTTTCCACTTTTTTTTTTTCGGCGTTTTGGGGTGGCAGGTTAACTAGTTTACATCGGATGACTTGTATACATGCAAAAGTTTTGTGGTATTCGGAATGGATGACAGATAAACGCGCAACGAGCGAGGCCGGAAAAATCTGTCAGCAACCCACTCGCAGCAAGCAGGACCAGAAATATCAGGGTGTGCTACCAGCAGATGACGGCCTGAACCCGTCTGGCATCAAGGGTCGTGAAAAACAATCAAGCTCCTGGGTACGGTCAATGTCAAAATAATCCCGGCACGAACTGGTTAAAACTTTGAATACCACAGAAATCGTCCGTTTTTGCAAGACAGCTTACAACAAGAGTAAAATGGAAATTTTGTTCAACTTTTTTAATGTTATTCTCTTTTCTCACTGTCTTTATTCTTAGTTGGAGTTGGTGTTGCCTTTCCCAATCAAATTCAGTGCAGGAAAGTAAGTGACAAATGAATTGAATGGTAACACTTTTGTCTGTTGTCTAGCGGTCTACTTAATTAAGCAAGCCCAGCATTTATAAGATATGAAGCATGTAAAACCTTGCAACGTTCCAACAAAAGTTTTAAAAATACTTTAATGCTCAATAAGCTGATTGAGCAAATCTTGCTCATTCTTGGTACTTGTATATTTCATAGAAGGTTAATTTATCATTATTGTTCATATTTCAGAGAGCAATATTCTGATGTAACACCAAGCAGAACTATGTCAGGTAAGCCACCTCTTGAAAGATACAGATTTAATGATGAAATACTGAACTGGTGTGAAAGACCGAACTTTTCTGTTAAATTTGACCTGAAATGTGTTTATTTATTTTCATTTCCAGAAAGTTCTTTCAACATGGAGGTCATAGTTCAAGCCGGTGGCTCTTTCTGCGTCTGTTATCAGCATCCCACCAAACCTAAAGTCAAGACCCCGCCCACCCACAAATCATATCCCAAAATATCAACAGTCCACACCTCGGAACGGCTCAGTACAGACAGTGACACTGACTCCCTTGCCGACAGTGTGGAGCAGTCTTCTAGTTTGCCCTCACAGATGGATCTACGTGACCCTCCTCAACCTGACACGAGACGTAGAGCCATCTCAGACATCTCCAGCTTTTCCCCTTCAGCGCCGTACATCAAAGAAGAAACCCTCCACAACGCTGAAAATCTTGAGCTCTCAAGTGATTTATCTTCAATCACTTCATCCACTGAAGTCGTCCACCACCCGTTACACCTAGACATCCACAGGGCAACCCAGCACACCCAGTCACCCCGTGAGAGCCCCAGGACACCCAGTAGTGCCTTCTCATCACCAATGATGTGGGGTGAAAGGGAGCTCCCCTCCCCACTCCCCAATGCTGAGAAGCAAGACTTGGTTGATCTGAACTACTCGGTGCTCATCCTGCATCACATGACCGTCTTGCATTGCAGCGTGCCTCAGATACCGCGGGCCTTAGCCGAAAGCACCAAACTTTATTTCACCTGTCTGGGTAAGAGACAATGAACATCCAGCAATTTTTTTAATTTATTTTTCATAAATTTGTACGACAGTTTACCCATTCCTATTGGTCGAGAGACCGTCACATGGCCAGTCTTAAACGGATGATAAAGACATGGCTAGCTGGTCTTAAACACTTTTCCGGTGTCACATGAAATTATGACTGCTAAAAACCCAGTGCCTCTTACCATTTTATTGGTTGAACGTTCACAATCCTCACGTAGGCATACGCAATATATTAATACAACCAGTAAGTCAGAATTTTATAGTCCTAAATTCACAACGCAACGCCCCAGGTGCATTCTGTGCGACATCGTGCAGTACGCAAAAAAAACATGAATTGAACTTGTTGAACACAATCCCTTTTTTTTTGACTGAAAAGTTTAGATTTTTTTGACCAAAAAGGTATTTATTAATGGGAACAAATATGTGCTTGGTGGGTATTAAACACTCTGTTTAAAACCGCTTGGAGTCTGGGTGCTGATAATTACCCGAGCCGAAATTATCAGCACCCAGACACCAAGCTGTCTTAAACAGAGTGATTAACACTGACCAAGCACATGTTTATTCTCTTATTAATTATTTCTGGTAATTAAACCAAGGATTCCTCAGAAGCTCACAGGCTAGGCACTGTAGCTCGCAAGCCTGAAGAAACCTATAGAGGGAAACAATCAGAATAAAGCAATTACAGTTTAGAGGCGGGAGAAAAACCCAGAAGAATATTCTGGGGAAACCCACGGAATCAGGTAGGGACTGAAAACCCAATCCACATGTGGACCAGGGCAGGAATCGAACCCAGGTCACAACGGTGGAAGGCAAGGACCACTGTGCCAACTTGACCCCAGCAAGTTTGTTTTGAAAAGAAAGCTCTAGGTATTTAAAAGCGTCATTTTTCAACTTGTGTTCAAATTGAGTTGACATTGAGATTCCACATACTTTAAGCTCTACCTGGGATATCTGTGTGTGACATAACTAGGGGCATGATTTTTATTGAAGAGAAACGGGTAAAATACTTGCTGTCCCATCTACCATCGGCCTTCATTCTCCATATTTGACACATTGCATCATCAGTTACCTTCAAAAGGTTTTATCCTCTTCGCTGAAAAATAACCACTTAACACTCCATTGTGCAAGGTACAAAGAGTTACAATGCACAGAGTAGAATTTGGAGAAGGGGTTACATACAGTTTTAGGAATTTATGAGACATTGCTTTAAATGTCGCTACTCACTTAACCAAGCTTTTCATGTGGATGTTTCAGCATCAATGTTCATGCAATTTCTGATTGGCATTCATTTCTCAGGAAGCTACATTCTAGTTTACTCACCCGGTCACATGTTGCATCTTCTCAACGTGAGCCCAGAGATCGTCCCATGCCTACACATTGCCTTCCATGGACCGTCCGTCCCAGTCAACCCGGTCATAGAGAACAATGGTGAAGGGAGCAGTGCATTCTGGGATAGCTCCAAAGGCTGCCAGATTCTGACGCACTTCAACCGGGAGAGAACAGGCAGCATGAGTGGTGAGTGAAGCCTTCTGAATTGCGTAGTTTGTGGTAATAGCTTCAGTTTTTGCAATAGATGCTGATTAGCCATAAAGAACACTGCCTGTTTCAATTATGTCCTCAATTGAATGTTCAATAATCATGAGATTTTTGAAGGCACATTTTATGCAAAAAAAATAATTTTTGGATGGTACACGGTAGGCTTAGCCGCATTTCAAGTGATTTGTTTCCTTTTAAAGTTGAACAAAGCAATTGACTAAAGCAGGGTTTGAACCTGCGACCTCTGGATTGCCGCTCCATTGCTGTACCAACTGAGCTATCCAGGCCTATGATGGCGGTTCCCAATTTTGTCATTGTCTGTTCAAGGCCCGCTAGTGAGAAAATGGGAACCACCAACATAGGGCTGGATGGCTCAGTTGGTAGATCACTGAAATGGCAATCAGGAGGTTGCAGGTTCAAACCCCTCTCCAGACAATTTCTGTTTTCAACTTCAAATTTATTGTAATGCATCTAGTCAATTTCCCATAGTGGTTTGGTGGATTTGTTTCATTTATTTTTGTTTTAAGACTAGAGTTTCGTTCAGTATATTTGGGAATTCCTTTTGAGTCTTGCAGTTGTATATTTTTGAGCTACCGGGTCTCTTATAAGATTTTCCTGGAAAAATTATGACCATTCACATAGAAAAATAATCTTTGTGGTTCGTATCATTTAGGTGATTGCATCTTCAATGCAGCAACAGGCAAGGTTTTCCGTGTGAGCATCAACAAGGATGTCATCCCAAGACTCCTCATCCAAGCTAACTGTCATTCCGTCAAGTTGGCTCTGATCCATCTCATCACTGTACACATCAGAGACTCAGTGCTGATACAGAAGGTCTGGTTCAGTCTTAAAGTTGCAATTTGAGAAACCTGTTGATTCTCATTAAAGGAGGCCTATAAAAACTTTGTTCCAGATATTGTATTTTAAATAGACACTTATTGTATTTTACGTAGATACCGTTTTCTAGTGTACCCAGGAATTTCCTACTTCACTAATGGGCAATGTCTTCTGTCCTGAATGATTTCTAACTTGAGAATTTCATTTTGTATTTCCCAGACAAAAATCTGATTTTGCTATATCATGATTCCAAGGCAATCCTTGTTTATCGTGATGCCAGTAGCCTCTGATTCCAAACCCAAATTATGTGACACAGCGATGTTTACTGGCATCTGCCTGGTATCAAACTTCAGCTCTCCTGATTAATTTGGTTCTTTTCAACATATTTTGTTTCGTTCTAGCCCTTTGCAAAGAGTGGATTTAATTGACTTGTTACGTTAAAATCGCGTTAGAATCGTGCCAACGCAGCTTGTTAAATATTGTCCAATTACATGATATGCGAATGGACGCGGAACGGGCAAATCTGAGACAAACTAAATTTAGTGTACAAAAACTCCATAGGGTTGTCTGAGGGGCGTGGCTAACTCCCAAACGGCGATAGGTCAATAGCCTTGCATGGAGCGATTTCCATAATAAAATTTAAAAATCAGTGCTGAATGTAGCTATGTTTTAATAAGTGAGGTCTCTGAAATTTGTGTACAAACTGAAGAAAACATCACATTCATTGATTGAATCTAGCAACTTACTTCAACCTAAAAAATTTAGATTGTAAAAATGTAAAGTTCATTTATGTGTTAAAAATGTAAAGTTGATTTATGTAATAACCTGAGATTCACGTTTGTTTGTACCCCTAGATGGCATACGTAGTACAGTGCATTCATTTGCTAAAAGAAATGTGGGCTATTTAAACACATGAACTACTCATCAGTCTATTTCACCAATACGTTATAATGCTTTTCTTCAGTTTATGAAGGAGTTATCTATGGACGTCACCAATCTAGACTTGTCTGAGTTGATGGCTGAGCATTTGATGGGAGCTACGTTCAGCGCTATCAGGAGACAGTTTGATAGAGACACGCTACGTCTTCTGCAGTTCACTAACACGGATACTACAAGAGGACAGTTGGTTGAGGTATGAATTAAGAAACCTTGCACCATGAGGCTACATTTTCTTTTAATGTTATTGGTGGCTAGTGTGTGAAGCTCTTGCCTCTCTCCAGCGTGGCCCAGAATCGATTCCCATCTCTGACCATATGTGAGTACAGTTGTGTGTTGATTCACTTCTGTGCCACAAGGGTTTTTTTCTCTGGGCTCTCTGGTTTTCCTCCCTCCGCAAAAATCAAATACTTTCAATCTCTGGCTGTGCTCCGTGGTCATATATGTGTCGTGTGGCTAGCTGCCAAAGGCACCTTTACGTGCCTGCGGCTCAACCACGTTGTAGCCGCGTCCTTCGCAATTCAGCTTCTGCTGCGAGTAAGGATGATTAGCCTCCCAAATTATACGTGTAATGGTACCACTAAGGAGACACGTTAGCGTAATTTCTTCGCACGATGGGAGACATCGGTCATTGGGGAGACATTTTTATGTCTCCCTAATGTCACAGCCCCCTTTAGAAGCAAAATGTTACTGTCACAATTAGGTTATATTTGTTGCTCGTGGTCTAATTAGTAAACATACTGAAAATTGTGGAAAAAGGACAAGGGAATATTGGGTTAGGGCACATTTATGTTTGAAAAATTTTGTGCACAAGTCTATGGGGATGTCTCCTAAATGTCCAGTCCAGGATAATTATTATTGTTATAATTATTATAATCTTTCCATTGACGGGTGTTTGCAATGTTGTAGATGAGGTACTTGTGATTGATGAGGTACAAGTCAATCATAAATCATCCAGTCTCAAGTCAACTCTCATGCTGTAAAATAATCTGTGAGAAAGTGGGGTTATTTTTGTTCACGTTACTGTGACTGGACTTGTGATTTACTTGTGACTGGACTTGTGGTATACTTGTGATCCATCACAAACACCTGCACTACCACACTTGTTGATTGGGAAGGTTCAAGGCTTCTTTATTCTTGGAATGCTTAGAAAATTCCACTAGTACATCTTCTGAAATTTGGAAAGTATGTTCTTCTGTGGGGCGACACTTTCCTTATCAAGAGTTTGTCTTGGTAATTTTTGAGTGAGCTGTATATGAAGAGTCTGGACGTAAGACTTTTTAACTCGAGACAAAGCCTTCAAGTGGCAGATTTGAATTTGATGTCTTGTTAATTTTCTTGTGTCCTTAAGTAAGCTATTCTATCATGATTTGCTTTTTCCACCCTGTTTTGAGAGGTGTCTGTTACAATAAAACTCTTTTTTTTAGTCATTGGTTAAAATCAGACTTGGTTAGGAATCGGTCCTGTGTGACCAGGGCTGAGTTGCTTTCAGTCTGCCAAAACAGTCATATATGGTTTGTCCTTTCCTTTTCTTTGTTTTGCTTTTAGACCACTGACGGAGAGAGACTGGTTAGCTTTAGACACGCTGGCTACAACACACAACCACAAGTAAATGTACACAAGGTATGTTCACATTGGAAACATGCAAACATCATCTGAGTGAAAGATGGAATTGGTGTCGGTTGATGTAAATTCAACATTCAGTTTTGCCATTCACTGTTGTATGAACACCGTATGTTCGGTGTATTACCCCAAAGTAAAAGTGAGAAAAAAATCACTCAGGTGGGACTCGAATTCACGACCTCCTGCTTTCAAGTGCAGACGTCTTACCACTTGACCACCGAGCTTGCTGGGATTGGCTGGCTGGTTCGAATTCCATCATATGAAGAGTTTCATTGCAGTACCCACTGCTTCATAGATTCGAACCAGCCAGCTTATCCCGGCAAGACGTCTGCACTAGAAAGCAGGAGGTCTGAGGTTTGAGGCCCACCTGAGTGATTTCTTCTCACTTTCAATGTAACCATTTCAACAAGGGGGATTCAGTCTTCAGGATTCAGTATTCAAAATAGAATGTTTAGGTTTTGGGTTCTGTCAAGTTTTTTATCACTAAAAATGCAGCCTAAAATTTCATAAATTTCTTTATATCGTTTGTTGGACTGATGTCATGTATTTGTTACTCTTTTTTGTGTGAAAAAGAAGCATTTGTAAAATGACCATAAAAGACATTTGTTGTAAGCAACTTGTGAAACCTGTGATAAAAAATATGAGTTTTATAGATAGCAATCATGAAATAGTGCAACTTGAAATTCTTTGTTGGGTTGTTATTTTTGAGAATTATTAATTTCATTTTCAAATCTGAGATGAGCATGATGACTCAATTTGTTTGTTTGATGTGGCCAATTTATACCAATCAGAGGGACTGGATGGAGCGACGTCTGACCATGGAAGTCAGCTCCAGTACCCTATGGGAGACATTGGAGCAGAGAGTCCGAGCACATAGCCTGCCATCCGATCCAACCATCGTCAGTAAACCACCACAACGGTTCCATCCACGTAGTATAGAACAAGAGATACGCAAGCAGAGAACCCAATCAGCAATTGGAGTAAGGGCCATGCTTAGTAGTAAATAATGCTTAACAGATTCCTGTGCTCAGCGAAAATTTGGCAGAGTACCAGTCAACAGTAGTATACATAAAATTAGATTTGGTTGGTAACCTTGTGTTCGCTAAATAAAGCTGTGCTATGCTTAGCAGAATTCTGTCTTAGCAGCTGCGTAAAATTCAGCCCAAAATGTCATATTGATTAAAGGTAGAGTAGATCATTTGTGCATTTGTTTCGTTTGAAGCAACAAAACTTCTCAAAATCTAAAGATCGGTGCTTGTCTTAGGTTGGTCTGACGAGGCAAGGACCATCCACCCAGCGCTCCTCCTTCTTCAAGAAGATGGCCGCCTCAGCGAGGCGAGCCATGACCCCAACTAAGAAATCAGTCATCACTATGCAGCCGGAGCGAGATAGCTCATTGGTGCTGATGGACGAAGACGCCTCACGGCCTGACAACAGCCAAGATGGTATCTTGAGCATGGTAAGGCCAACAGTAACAAGTAACAGGAGATGAAAGTTACAAAATGAACGTCTTCGTCACAGTTCATTTGAACAGATTGTGACTTGACTTGTGATGATTTGTGAGGACTTGCCTAAAGTGGAATCCGGTGACCAGAATTAGAAGCTTTTACTGCGGTGTTGTCACGCTCTCGCGCATACTGCGCGCATTCTTAAAGACGAGGCGCACATGCATTTTGGTATTTCTTTTGGTTGAAGGAGCACTGAGTGCATGTGTTCTACCTGTACTACCTGTTTTGAATTTTTTACCCATAAGGTATTTATGAATGGGAATGAATATGTGCTTGGCCGGTATTAAGCACTCTGTTTAAGACTGGTTGGAGTCTGTATGGTGATATTTACCCTGGCCTTGGGCTTGGGTTATTATCATTATCCAGACGCAACCGGTCCTAAACAGAGTATTTAAAACTGGCCAAGCACACCCCTTATTACATATTTACTGTATTGAATCTCCCCCAGACTTCAGAACGATTGACATCCCACCTTAGCTTATATTCAGCCAGCTCAGTAAGTCATGAGAAGATTCTCAACATGTCACAGGAATACGTCATGTGCCAGCTGCAGCAAGTCAGGCAGCTAGTTCTACTAATGTTGCACTCCTGTGGGTACCCAGACCCACGCACTATACCACGCAGCACCATCAGATTGTAAGTCAATATCTGGGTTTAGCGTAGCGATAATGTAAAGTAATTTTATTAAATTTAGACCTTGAGGGTTAAAAGTGCTCTACCATCTTATCATTCAACCACCAAGCTTGCCGGGGTCAGCTGGCTGGTTTGAATCCGAGCAAAGCATATATATTCTCAATGTTAAATAAAAATTGGAATTTTTGGTAATTGGTTGAACATGTAAGTCAAGATGTCATCTTGTTGGTTTCTAATTTTTGTTATAAGATAATAGGAGGCCTCCCAATTTTTTTAAAAACTTTGTTTGTCAAACTGTGAGACTGCCAGTAGGTTGAGCAGTACACTGGCACAGTATTCTGAAGATGAAGACTCAAGTACAGCTTAAGTATGTTTTTCTTGTTCTGCTTAAATGTGAAGAGTAGCGACTCCTCTACCCGAGATGAGGGCTTACAAGTGACTGAATTTCAAGTTGAATTTGTAACCAACGGAGTAATTCACTACATCTGTTGAACAACATCGACAAGTCTCTGTTGATCTCACTTTAAATATTTTGTTGTAGGAACACGAAGCCTCCGCCTATGGGATACCAACTCTTTCGTTTGCTGGAGAGATTCTACATGGCTGTGCAATCCCTCTGCTTCCCAGTGCCTCCTGGTAAGTATTAGCTCCTTGCACTCAACTCTAGAGGGCGCTGTTAGATGTAGATTCTACATGGCTGTGCAATCCCTCTGCTTCCCAGTGCCTCCTGGTAAGTATTAGCTCCTTGCACTCACTCTAGAGGGCGCTGTTAGATATAGATTCTACATGGCTGTGCAATCCCTCTGCTTCCCGGTACCTCCTGGTAAGTATTAGCTCCTCGCACTCACTCTAGAGGGCGCTGTTAGATGTAGATTCTACATGGCTGTGCAATCCCTCTGCTTCCCAGTGCCTCCTGGTAAATATTGGCTCCTTACACTCACTCTAGAGGGCGCTGTTAGATATAGATTCTACATGGCTGTGCAATCCCTCCGCTTCCCGGTACCTCCTGGTAAGTATTAGCTCCTTGCACACACTCTAGAGGGCGCTGTTAGATGTAGATTCTACATGGCTGTGCAATCCCTCTGCTTCCCAGTGCCTCCTGGTAAATATTGGCTCCTTACACTCACTCTAGAGGGCGCTTTTAGATATAGATTCTACATGGCTGTGCAATCCCTCTGCTTCCTAGTACCTCCTGGTAAGTATTGGCTGCTTGCACACACTCTAGAGGGCGCTGTTAGATATAGATTCTACATGGCTGTGCAATCCCTCTGCTTCCCAGTACTTACTGGTAAGTATTGGCTCCTTACACTCACTCTAGAGGGCGCTGTTAGATATAGATCTCCTCTAGCCTGTACGCATGCGCTCTGTCCATTTTGGGGGTCGTCTTATATTGAATGACCAGTGCGGCAGTCAATGCGTGCGTGGTATATACCGGACCACGCACGCATTTAGTTTGTTACTGTGCACGTACATACCGGTATGTATCGTGGTCTCCACTATCAATACCCCAAACATCATGATACAATTCCAGGATTAATTTGCTGGATTCAACTCAAGCATTAAGGGGACGATCCAAGGTAAATCGAAGCCAATTAGTGCAATGAATCATGTGCGCAAAAGACCATTCATGTAAGCCGGCAAAATGACGACTTACAGCAGATGTCGGCAATCGCTTAAGTTGTCACACATTCTCTGGTCCCGAGAGTGCCGACTTAGCCGGAGTTTACTGTACATTATTCAATGTTTCCCTCGCACTGGCTGGTGGGGTGACTAATAAAAGTCAGTGAAGGACACAACTTGTGCATGCTCCAGCTTGTGCACAAGTGTAATACATTGTTAACATTGACCAATGTCATGAACAAAAGTTAGTAGAGTGCTTATTCACAAGTATAATGTCAGTCTTCAGAAACAAAGGGCATACTGAATGATGAGGACATCTTTTGTTCTCTGTTGTCAGGTTTTCAGACGTTCTTCACAATCCAAGGCTTTCGTTGCTTGGAGCCGGCCATGTTCCTTCAGTACGTAGACCACGGCATCTTACGTCTTACTGAAGAGTTCATGACCCGGCTCATGCAAGAAGTGCCAGATGACACCGAAGAGCAAGTCAACATGAAGATCCAAATCCTGACAAGACTACCCAAGGTTGGTACTAAAGACACCGTAATAAATCTAGACCAGACCTTTGTTTATTCCAGTTGGCCCCACTTGACTGCTCATAGACAGTGATCTGTAAGGTTTGTAAGTTTCTGTGTAATTCCAACCAATCAAGCAACTCAGTTACATGTATTTGCCAGGACTGGGGTCAAAGCACGCAACGTAAAAGCATATAAATAAATAAATGTGGGGCTAATTGTCCGTAAAGCAGAAGCTAAATGGCGAAGGACGCAGCTACAATGCGGTCAAGCTAAAGGCATGTCCAGGTGCTGTAGACAGCAGCCATATGGCCTACATCTTTACCACAGAGCACAACCAGATCTAGAGCGTTGATTTTTGCATTCTAGGTGTTATGCAGTCTATGTGTTATTGTGATGTCTGTGGTTTGAATCTTAGATTAGAGATTGGAAAGAGGTTCAATGTCATGCTATCGGCTGATGTTGATGTTTAGGATAATGTTTTCAAGAGGCCCCTGATTAAACAGTAAAGCAACTAAAAATGTGATCCCCCACAAAATCTGGTCAAAGTTGGCAAATGTTGTTTTTTAGGTTTAGGCATTTTCAATTTCCTGAGGTTTTCTGTTTTTAAATGATACATGATTTTCATAGATACTGCAATGAGACGACATCATGCCTTGGAGAAAGCCAGCCAGTGATAAAAGCCTGACAACCTATTAATGAGATAAACAAGCATACTGAAATGCTTTTTGTGTTCATTAATCGACCAAAAAACACACTTCTGTTTAATGGATCATTTTCATTTGGGAGGTTGTAAATTTATACAATTTTTGATACAGAAAATCGTGAAACCTTAAAATGGTCAATTCCACCCCAAACTGACTTCTCGTGCCTTTTGTGCAAAATAACTTCTGCTACTCTCTCTGGTTTTTAGAAGATGTCATGTCTGAGAAGGCTTATCACGACACAGTCACCACTTCACCAGGCTAACCTTTGTACCGTTTTGTGGTTTGCAGGGTTCAGTGCAAGTGTTGCAACGTTGGAATCATCCAATCAGCATGGAGTATCTGGCTCAGCAGTACGTAGCTGAAACACTCAAAGAGGGTAAGTTTATGAGTTTACCACCACCCCCATACCACCCCCCCCCCCTCCCCAGCCATAAAATCACAATCTGTGAGAATTGAACATCTGATTGGCTGGATTGATGGCTGAAGGACTGCGGACAAGAATTGAGAACAGTCAGGGTTTCCAGCCACTCTGGAAATCAGAAAACCTTGAAAATCAGTTGAAAATCAGGGAAAACTCGGGGAATTTGACAGTGACCTTTAATACAGGAAAAGGTTTTTGCCAGTTTGGAATACGTGTGTCTTGTGCCATTAGGATAAGCTGATTGGTTGTGTCTGTTGTGAATGCTTCATCTCAAATTGCAAGGTACGACCTTCAAATTAATTTGAGCTTAGAAATGGGTGCAAATCACACCACAACAAACTGAGGTAACACACTGAGTATACAGTGTCTATACATCGGTGAAGGGCAAAACCTAGCTTGAATAACAACACAGGAGAATGAAGTTCACTGCACTGGAATTGATTCAAGCTTATTTAACTTTGTTCTGCAAGGCATAGCTAATAAACAACGAAAAGTTATTAGAATTAATTTGCCTGTTTCCATATTTGATACAAAGCATGTTGGTACTTCACACATTCTTCATTTCAAACTGAAATCATTCAATTTAAAAAAAACCCTGCAAATTACAACTTTGTATTTTCCTTCACATATGGCATACATGTATTTGGATCCTCTTCAAATGATAAGTGTTGATATACTTTCCTTGTTTATTATTAATTTGACAGAGGGTGTAAGAACGAGTGATTATAGGACTCGATCCTCAAGGAGTGCTTCTCAGAACTCACAAAGCTCAGGTAAAAGAAGGACTTGACATCTTAAAATGATATGATCTCAAAGAAGCCAAGATAAATTCCAATGTTTCAATTGATCAATAAAAGCTTACTGATCACAAGACAGAAAATCTCTTCCGTCCCACGGCACTTTAAACCTCAAAAATATTTACACTTAAAAGATTATTGCAGAGTATCGGCTTAGTTAATTGATTTTAAATCAAGAGGACATAAGTATTTCCTTAACTTTGCTGTAAATTTAGGCATGTCTGATGGGAGTCTAACAGGCATAGCATCCACCTTCCCACCATTGTCTACATTGCTAAGATTACTGGAAGCAAAAGGTAGGTTCCTCAATTTGAAGTAGATGTTCCTGGCAAGGGAGGGAGGATCCTGTTTTTAGTCCAGTTTTCTTGGATCATTTTGTCACATTGCACGTGCAGAGAACAACAGATGGCTTAGTGTGTTTACCACACAGATGAGCGCACACACTCTTGTTTTACTATACTCTCGAGGACAATGCTTTGTGTTTCCCTTTGTCCCTGTAATATAACTCTCTCCCATAGACTAAGCACACAAACTTACTACCGAGGACCATTTCCAACAAAAGACCCAACTCCCGAGGACTGAAAGGAACTGTTGTTCTCCTTTTGTGTGTTGGTCCTCAGGGGGGTTTAAGTAGAACACGTACTAGTGTGCAGTACACCTGCATGCACACAATAGAGGCAGATATGATGCAAAGTCTGTATGAATAGTATTCACCGCATAGAGTATAGGTAAAGAGTGGCAATGATGTTCAAGGATCATACATCTATATCTATCAACATTATCCCTAATATATCTCCCTAGGCATTTTTGCAAGGATGTAACCTCAATCCTGCAAAATCCTCCAACTGCCTGCATGTAAAAAATAGCATAAAGCCTCAATCCTCTAAAATCCACACTATTTCTTATATGTGCTCCTTGGAGGGGTGACCACTGCCTCAATCCTCTGGCAATCACTGTCAATATGTTGAGGCAGAGCCAGTGGCATCCTGGAGCAGTGCTGAGGATTTCAGTAAAATCTGGGCATGAATTTATGCACGGCTGAGCATAAACAACACAAGGTCCAGCCCAAGACCTTGACACAGTGTATCCTCCAAAATCAGCCACTTACTTTTGCCATTACTTTTTGTAACCTCAATCCTGCAAAATCCTCCATTTTGCAAAGACGATTTTGGAGGATTTGGGAAGGTTAGGGTTAATGTGGAGTGCTTGTATACTTTATGCATACATGAGGCAGTCATTAATTAAAGAGCAAATAAAATACCTTCTCCAGAATCTGGAACAAAAGCACCAAGATGCTTGGCTTCCGTGCACAAGATCTGTCCTCTCCTCTCTTAGAACTGTCACCCAATTTCCCCTCACAAATCGAAATATCTATAGATATTTTTCTAAAAGGAAAAAAAACTCATATCCTTTATCGTGTAAAGTGAAACGTCTGGCCACTTAGTGCTACACCAATTGATATGGTCATCACCACACATTGCCAATGGTATAGGACGGAGAAGTAACATTTTCAGAAACGTCGCGGAAGTCAGTCAGTGGTCAGTATTGTGGTGTCTATGCTAGGCGATTCTGAAAAAAGGAGATATACAGACACTACATCTACCTTACTTGTGGGTTTTTTCGCATTGTTCAGATCCCAAGGTTTGGTCTACCATAAAGAGCAGTGACGACAACTCTCCCATTGTTCATCATCTTGACACCAAGTTGGTTGAGAGAGTTGCTCTAAGGCAGTCGGTGGAACAGTATGGGTCAGATCTGAGTGCTGTTTCCTTTTAGAATCGTCAAAAGACCCGGATACGAGATACAGCAAAGAAACAACAATGTCTGACCTCATTTGAGTGCATGTAGACATTGGGAGCGTGCCAATTCAAAGTAAAACAATTATTCTCTTCGTAAAAAAAATTGTTTTAAAATGGTGGCACAAGTTCAGGGATAACTAAATGGACGAAATTTTCTCAAGGTATTCAAATAGGATCTGGGTAACTTTGCTGGCAAAATATTGAAACATTTTGATGTAGAAAGGTTAGATTGCAACCCTGACTGCAGCATTAATGGGCAATTTTGGAAAACAGTAGCTAACAATCCAGGAAATCGCTTCCATTTTCCAATGTTTTGTTTCACACATTAAGTCCCAGTTGGAAAAATGTTATCAGCAGCAGCAAACATGAGTAGACCTGATAGAGATTACGACCCATGGCCTATAAAGGCCAAAAGTGAACCACGGAAAAATGGACAAAGTGTTGAAACAAATATACCAGACAGGTATCAACTGAGCATTTATTGATTCCTCATCTTGCTTGGTATAAGCATAATTCAATATACTCATAGGCCTACAGTTGGCCAAGGATTTGAACATGACACTTTATTTTCTGGTTTATACTAAAGTCACAATTGCCTGTGTCCTGATGGTTGTTGTTTTTACCTTCCTTTTAATGGAAACAAACCTTATGGATTTAAAATTGTAATTAGTTTACGCAAGTATCATGTCCTTCAGTGACATCCTGTCTGATAATATAGTTCGTGCTGTGCAGATTATCAACATATTTGATATACTTTGCAATGTAAATAGTGCAATAATTAAAGTCTTAAATATTGAAATTCTTCTCAAAATATACAACAATCATTGATGGATCCAGACATATATTTTTGTATTAAAGAAACAAAAAAAAGGATGTTTTACTCCGTAAATTACAGAAATTTTCATTATATTCAAATAAAACTGTTTCGAGTAAGTTTATACCAAAATCTAAAATATTTCTACGTATCTTAACCCATTTTTTAGTTAAGAACCTGGATCAATCAGTGATTTAATCAGTGTTTAAAACAAGTTTGTGCAGTCTAGGTGCCATACAACATACATGGTGCTATATATGGTAAATTTGAAGACATTTCTGGCTTAAAAGGTGAATCTATGAACTTATGCAAACTAAGTGTTCATGAGATCATGTTCATCAGCTGCAACAACCAATATTGCCACATTTATTTTACGAAAGAACAATTATTTCTTCTAACATCGTTGCATATACTTACTTAGCCAACACAAAACCAAACTCTATTATATCCAACATAGATTTAAAACACTGATGTTAACAACACTGTACCACTTACGTCACCCTAATAGCTTCCCTTACTAATGTTAGTACCAAACATTTGTGCAACAGCTCAAAAACACATTTTATCCAATACATCTGCGGAGACGTATTTCACAAACAGTGATAGTTTGTCTGTGGTACTGTAGTTCCATGGTGGATGTTCATTATTTTTAAAATCTTCCATAAACTTCAGCGAATATCAATAAAATGTTGTTGCAATTTTTTACAGATGTTTCATTGAACGGCTTTCGAGAATGTAGATATCGCTTTTCAAAGTTTTTTGTATCGAATCAGAATTCTCTGGGGGGGGTTTTACGAGTTAGAGCGAATGATGTACGAGTCATTGACATTCTGACCGATAATTATTTTGTGCCGTGCAATTATTGTCGTATTTAAAATATATCAGTAAATTTTACAAATTGTGTAGTTAATAAACTCTTTCATATTCTAATTAATTCTATATACCCACTAATAAAAACAATCAGTGATGGATCCAGATGACAAGTATCATACTTTTTCATCAACTAAAATGTACATTTGTTGATTACTTTTAATGTTTTCAATTAATTTAAAATAGAAACAGGTACTTTTAAAATTAGATTATGAAAAGCACATTTGTTTCTATATTTCCTCTCAAGAACCTGGATCAATCACTAATCTTATATATTTCTAAAATTATGTACAATGTCTGGTGTAACAATACATGTTTATACATTTTATTAATTCAGTCAGTCCACATTTGATTTGCTTCAACTCACATAAGACGTCTAGACATTGAAAATTTCATCCCCCAAATAGTTAAAAGTAGAACTCTTTTTTATACTTCAAGTACTATATTTTACCATCAGTTCAAGCCCAAATATAAATACATAGTCGATATGATATTTTGATTACAATAACTCAAAAACGAGTAACCAATGTGTACACAGCACTTTACTGATTCATACACCTTGCATGTAGATCATCTGTCACCAATTTCTAAAGGTAGTTACTCAAAACAATGTAGACAAGTCATTACAAAAGCACATTGTAAAGAAAAATCAAACTATGTGTTTGTATCCTTCCAAAGACTACCCTCCCTTTCGCTGAAATATGTACATGTATTTTACATGTCGTGCCACTGCTGTGCACCTTCTGTTACCAATATAATTATAAAGATATCATTTCACGCAGCTGCAAAACTAAGTGTTCTAATTCAGTTGTTGCAAAAACCAAGTCATCACATAAATGAATAGAGCAGTCTTGATGATGATGGTGGTATTAAGTACTTTTACGAAGTATGTCTGAGACACTGCACAGTTGGATAGTGATCTGATTATTTGGACAAAAGAACGATGCTGAAAACGTCCGAGTAGTACCAAGACTGAAGTCTGAATCCTTATGTATTTCGTGCTTTTCTCGTTTACGTTGCATGTCCTAACTTAGTAGAAGTATGCAGTCTACACATATTAGCTTGGTGCTAATGTGGTATTCACGTGACATGTGGCAACGCAGAAGACCACTCGACTATAAACTGTCGTATACATGTATAAATGTAAGCAAGTGAACATCGTGCTAATTATTCATCAACTTCTGATCCTAAAATACTATTGCCAAATGTTTCTTTAGACATTTGAATGCACATCTTTTGTTAACAATTATTTGATCAAATACAACCAACCCATGTTGATATTTTGAAGTGTTTTGTTAGTCCAAGGTTGGTTTCAAATCTACTTTTAGTCACACTTTTTACAAAGGTTTTATTTTCATAGAACAGCTTTTGAGACTGTAGAAATTGCTCTTCCAACTCCGCCATACAACGTGATCCGCAAATTGCCCTTGCCCATACCTTCCATTTAAATTTGATTGATAACATGCCTCATACCACCACGCCCCTTTGTGCTGTCTAGCACAGGAAACCCCATACATGTATATGTCATTGTCCCTGTCTTTAGTTGAAAACATCATTCCATCGTGGTATGTGAGCGAGTCTCCTGCAGTGCTGCGGGTATTGTATGAGTTGACTTGGAGTGTGTAGTTGTCTCCATGAATCTGAAAGTCGTCATATTCAGCCCAGGCTGTGTATTCTCCCAGTCCTCTAAGTCAATTCGTAGTTGCCACTTACCGTCAGTCTCAGTCAGGCTGCGTAGGTTGTCATTCCCAAGCCAGAACTCACCAGACAAGCCGCCAAAGCCAACCTGGTAGTCAGCCCAGTTGCGGTAGAAGTCAACGCTGCCATCTTGACGCCTCTGAATGACGATCCATCCTCCTCCATCAGTCGCCATGTCACAGTAGACCTGCAGCCCATCCTTGCATCCAGCTGGGAATATCGTGTAGATACCACTCACATTATGACCAGCTTGAAGGACCTCATCACAACCTCTGAACTGAGGCACCGAGAAGAGAGATGTGTCTACATCGTCATCAAAGTACACACTGCCGTAGTGTGTAATGAAATCAGCAGGATTGTGCATCCTTGTCAGATTGTTCATTTGACAAACTTGATCTGTTTTATGATAATTCACAGATCGGCAGTTGTTATCAGCATGACAGTAGCTAACACAGCGGACAGCAGACTTGGCATGTTCCTCTCTAAATGTAGAAGTCTGAAGTGTACGATTGTCTGCAGCGATAAAAACACGTTTGCGATGGAAACAGTTATCTCCTTGAAAACCATCAACCAAAACCAAAATTGTAACGATCACCAAACTGATGCTGGGAATCTTGTACCAGGGTCATATAGACATGAACTTTCCATTGCTAAATTATTTTTTTTTCTGTTAAGCAGATGTGAATAAGCCTAGTAGCGAGTTGCTGGAACACCTAGCAGAACAATCCTTGGTAGACGAGCATACAGAGAAGTGTAGGCGCCCAATTGATGCAAAACACTGAAGTGTTCTTGTTACTGTAGTCACAAGCAGATACCACAGTCATATGATCTTGCCAATGGACGTGGGAAAGAGTCATTGGTTGCCTCTGGTCACATGCTAATAGTCATTTTCAAGAATCACAATAAAAACTTAACACTTCGCCTTATCGTCTTACCTCCCTTCATTAATTGTAGGCACGCTTGAGACTGGTAATTGAAATGAAGGTGACTTGATGGAATTAGTTACAGATCAACGTTTTTGGGTGCTCAGTCTACACGTACGTATGTCCTTGGCTTATTGTCATTTATTTCGAACGTGGAGCAAGTAAGCGTGGGTCCAATTAAAAACTCCATGATCACAAGAACAAAAAGATAGAGTGGAGCAGTTTACATCTCATTATTTCAATAGGAGTGAAGCATATAGATGGCGTAGTTATTCTTTGATATCTTATGGTCGATTTGCAAAAATAAATCCGCCAAACGTTTTGTCAACGACGTGCAAATATTTAATCCAACATAGCCGAAAAACACCCATTATTTTAACCAAAGGAACGATTTCATCAACAAAACTGCATGTCCAAGTTTACATAGTACCAATTTGTTTATCAATATCAAATATTTCAACCAGCCCAGCATCCCTTATTTTTGCCAAATTCAGGAAGTTAAAGACGTCTTCACTGGTGTAAGTTCTTGCATTCGTTCGGAATATTTTCCCAGGAACTTTAGAACATTATCAAAACGAAATTCGTCACACTGCAATTTCCAAAGGTAAACTTCATTGAGCATCTTTTAAGATTGTAGGGATTGCTCTTCAAAGTGTATTATCCATACCTGTGATTCAAACATTTTCCTTTCCAATATCTTGCGTTTAATTAGATTTGCTACAATCGGCATGTACCTTTACGTTGTCTGGTACAGAGGTTGGGGCTTATATCATTGTCTGTGGCTTTTGTTGATCTCATCATTCCATTGTGATAGGCTTGTATTGTTTTTTTGTAACAAGAAGGCACAAGGCCATGAATATAGCAGCTACATCTACAACAAGCAAAAGTGACAGGATTTAACAACAAAGAAATAAACTTTTGACCACTCGCTTCAATTGAAATAAAATATAACAATGGAAAAGCCGCACTTTGGAAAAGAGACCGTTTTCGGTAAATTATCAGTTTACACGTTTGAAAATGAGATCGGAATAAATATTTTCATGATTGTTAAATTATTAAATGGTTGCATTGTGTTAGCAAAAACGTATTTAATCATGTTATAAAGTTTTAATACATGTAATGCTTTTTTACCACAAAATCTCCATTGTTTATATAATTTATATTTCTTTTACCACTTAGGTTTTATCTTCAAAGAACATCCTTTAAGACAGTAGTGATTCCATTTCCAGGCTTGCCAAATTATTCCATGATAAGCTCCGTGCTTTTGCCCATGTAAGCCATTTAAGTTGCAATCATAACAATCTTTGTACCACCACGCCCCTTTACGGAGTCTGGCACAAACTCTTGAATCTTTGTCATTGTCCCTGTCTTTAGTTGAAAACATCATTCCATTATGGTATGTGAGCGAGTCTCCTGCAGTGCTGCGGGTATTGTATGAGTTGACTTGGAGTGTGTAGTAATCTCCATGAATCTGAAAGTCGTCATATTCAGCCCAGGCTGTGTTATTCTCCCAGTCCTCTAAGTCAATTCGTAGTTGCCACTTACCGTCAGTCTCAGTCAGGCTGCGTAGGTTGTCATTCCAAAGCCAGAACTCACCAGACAAGCTGCCAAAGCCAACCTGGTAGTCAGCCCAGTTGCGGTAGAAGTCAACGCTGCCATCTTGACGCCTCTGAATGACGATCCATCCTCCTCCATCAGTCTCCATGTCACAGTAGACCTGTAGCCCATCATTGAATCCAGGTGGGAATATCGTGTAGATACCACTCACATTATGACCAGCTTGAAGGACCTCATCACAACCTATGAACTGAGGCACCGAGAAGAGAGATGTGTCTACAGCGTCATCAAAGTACACACTGCCGTAGTGTGTAATGAAATCAGCAGGATTGTGCATCCTTGTCCGATTGTTCATTTGACATACTTGATCTGTTTAATGATAATTCACAGATCGGCAGTTGTTATCAGCATGACAGTAGCTAACTACGTATATGCTGCATTCTTTGCCAAGTTTACAAACCGCTGAGAGATTTGTTGGACTGTAAATAAAAATCCAGTTGTGTGCAGCATCAAACCACCTAGAGCATGTAAGCTTGTACCAGTGTTGGAGTCATGTCCCCAACCTGAGAGCCGAAGCTTTCCAAAATATAAATTATATCACTGTCACAAGATCTTGACATGTACGTGGAGAAAGCTGATTGGCCGCTTCAAGTCACATGTTTAAAACTTTATTGATTCCCTTATCTCCAGCAGACGTATATGGCCTCGGAATCAATATCCGATTGCTGCCTGCGCTCTAGAAATGGTTACAAAATACAATTCAATAAATCTCCGCGACGCAATTTGCATTTTGCACAATTCCGTGCAGTTCACTAAATGGTAATTGACAGGAATTGATTCACACGTCGTATCCAAGGCGTCCTTTGTTACCAGTGAACAGCAGTTTCCCTCCCCTTGCTCTATATTTGATGTATGCTGCTGATCAACCACATATGAGATATTTAAATTTGAGATATCTCAG